TCACGCAAACGCTTGAGACACTCAATAGTGTCTCAAGCGTTTGCGTGAGAAAGTAGATAAATCGAATTCGAAGTTATCGTATTGCAATCTATATTAATTATACACAATATATGTAAACAGATGGATCAGTAGTTATTCCAGTATTTGTGTGCTCGATGCAATGTTTACATCCACTTGAAAAAAGACCCACTCAGTCCACTACAACATGCTTTAGGCCATCCCCAGCAAAGGCAGCGATCACATGGAAACATCGATTACATGTCTGCCTTACGAACGAATATTAACATTACTTTTAAGCTGGATCTTTGTTATTCATTTATACACAAATCTTCTTGAGAAGAGAGCGACCCCTTTGCCTAAAACATACGATGTTCGTTAAACTGGGGCATTACTCAGACATTTTTTATGTGCCGCCGTTCATCGTAACTGACACAAAGGTATGATGATTTGACAGGTGACTGCTACTGGCATTTTGGACACTGGATAGGTTATCACTAGCGATTTGCAAAGCCGAGGCCCGGGTAGCTGCTTTTTCAAAGTAGTACTTACTTTAGAATGTCCCACTTCACAAAGAAGTGTGCATGAGCAACTACAGGGACCTGCTAGATGTACGAACATAGATTATCTAGCTATATGCAGAAACAAATAGATATATGCCAAAGGTATATGCATAGGATCTATAATAATGACGCGCTTTATTATCGGGGATCAAACACACTTAGACATATGGGTTCAAACTCTTAAGGATACCTTCGCAAATGCTAATACCTAGGTCAAATTCAGACGGCAAGCCAATATTTCGGTACCATTAGCGCTAATCGCGTTAGCTTAACTCTCCTGTAATTGCACTACATATAGGTGTGCTATAAAGTGCCGCATGAAAACCAACTAACAACGATTAATGATGATCTTTGCGGTAGCATTTACCTTACAGGCGTTTGCTAATTTTTTTGTGGGTGCTTTAAGCTCAAATAGAAAAAAGGTAAGGCACCTGATTATTATTATTAAGTCGCTAGACCACTAGATTACGATTGTCTAATAATCGGTCTACAGCCGAACTCAACATGTCCCGTTGAAGCCCCACATTACAGACTATTAAACCGCTCCAGTTCCTTCATTGCGATAGATTTTTGTTGGTTTAATAGATTGCTCCTTTTTGAAATAAACGTAGAAAAGCATTCAAACAAACGAAAAGTTAAATCAGAATCTTTACCCATATATTTTACCCAGAAAGTTTACCCATATATTAACATAAATGGTCATTCAATCAAATCCATTGTCATTCTAGTATTATTTATTACCAATAGGAACCATCTAAGTAGCATTCATATTTTACTATTATGAATATTGCCCCGTATTTTAACAGTGCGGGCCGCAATCATTAGCACACTTCTAAAAGCGTCCTTTGTCCCGCTTTCAGTTTTTAGCAGGATTACTACCGATTAGCAATATATCCATGTGTGATTGAAATGACTAAGCTTTTAGCAGTTCTGCATATATGACGCCTCCATTTATGCACCCTTTAGACAAATTGCAGTTCATAAATAATATTCCTCAACATAGCATGGTTTTCCACTACGTAGAGTGTACATAGAATTTACGAGGATTAAGTCGAATCGATTATACAAATAATTAGCACGTATGTTGCCACAACCAGCTTATTATTACACACATTTCTGCACAACTGAAAAAGAGCAAGCTTGATCGACTACACGCATAGGCACATCTCAGTTAGTTTTCAATAATGTACAATGGCCCAATCCCGGTCTTAAGCAGGGATAATAAGTGAAAGACCAAAAGCCGCCGGCAGTTCGGGTGTTGTGAAGAGAGTGAAGGAAAGTAACCGTGCTACAAAGGAGTCAGTCTCGTCATTAGAGGCCCGACTCGGCTCTTTCTGTGGCCCAGTCCTATCCATCGTTCGTCACACGCTAGAGTGGAATACATTTGCAACAGCAGAGACAAGACCTGTAGGGACATGCATTACCAGCAGAGCTCCCGGGTGTTTTGTCGTCTCGTCACAGGGCAGCTCCTGATCTTGTTTTTCTTAGCGTTACCACCGACGCCCTCGATAGTGGTTCCGCCTGCCATGACTAAAGAGAAGAGAGAAGGCAGAAAGACGGCCTGAGAAAGAGAACCTACTAATGGATACAGGCCAGAGGGCGAAAGAAGAAGATGAAAAGCATATATATATATATATATATATATATATATAACATAGCAGATTGCCTATTCGTACATACAGCGGCCTTTCTAATAGCAGTGATGACGCCAGGCCCACCTGCTTTTCGGGCAAAAGAAACCGGCCGGGGTCTTCTGACACGCCGTAACGCTGATTCAGGTCAACAGCTGTTGGGCTAAAACATTCAACATTCACTAACCCAATGAGTTGTCGCTTGTAGTGAGTCATTGCGGCTCTCGAGCATGAAGCACAAGCATTAAAGCAAATACTCACGCGCAACGGGTTCTATTTAGTTCATTGATAAAAAAAACGAGAGTGGGTATAACCAACCCTTTTAATTCGACACTGATATTCTTGACCCAATTTACGCAGATGAGTCAAGACAGTTGCTGACTGGTGTACTCAGTCAGATTGAGATTCGAAGATAGGGACATAGAACAACAATAAAATATCAAAATATAGAAAAATATATTGCACGACATATAGTCCGAAACAGACTGTTTGCATGTTTTTGCGAATGCTATAAAAACGATGTACGATAAACGCACATATGTATATTTCTGAAATTTAGTTCCTCGTTTTGTCTTGCCTGTTAATATATCTTGTTATATTGCATTGCATTTTATTTAAACACTAGATATGAACTCTGAAATGAAACAAAACGTGTTACTGGTGGGTGACTTAATGATACGTTATGAATCAAAGCAAACATCCGACATTGGAGCATCAAGATTCAGCGCCTTCGAATTTCAGGTGTACGACTCAATTGGGACATAACTGATTTCGATTTTTTCACTTTACAAAATACGCAGCGTTTCACTCGAATTCTAACAACAATTTATTTTATTCTATATTCACCTTCAGGACCTTTTCCCATGTATGAACCAATTTGTTTCTTCTTGCCGACATTTTCAGGTCTGCTTAAACGCTCATCTTTTCATTGTCGAATGTGCTACTAGACTAACTTAGTTTGCCACTATCTGGAAAATGTGATAATCCGTCGGAGCGAGACCTGGAATACGGTGGGTGCAAAAGAACCTCCCACTTGGACTCTTGATGGCCGATTCACAATCCTTGTCATGTGCGGACTTGCATTGTCATGGAGAAAGGTGACTTTGCCTTGAATATAAGATCGTTTCTACTTGATAGCCTTGTTCACTCGATACAACTTTGCCATGCGCAGATCTTTGCTGATTGTATAAAACCCTTTTAGTCCTACCGAACATAAGTCATCCTTTTCTTGAAATGCAGATTTAGCTTAACTCTGGGCTTAGACTACTTGGAGCTACCCGCGTTTTTTATGTCGCTGTGGAGACCCCTCTTCTCGTCATCGGTGACACTTCTGTCTAGAAACCTGTCCCCATGGCTGCGTGTTGCTCGGTGCCGAGCGGGATGTTGAAAGGCAATGAGAAGTTGAATCTTTTTGCGCTGTTCATTCCGGGCAGCCATGCTCCTAATTTTTGAATAAGTCTTACTGATATAAGGTGGCTATCGATATTCACATGTGTGTAGGAATTTCTTGCTCGATTCACGAATTGTTAGCCAGCACGACGCGGGGTGCATCTTACAAGTCCGAGATGGTGCTTTTAGATTTCGCTTTGAGCAGCCAGGTCGGCTAAAAAATCCTTGCTGTATGTAACTGCTTCATTGGCAGCTTTTTGATCTCAGCAAAAGGCAAAACAAGGTAGAAATAGAAAATGCACTTTTTTTTACTTAAGAACGATCTAAACTTCTATTTGCTGCATAACAAAACGATAACGGACTTATAGAGAGGAGGGAACATTTTCAAATGGTGCATAAAAATAAATCAACGGGCGAGAACTGAGAGCTAGTTTGGGCATGTGTAATACTACTCGATGCTCCATTTGACAAGCTGTCTTCGTTACATTGAAACCTTGTGTTCCTGATGTTTTGGACATCGCAATAGTGAGCTTTTTGAAAAGCCGAGCATACAAACTTACAACTAACAATGTAATTGTTTCTAAGACCTCTACACATTTCCACTCCGAAAACTGTTGAACTTCATTAAAAAAAGAATCAATACTTTTTCTGTCACGGATTCGCGTTTATTTGCAGCCGTTTAAGAATTAAGTTGCTTTACCTGCTACTGGCTTTAGTAGGGCACATTTATGACCAGGTATCCCCGTTCTGCTAATTCGTACTTACAAAGCTAATGGCCCTCTGCAACCGCACTTCTCCACCTTCGTTCTCTGAAACTGCTTAGATTTTCAAAATCGATTTCCTCCACGATCTAGCCCATGTATCTACTATATTCGGAAGGTGGCTATTGCCACACGTTGCTGTGGCTCCTCTTCCCTGAGGTACTCAGGAACCCATACGTTGCCTAAACTTTATCAATTAGATCTTTATGTAAAATCAACAGACTCAACGTACTTACCGGGACATCTGAGATTAATAACTACACCTTGTTTGGAACTCCTAAAAATAATGTTCGAACTTGCCGTTTTTCATTTTGTGTCCGTACTAAAATCGTAAATAACTAGGCTAAATTTCCTTCCAGCCTTGTCGTCCATATTTGCAATCAAAACACTTTAAAAGGAACATGTTGCCATGAAACGATTGAATATTTATCGGAATAAATAAATAAACGCCTTTAATGAATTAATAATGGGTTTAAATAAAAGCATTATGACATTATCAACAAAATAACATATTTCATCACCTGCCGCTTTCACTCTTTCACGATACGATAAGCAAGGATTATAGAGTAAGCGACCAATGAGGTTGCAAAACAGGAAATACTACGTAATCAACAACTGGGGTCTAAACAGACAACCAGCAATTAATAATACTTAGTGTTCGGCAAGAGAGTACGGCATCAAGACAAATGTATAATGTGTAAAAATGTCTGTCGCAACGTATTCAAAACCTACTGGTAGGTGCCACACGTCGACCCATTTGCTAGGTATCAGTTCTTGTTGTACCTTACGGAGCTCAAATAATTTTTCTTTAAGATACTTTACAACATCTCAATGACCATGGTAATAATGACGACATAAGCGATAACATGGATCTTGCTTGTTAATTCGATATTAAAGAGTACATTATTTGGTTGTCTTTATCGAGATGCTGGAATAGAATTTCATTGATTCTATTCTGATCTTAAGCCATACATCTACGTATAAACACATATTAATTGGTTAAAGAAATAGTTACAGAACAGGAATTTGCTTCCATTGGAGTGGCTCCTAATATGGGTCTAACGAGCGATGCTGAGGATGACGTTTTGCATGAGGTAATCTATCGTGTCTCTAACAAAAGACAGTTCTAATATGTCAGTATAGTTATTCTGATATAACCATAGAATTGTAAAACACTGAATTTCAACAATGTTGTCAAATATTTAAAAAAAAAAACAAAGCTAGGTTAATCTCTCAAGAATATTATTTATCCTATAATGTGCATAACAGGTTCCTATACGAGATACATACGTGAATTGCTGATTCTGATTGGATATGTTACTTTCACTCGGCGATATATATTCACTGCTGTGGGAAACTCTTCTATACCTGTATTTTTGAAGCAGCTCACATCGTTAATGAAACGCTTGTTGCACTTCGAGGAATATGTCTATTAATGAGACTACGTCTGAGAAAAATGCTGTGTTGTGAACTAGCATCAGTAACTGTTGTTGAATTGCTATGGCGTTGCTATGTTTGTTACCATGCGGATACACTTCGAATAGTGCCAACAATATTGGTTTTCCCATAGGTTATAAAGTTTGATGATAGAGTGAGGTTTCTAAAGGTCAGGAACGTACGATGACAGCGCATATCACGTTTTTGGAATAAGCTAGAACTCAGTATTGTCAATGCATCTTTTAGAACTGACTCCAAGGGCTTCAGTAAATGACTTCCGTCGTTTGGGTTGTGAAAGGGTTGATTACGTAAATTATTTCCTTAATGTTATGTTGTAACATTTTCAATTATATTTACGCGGTATGTATAAGAGCAAAATTTTGCTACAGTATAGCTAAACGTCGTTAATTCACATTCTCTTAGTATTATAATTAGGTTGATTTTTGTGGGGTGCTATAATCTGAATTCTGGTGAGCTCTAGAAGTGTCGTTTATTTGATTACAGCGCCTTCAAAAAAAAAATTACCCCCGGTGGGGAGCCACCCAAGAAGAACTTAATAAGATATCTTTTGCATCCAGACGAATGATGATTGCCGGTGGATTTCTTGACATCGCGCTTTTCACTACCAACTGTGAACAGCTTAAGTTTGCAATAGAGAGCGAATATCTAATCACCGACACCAGATTCAAGTTCGTTATTGTGATGCTAGCAGTTTCTCTAACATTACAAGTGAGTCTTTTCTATTGTTTAAGTGTACGTATTTTGTCATACTGCACGAATGCAAAGAATAAGATTAATAACTGGCTTCAACAGCAGTTTGAAAATAATAATAAAGTAATAATTAGCGAAAAAAAATTGAGTGCTTAAAAACTCAGTTGATTTTCCTTTTTTAATAAAAGAAGTTCCTTTTTATATATCTTACTTAGCGCTTCTTAAAAATTGTCTGCACACAGGCGGTAATGGCCCTCCTCTTTTTTATGATGGGCTTTTTCGATAACGGTCGTTATTCACAAAGGAGACAACGCTTTATCAATAACGTGATAATGCTACTCGTCGCGCTAGTCACTCTTGTGAACATTGTTATTTCGACATTTTCTAACAAGGTAATTCGACATTCAAAATTAATTAAGGAGTTTGCTGTTCGTGTCCGATTGTTTATACTTGGAACTCCATACTCCTTAAACAGGTTACAGTTGTGCGCGTTTAACGCGTCCACACTTATTTAGAGATCGATGATTGTAAGTAGTTGCCAAGCTTATTCTTCATCGGTTGTTGTTTCGCTTTGTTTCCAAGCATTACGAACTTTAAAACTACGTGTAAGGGAAAAAAAGCAGAACTTTTTCTGTCACCGTTTTGTTGACGGCCAGTATTCAGTAGCGTAACTTACTCCGTCCTTTCTATTGTTTTCGATCAGCCACCGCTAGCCTTAGATAAGAAATCCTGAAAAGGCCGACGTATTTATAATAATGAATTAAACACAATTAAGGACACAAGTAAACGTAGATACCCGTAGAATTTCATATATTAAGCTGAAAAGAAAGTTCTCATGCTAAAAAAATTATTTTTAATATACTATTCAAAAGCGTTCTGCTTGTTGTATCAGCGTGTTATGACGCTATTTTGTTGTGTCATGTCAACTCGAAAAAATTCTTTAGACATGGATGTTCTGTACCATGCGTGTCGTCGAGGCCAAAATGCTGCTGAAACAGTCCGATACGTTTTACCTTGTCTGAGGTCACGACGCTATAACTAAAGGAACTGCTCAAGAGTAGTTTTCCAGGTATGGTGTATATACGTCAACATGAACCAGAGATCGGAGTGGGGGTCTTGAAAGAGAAGCTAAGACTTAGCGTCCAGCCACATTTTTCGTCCAAAAAGAGTTAGGATACCAGAGGCTTGATTCATTGGAAATTATTTCCTACGAACCAGACAATTGATTGGCATTTTTATTTGACACAGTTGCGCTGAGTTATTTAAACCATTCAAGAGACGGGACCTACGAAACGAGATTAGGTTATCCTGCTTTATAAAAACGCGAGACCACGCATGCAAGCATCCTCCAAGCTGCCCGCTTAGACTTCAATTAGGCAGTTTTGTTGCACCCGATACACTCTCCAAGCCTTGCGTCTAAGGATTTTTACCTTCCTGTTTGGCAGTCATTTCCGTCGTCTTACCAACTCAAAACGTGGTTACAAAACTTCTTCAAAACAAAACCTACTTTCTAGCGAGACCCCATATATCATTTGGTAGGAAGATAAGAGAACGTTGTGAACAACAGCAGCGCATGTATAAATAGTTAACTTACTGTGACAAGAACAAAAAATCTGGCATCTTCTATTCACTAAAAAAGTGCAGAAATGTTATCTCCGAATTACTATTTTCTAATGCATCGGCCCTGCTAGACCACTAAGGTAATATTGAAAATACTGGACCATGTTCGATAATAGGTCATTCGACAAGTAAAGTAATTAAACTCTTTATGTATATAAAATTAGTAATTACGTGAAAGTGTATGTGCTGTAGATATAGAAATTTCTATATATATATATATACGCTAACCAATTATCTCCTGAGCAATCAAAGCCAATGGAACAAAGCATGCCTTTTAGATGGATCTTACAATTATAAAATTATTTCAGGGTGAAATCGCTAATCTTTTGATGAAGATCAAGGATGAAATTCGTGTCCACAATGACGGCATGGTAGAAAACGTCACCAAAAAGTACCTTGCTTATAATCTGTTCCACTCATAAATTCGTTTTTTCGTTATTAATTAAGATGTCGCAGTATCAAGTGTCAAGTTTATCTAAGATTATCCTCATGAAAATACAATGACGGATGTTGAAATAAAAGCTACGGTTACACGAAATAAAAGCTAAAAGTTTGCGGGTTCAAAAATGCATAAAGAAATATCTATATTGTTTTGCATTCATGTTGTGAGTAGAAGGCAGTAAATGCAATGAATAAATACCGTTTAGAAATCGTGTTAGGCATGTTTTAACGCGTCAGCTTTAAGTAGGAGTAAATGTTTCATAAAATAAGTAAAAAAAGCTTACAAAAATGAAAAGATATCAACCTTTTGACCACCTATAAAAAACAAGTAAAAGCTTAACTCTCCAGCTAGAATTTTAAGCGTTCAAATTATCGATTTTAAACAGTTTGAAAAAAAATTTTTGTATTTTTTTTTAAACTATTCAGATTTTTTTGTACCTTGTAGATTTAAATTGGAACTTTTAGTACTCAAAGCCGGTCTACTGCTTTTTCTATTTAGTTGTAAAACCACGTCGCGAATTTTGCATAATCAGCCCACTATATGCTAATTAGGTAAACTGAATGATTCTAGTAGAATAAGTCATCTGCTAATTGATCCATATCAAAGCAACAAATCATTCAATCTCTGCAAAAGGCTATCGTAAAAGCATCGCATAATTTAATAAAAATTATCAACTTACTAAGGAAATCGCATTAATTTATAAAAATTCCAGAGATGGATAAAATCTCAGTACAAAAGCAAAATATTCAAGAGGCAAGTAGACAAGTCTGTATATGATGCAAGGCTTTCTATTTAACATGCTATTTGTAGTAAAATTTTTAACAGGCAGCTAAATTGGACTGAAACCATGTCAGAATAGTCGTATTAAAATACAGCTTGTTTTATTTTTATTACTTTTGACTCTTGTCGCGTTTTTCGTTCACATATTTTTGTTAGGTATTCAATTCTTTATTGTACAAATAAATAAAATCTAGGTTATTTGTACATGCACATTCATTATATTTTCAGTTTTCGCACCCTTTCCATTACGCTGACCCGCGGAAAATGAATGATTTTGTTTCACTAAACGTTTTACATTATACCGTGCATCCCATAGGTAAGCAAGAAAAATAATAATAAAGTTGGTAATAAAGCTAAATGGCACGAAACTCAGCCAACGACACATTATTGCACTTCTGTCGCTGATTTTAGTTTCAAGTTCAACTCTCATTGCACAATATTGTAGAATGACATTCAAAACGTATTTTATTCCCGCTGGTGTATTTCTTCTGATTAATTTAATATCAGATTATAAGAGTTCATGTATAGATGGTGCTGAACGACGGTGGTGCTCAACGAACAAGCTATACCATTTAGTTGACTCTCCACTACTACAAAGAACAGGGTCCCTAAAAATATTCGCACACATGTTAGATTCAGCACAAGTGTTAAAAAAGTCCAAGCCCTCATCCACTCCAATCTGCAACCTGTTTGAATTTCCCCCATCCGTGGAAGCACTTCTTGAAGCGATGAGTTTCCTTTCCTTTCATAGTGAGTTTTAATTTTCGTGGCTGCTCGGGATTCTTGGCACGAATACTTTGTACATAGACCTGTAAGAGCCAATTCTGGTGTTAAATCTGTTACGAGCACTGCTAGATGCTGCACTCTGGGGTGGCGGCTGATCCATATCTGACCTCTCTTTAAGCATGCACATTTTGTGTCGAATTAAAAAAATTCATATATCATTGCTCAAACTTTTGGCCGAGTTTAACTACTATATATTTAATAAATATATTGTGAAATATACCTGGGCACTCTTTAAGGCCAGTTTGATCTCGACTTCGGAGCACTTGGATCCGACCCAAATAAAGACATTCTCTCCTTCGTCAAGTATCATGATATCATCATCAGCAAGGTCGTCCTGACAGAAGTCGATACATTTCTCACTAACTGCGAAATAACCCTTATCATTCGAACAGCGGAATAAACGTAGATGGTCCATATATTTTGCATCCTGAAAGTTATTAAAGTACGGACACTTACAACAATTTCATATCGGGTTTTCAGAACTCTTTTTTTTTTCATAAACGTATTGCAAATTGATATCTTGGGAATGATATATATTAATTACACAAATACTAAGTAGAAAGTGTTCAATTACTTACTCGGTCATATTCCTTTTTACCACCAAGAGCGACCCAGAAGAAGTTCTCTGGTTCTTCCCCTTCATTCAACGGTGTAATGCTGTATTTGTCAGCATCGCATAGCATCGTTGCAACTTCATTGGCTACATCCACATAATCAGCGTTCGCCGCTTCTCCAATCCATAAGTACAGGACTCCTGAATCTTCATTGTTGAATGGTACCTTTAAAATGTAGCAGAAGGCAGAGTTCAGGTTGGCAGAATCTGCCTCAATTTGAATCGTTCGTGTACAAACTGGCGATCCATTGGCCCGTATATGGTAGAGTTCGGTCCGTGGAATTTTCGGAGCACGTCTGCTTCCGGTATGAATGACAAATTTTTTCCGGAAATGAGCCAGGAAGCGATCGCTCTCCTGCTGTTGGTACGTTCGTTGTACCTCCAATTTATCCCCAAAAAGTTGTTCGAAACGTTGTTGCAGCGAAAATGTAAAAGTCAACCATCCCATGTTCGAGGCGTCCCGGCCTTGCCAGAAGTAGACAACACACTTGAAGTCTTCTTCGGGGTCTTCGTCTTCATTCCCTTCGACTTGACTGGTAGCGTCCGAGCCGGTGGCAGCATCATTATCCGACTCACTAGGTACCCAGTAACGGCACATGAACACATAGCAGTCCTGAGAATAGAAATGACCGATTTCGTCCTCAGGCAGCTTTACGAATTTCTTTCCTTCCAGAACGAAACTTTCCATCATATCGAGATCATCGTTGACGGCCAACATAAACTTATCCCCTTCCTCTGCGTTCAACGGTGTCTGACGCGGACTAAACAGAACGGCAAGGTCCACTTTTGTTTCTTGAGTTTTCATCCATTTTTCTAGGTCGGCTCCGGTTCGAGCTACCGATGTTGCAGTTCTTGTAAAATCAACAGCAATAACATCATCCCATCCGACAAACTTTGATTTGAACACCATTGGCTCGCTCCTGTAAATTGAGACATTTCAGTCACACATTGCTAGCTTAATTTGACTCGCTCTGACCGCAGCCGCTCATCTATTACAAGACAGTAATTAAAATTTAGCGCATATTCAATGTCTCTAAAAATGCTCTGCATGAACGATAAGGAAAACTCAGAAATACTAAGGTTATGCAAGGCGAAGTACTAAACGCGCGGAAGCATTTAGTTGCTATAATATAAAATGACTTTACTGTTGAAATAAACGCACAGAAACATTGTTGACAAGGTAATGTAAGCTGCGCACTTACCCTTCCAACGTTCGCACAAGGGTAACGAACTCTGGCCGTGGCATCATAGCCAGCAGCTCCTGTCCCAACTTCATGGCAGCCGATTTAACTAGTCGAGTTGATTTCTTCCCATACCAAACGTACATATCTGTGTGACAGTCTAAAATGTACACATTCCTTGTTTCTAGTAGCTCTTTAGTCAATTTTCCATTTTTAAGTTCTACTTGAGGCATTTCCAGATAGCCTAAGCCAAGGTATATTTGATAAAGACGGGGTTCCTGCGGTTTCCAGTTTTGAAGAAGTTGATTTTTTGGAATTACTATCCTTTTCTGTTCATCTTCCTCATCAACTCCAAGAGCCGCCCAAAATCCCGGAGTCTCTTTCCCTTGTACAAGCTCAAATATCTCAGCGCCATCTTTTCGCTCAATTTTGTTTATCTTCTCAGCAAGCAAGCGTCCTTTCTGGGTGACAGTACAACGAGAATTCCTGCCGCTCCACACGAAAATCTTCAAACCAGCATCCAACACGAATACGTAGCTTGCGTCGAGACTTGAGACTCCTGGTGCCACATTCTCAACGTGCACCATTACGTGAGTGGCCGATATTCTATATAGCCGTGTTGTGTATTCCTGTGATATAGATTGTAATAAATTCCATTAATGTATCACGTGATCGATTAATTCCTGTAAGACCTGGTTAGATACGTACACCAAACGAAGAACGATCGCGATAGTGAGTGACGAACCTAGTCAAGAAGTAACAAAGTATATCAAATCAAGTATTTTCATCAACTAAGTGTATTAACAATGGGATGATTGAAACTCGGTTATACTTACGATTTCTTCGACAGTGTAAAGACCGGACTGGGTTCTACCTCCTGGCATGTAGTCAATTCCGTCAGGAAAGAAGCCGAGAAATTCTTCTGATTCGTCTCCCTGTTCGTTGCGAACAGTTCGACAACGCGCTCCTAGGAAATTGCGCAAATTCACTGCGTGGATAGCCGAACAAGCTTTCTTGTCCAACTGCGCTCATAACATGGAATGTAACATATACACATAAACTCATGTATTGTCAATAACGATTGTCACAAATGTCGTGGTAGCCATCTGCCAAAAAAATACCCTGAATGCTGTAAATGCATATCGCCATTACTATACACGAAAGAAAGAAAACTTCATTGAATGAAGCTTTTAGCACCGAACAAAAAATGATTTTCTTCATTTTAATGTAACAAACAGATGTATGCTTTTCACTAATCTTATTCTGTATTTAAACCTATACTATTTTTTTTAACTTAGTTTCATATTAAGTTCGCATTAAGTTAGATGCAACAGGACAGGTAGATGCAACGTCGATTGATTTAATGCAATATATATTGTATAGCTGTATAAATAATAACATCTTAACATAGCTTCATAAGATAAGTTAGATACGTACAGTGCATCCATTACCGATCCAGTAATGAATTTTCCAGGCCAAATTGTGCGTTTCATCGAGGTAGGTATGCATAACGATGTAGCAATCGCCTTCGAAGAATTTTCCCACGAAAATATCATCAAGTTGTACTGGTAGAAGATTGTCGATTTCCCAAACAAACACACCAGGCATTTGGCCGATATCTTCTTCGAACAATTCACTATAGTCGATAGCTGGCTTTTCCAGAGCATCTTCCCAGCTTTTGGGTCTTTTTTTACATAGGGAACAATAATTATTATAGGAATTTCTAGTAAACAAGTATTAGTATCTGTGAACTAATAATAATAATTTATATTATACTAATGGTACAATAAATAGGTACCTTTGTCCTATTATTGCAATCTAAAATCTCAATTCCCCGAATTTTGTGCATTTTGAAACACATCTCAGCAGCATGCATAGACACAAGCGCATTCTTGTTTTCACAATATATGCAAATAAAATACTGGCAGTTTTCGTGCAATTCCAGATACGTTAAATAATTTGATTTCCACGATGCGTTGCTAAAGATATTATTTTTAATATAATTTAATTCTTCACATCATTTGACTTCAGCATAATACACTTTCGAATTTAGATCGCCTATAGATAGTAGCTTACTTAAGAGACTCCGGAGTATCGGGCAAGTATCCATTGGCCTCTTTGCTTTTGGCAAGATCCTTCATACCCTTGAGAACCTTCGCTTGGTCATCTTTTTCATCATCGCCACAGCGACGTCGTCGGAGGCGTATCTTCCTTGCAATTGGATCTTTCGTTGCAGCTGCATGCATTGTTGATTCAAAATAAGTTGTCACACACATACAGACAGAAACACGATTTACGAAAGCACAAAAATGACTGCACTATCAGCAGCTACCTATTGATGACGACAATTAAATTCTTTGAGACATTGTATCAAATGAAGTTTTATGTAGTGCATATCCAAACCATATGACACGTCAAAGAGGTAGTACCTGTAACGAAGCCGAGCTGTTTTCTAAAACTTCAGTTCTTGTCTCCATCTTTCCCCCTAGGTACTTAGCAGTCGAGGAAAAACTGTAGACGATTAAGGGCTCAACCATTAATCACTAAATAAGGTTGCCTTCTTTAAAGGAAGGCAATTATTAAGACTTTAATGGACTAGGTAGATTAATTGTCTGTTACTTTGCATTGTAATTGCTTTGTATTTTGATTGTTGAAGGCGGTCCACTTTCTAGAGACCTCTTTACTACTTTCGACCTAAATATTGGGAATCTATAGATGGATATTTCAAACTACCACAATAATAAATGGTTTGTAAAGCGTGACTTAAAGAACATATTCCGTCAATGAGGTGTTGCTATTTTTGAATACCAAGTGTAGTACCAACACAATAAAAAAAAACTCTACATTTCTCATGGCCTCGAATTCATTTCTCGGTAAAGCTAGTTGCAGCTTAAAATTAAATTATATAGACGAATACATTTAGCATATACAAGCTACCAATACAAGCTGCACGTATATTTCTATGTTACACGTTACCTGGAGCGGGAAGTTGAGCTGGTATTTGCGCGCCTGCTAGCCTCATCTGCGTTTGCAATGAAAAATCGATGTTGTAGAACTCGGCCGAACCACTTTGAATCTGCTGAGGTCGAGGTGGAATTGTGAGATCGGGATTAGCCGAAAGATCGAGAACCTCGAGGTCTGTCAGTAAGTGGATCGCTTCCGGAACCGTAATCAAGCGGTTGTGCGATAGAACCAACTTCTTCAGCCGACCACATCTAATGAAAGTATTACTCATTAATAGAATACATAGAAAAAGCCCTGTTAAGGCCCAATGGGGTGGCATCATGTTGCGCCACGCAATACAAGGACCATCACTTACAGTAAATTATCGAAGTACATATAAGACCACTAAGGGAACTAGACTAACAAAGCTAACTGCGGACTAAGCTGGTACATTTAAATATATATACAATAGTATTCAGCATATATATACATTACTTTCGGCACAGGTACGTTGAGTAAACAATAGAACAGATTAGCTCAGTTGGTCGTAGGTTATCATCGAGATTGGTCGCCGTTCGCAACAGGCTACAATAATAGACCCATTAATTGGAATTGTTTAGCTCTCACGCGATATGCCAGAAAAATTAACCTAACATTTCTTAAACTATTTGACCCAAAAGTCACCCAATTTCTTTCACTTATAATAACGTCTATGCTACGCAATTTCTATACTAGACGTGACTAGGTATACTACAATTTTTTAGTACAAAATGAACAGGAATGGTATTTTGGTAACAAACAAAATGGTAAAAAAAGCATATTCTTATTCGTCTGTGGGGTATGCTCCGTATTCAAGTTCTGCAGTAAAAGCCAACCATTCTTCCATAATACCTTTGACGCGGCAGTTTTTTCTCTTTCTTTTTTTTAATAACAGTTCAACTACATGCGGCGGCCTCAGACCAGTTTCCATCAGAAGTACAGAAGACACTGACAAAAACAACTACTAGCTGTTGATCGGTTATGTGTACTCGTACCTAACGACACCTTCCGGAATCATTTCAAGATTGTTGTTGGCTGCTTGGAACACCTCCAGATTGTGTAGCTTCCCGATGCCGGAAGGAATTCCATCAAAATCGATCATGTTATCGTTGATGTACAGACGCCGAAGCTGACTGCATTTGCACAACGAATTCTGAAATTGTTAAAAGTGAAGAAAAAGAATGAACTAACATATTGTCAGCAGATTCTATATATGCAAAATATTGCTTCAGAAATCATCAATATTGGTAACGATGTTAAGAAAAGTAAGCCAAAAATAATGTGGAAACCCTAACTTACCGGAAGAGCTCGAAGCTTATTTCGAGACAAGTTGAGTGTTTCCAATGCTTTCCATGAATCTGCAAAGGTAGTCGTCAAATTAGAACGTAGAGAATTAAGCAAGCTACGTTCTACAAAATTAACATGTTAATCATTTAGCTCACCTCCAATTTCCTGCGAGAGCTCAACCAGGTTATTATCACTTAGATTGAGCCGACGGAGCGTCTTGAGAGCATATAGCATGTCAGGTACACGAGGGAGATTATTCGATGAAAAGTCGATGTCTGAAATCGATAAGCATATTAGCACCTCTATTTTAGACATCGAGGGCCTTCGGAATGATTTAAGGGTAATGTGTTTACTTACTAAACTCAGGGAAACACAGTCGTAAACGATGTGGACACAGTCCGTTTCAAGCTGCTGGAAGAGGTCATTAGCCAATTAAATTTTTTTAAACGTTTGTTATACTAAAAATCGAGAAATATACGTTAAATTTTCTTTCCATAATATATTGGACATTTGACGCTGACTAAGCTCCCATTACCAGTGAGGTTACGCTTTGAACTGTACTTATATCGAAAGTATGGAAGTGGCACAAATTTTATTTTTCCCCATTCAGTTAGTAATTTAATTTTCTAACTTTCTGAATGCTTTTTAACTTTTATTAGTTGTGATAGAACAAATAATAAGATATCGTTTGTTACCTGACAATAAGCTCCCCATATCCAACGCTAACGGCGTATTCGTAAGAGTCCTCGCGGAATTCCTCACGTGTAATGTTCGTAGAGAGCACAACGCGTGCAATTGCTTAAGTTGATAGTGTCCCAGGCAAGGATTATCATTCAGTATTAGCGACTCGAGGAAAACAAGGCGTCTTATTTGGGGTGGCAACGTTTCTGTTAAAAAAAAAATAGATTTAAAGATAATCCCGTTCTAAGTTCTTTATAAACAACTGTTTTTGTCATGTCTATCTTGCGGTATATTATGTTTGTGTCTATTAAGCAATTTGCTTTAGATTAGAGGAGTCTGTGCCTCTCAATGAGTACCTAATTGATTTCCGCTGAGGTCAAGGTAGACAAGGTCGACGAGGTTAATGAACAGATTTTGAGGGATTATTTCGATCCGGTTATACGAAAGATTGAGCACTGTTAAGCAGATCGCCTTTTCAAGATTTTCTGGAACTTCTCGCAGCTCATTATGACTTAAATCCTAAAAAAAACAATAGATTAAAAACATTATTACTCAAGGAAAATGGCGCAACTGTGTTGCTAGCGCGTTCTGTGCATACAATTTCTACAGCACTTATCTTTCTACTACTACGTACGTTAGTAATATGGAAAATTTGAAACTGATCTATCAAAGTTAGCGTTCCCAATTCACAGGACATTCTGAAGTCAGCACCTTCATGGAATTTACAGTCCTTAGCATAACTGAGTTTTTAGATCTCCGCACTCACGTTACGCATACATTTTTTCATACCCTACAAATTGTATCAATATATGTGAAATCAGGACAGCAAAACCTGAGAGTAATATAAGCAATTCAATTACTGCTTAATTTCTTATTTAAGCATCAAATATAATAAAATAGGCAAGATTTTAACAAACGCCTACAGAATATTTTGCATAGATACACAATATCTGAGACTACTTTTATAATTTTGTATAATATAATACAGTAATTATTTAACAACATCATGAATAGCAAAAAATTGCTATACCAGGACTGAGAGTTCTTCGATGAGACCCAGGTCTGGAGGAACAGACGTAAGTTTATTAAACCGACAGTTAAGGTAGCGTAGATTTTTCATTGTGGGTATTGCTCCAAAGATTGTCGATAAGTTATTACGCTGTAGGTGGAGACTCTCCTGTAACACAAAAAGATAGTTTAGGAATTTAGTGCTTTTTGATGCAGAATAGCGTTGAGGATCGGATCTACCTATAATAACATCTAAAAAATGCTTTATTTATTGTTTATGCGCTGTGTCTCTCATTGCATATATACACTGTACACTCGTTAATATATTTTCATTCCGAGTCTCCGTATAACAACTCACCAACTTCTGCAGCCGCGACATTTCATCAGGAAATCCATCTAGATGTGTTCGATTTAGCCGAAGCCATCGGAGTCCCACCATCTCACCCACTCTACGTGGAAAATTATCCTCCTGAAGCAGAACAGTTTGACAATTTATATTATATGCACAACCTTATAACCATTGGGATTCCTTAAATAAGTACAAACAGATAAATATACCTATAATTGCACTAAAGCTATTCACGTTATAAAATACGCCGTATCTACAGGTAAGATTGATATACATACGAAAGGTGTACGCTTTATTTGTCAATAAAATTATGTTGTTAAAGAAGTATCCGTTTAGGGGCAAATATAATTGTATTTCGAGACTATACAAATTCGCGAAACGTTCCAGACAATAGCAAATCGCCAAACCTTGTGACACATTTACTTATTATTATATATTATTATATTTTATTTAAGTTCCAAATAGAATATTTTATACTCACTACAAAGCATACTCTAGTCTCCTATCTCCTAGAACTATAGACAACTATAGCCATTGACGGCCTTCCATATTGACTTAGAATATTTGCATTACGTTAACCTAATCTGTTATGGGCAGCCTATTAAATCTGGCTAGAACGCATATCTGTTCAAAGCTTTAAGTAGAAGCACGACATAAAAACAAAAGCTTTATTTGCGAATCAGTGTATTACTCACTTTTTAATAAGGCGTGCGTCAAGCCATCTAGCATGCCATTTTCTTAATTCGTTGTGCTAAATTTGGTGTGGACATACGCTGCGTAAAAATTATTGCTAGTCAACTGTTTCTGCTACAAAGCGGACAGTCCTGTTTCTTGTTCCAATCTACTATTAATTTATTATACTCTACGTCAAATAACATTGATCACCATCACTACCGCATCATACATGTAGGCTTGTTTGTGGCAATCAGACAATTTTTTTTATGTCAGGAAACGCTGATGCAAAAAAAGAACTTTTGTTCTGTATCGGAGCATTCTTATATTAAAACGGGCGTGGGTGTTCCGGCGACGTCCTGAGAGCCAAAACTGAGCACGTCGTTTTCGGCAGCCCTCGAAGTATTTCACGACTTGTAAATTCTGATTTAGATATGCATCAACACGGCCAGTTTATCCGCTAATTATTTCACGTAGTTTCTTTTACTGTCTGTAGGGCTGGTAAATACGGGAACACTATGTTTGCTAATCTGCAGGTAAATATAGCATTACTAACCACATGTTGTACCAAAAATGCCGATTTTCGATACATACCATCTTTAAGAATCCACTATCGACTCAACTATCATACAAATTATTGGGAGCTCATTTAGAAAGAATAACTCCCTATTTGACATATCTGAGCGGCACCTAGCAGCTGATCGTAGTTGCCACATCACAGGGAACTTGTGCTGCCCAGCTTAGCGACCGATTGCAATTTAAACATACCGAAGCATAATATATTGTATATGACCGAAAACGCGTGATAATTATTTATTAATATATAAGCGAATTGATACGATTTTTTGTGTAACTATTCAGTCGTCTCCAAGCCTTGGACGCCCTGCACAGACCAATGATACATTTCTCCAACTATGTGTATACCAACCAATGTCGAAATTGAGCTATTTAAGTAATTCCTACCGTTAAACCTTTCCATACTTCTTTTACGTCAAGAAAATAGTCGCACTTAGAAAACTAACCAGAACATTCTCATCTCCCTTATTTTATATCAAAAAGACACAGCACACCACACCGGGGTGCTACAGTTATTAAAACCACTGAACGGGTGGGCAGGCTACGGCACCGGTTTGTGTTTCCATGCAGAGCCAGTGGTGAAATAGTGGCCAAACTTTACCAGGATATCTGGGGATGTTGCTGGAGTGTTGAGATTATCACAATTGTGTTGGAAACTTACTTGGAGGTCATTTCTAGCGAGATCTATGCCTCTGACGAACGGGAGCACCCCCGTGCGAGACATCGTTGACGAGTGACGTCCGCCGCGCTCCGAAAGAGCCTATCGAATGCTGCACGATTTTCGAAGTTCTGCCGCCGTCGACCTGTCCACCCAAGGAAAGAGATATTTGTCGAGATCGAGTAAGGAGAATTCGAGCTTCGAAACTAAGTTTCTTCAGGAATTTCATTTCTCTCACCTTGTTTTTGCCTGAGAGCAATTCAGAAACGTACTTGACTTGAGTATCATGACCCCTTGAAGCCATCCTGACAAGTCAAACAAGCCATTTTAAGAATAAAACTTTAGCCGAAGCTTAGAAGAGTTTGAGAGGCGAACAGCTATGTTGATCGGTTAACACCTGCGTTTTTATATCAAAAAGCGCGTGAGCTTTATCCCACAACATAGACAATGGACTACTTGGCATACGGTCAAAGCGAATATATTTTAGCTAATATAAGACAGAGAATCGATGATCGAGAATCAAGACGTATATATATAAACGCAGTTATGCTAGTGAAATAGCGTATAAGCGTCTAATCAATTATAGTCATGATTTGAATGCCGTATTCTAACTGATATATGAAAATATGGGAAAAAACCTATTTTCGATCTATTATTTTCTTGAATTATGTAGACGCACGAGTTTAGTGACTCACTAAAGACGCAGACGCTGTTAAACAATTATCAGAAGACGACGACATATTGTTGTTTTTAATGGGCAAACTTGACTGAGTGTTGCATTAACTTAAGAAACTCGGCTATTTTCACTCGTCGAAATAAAAGATATCTTGCAGTACCGTTACTCGTCATATCCGTGACGGAAATCGATGGATCTTCACGACTAAATTTATCTAGGAAAAGACATAATTTTACAACTGAATTTCAACCCAGATAATTTTCGAATTAGCACGGAGTGTATTGCTGCCAATTGTATCCAGCGAAAGTATTAAAAAAAAAAAGCAAAAGTAGTAAACCGCAACTTTAAACTCGCATCTTCCAATAAGGATACGCATTTTTTACTTAAAGCTATATGTACTCTAAGGACTATATTTTACAAAAAAAAATATATACATATACATATATACGGTGTTTTTTATAGTTGTAGGGAGTTATTGTACTGCACAAGACAGAATTTCGACTATCAGAATCTAAAGAAAACGGAAAGAAAATATTCAAAGTTTCGCGCTATATTAAGGGTACCTTCCAACGTTATTTAGGCATATTTGGCTAAAAGACAAAACAGAAGAGAAACAAGAAACTTATATTTCGAGTAAGCAATCATAACATACCTCGAATCTATGAACGAAAAATAAGCCTATCTAAATAAAAATAAAAGACAACGAGATTAAGGATTGAAATCGTGCCAGAATTAGTAATCCAGTTCCGAAGCTATCAACTTTAATCTTTACTTGATATGATATAACGGCGCCATTGGCTTCGATACATATAGTCTAGGTGATTACCGTACTTGTATGTTGCATTGTTCCTGCCAAATTACAGAAGAAAATGAAAGTAAGGTGACGACCTTGTAGAAGTTAATATTTCGGTTGTACAACGAAGGTAAATCATTCGGCGATCTAGAGTAAACTTATTCCCAATAATGGATCTAGTCATTCAACAATTTAGGACCGCGAACACCTCGATCAAATAGCAAAAATAGGTCACTTTAAGTTTGGAAGCGCAAGACGAAAAGCTTTTTGTTAAATGGTGTGCTACGCTTAGCTATACCGACGAGAAATTCTGTTTTGAAAAAGGAGTAACAGTATAGACGAATGTATTTGTCAGAGTCTGTTTGCCCTTTCTGAGTGATGGGATTCGCCCGCCCGTATGTTTCGGAGGGCACTGTCTGCGCCTGAAAGACGCGTTCATTCGCTGGAGCTTGCCGCCTGAAAGTGTTTATGTTTCGCGCCGCGATTTAATGGTGCTTAAGGATACTTAAACCGTCGGTTTTATTTTTTCCCCGCTTATCTCACCCCGTCGATCGCCTCAGCCAACGGGGAGCCTGACTCCACAAAGGTACATATCTAAGTTATACGGTTCTGCTTAAAATCTAACTGTGGGAAATGTGCAAGATGTATCAAGTGTTTTCAATGGCCTTCTGAACATGGGATGATGACGCAAGTTCAGCTTTAATTTGTACTTAAAGCACGAAAGAGAATGTTTGCGTATTTTTTTGCGTCTCCTGTAGTACATGTAACAATAACGGATGTTAGGTCATAGATACCTAGAGAGACTTGAACAGCCTATTCAGTGTCGACAAATAACCTCGAACTTGCTCAGTTGAATAGCAGTTGTAAAGTATTTCGAATTGTGTCAGTGAGACAATCCGTTATGTGGCCTCGGAAACTATCCGCTCGTTACTGTGAACATGTTCTGACCTAATCAGTATATAGCCAAACATACATGTGGATACTCTTAGGTTAATCCGTGCTGAATTTAAAAATAATTTTATTTCAAATCAACGATCTGTTTATAAATAAATGAAGCGGCAGAAAAAGAAACTGAGATTCGCAAGTTCTGTTTGTCTTAACATAGTGGGACAATTTGTTGTACTTATGTTGTTTTACGGAATAAATTAGGTTTAATTTAAATTACCTTTAGAATGAAAAAAATATGTAGCTGGTTAGTCACATAATTCATATTTTGTAATGCATAGAGTAACCACAAATAACTTAGTACTTTGAGCAATCTTCAAATGTTAGCTATTTAATTTAAAATTTTAAGGGTCGAAGTAATTACAGCTAAATACTGCGATGTATTATATTGTAAATACACAATAGTGTTTATGGGTTGAAGATTATGTCATTTTATAACTTCTGTTCTCTCTCAACTTGAAATTGGGGTTGACAAAGCAACTGTGATCCAAAAACCTACTGACATTATTGATACTACTATCATCCGTGTGACCAATATAACCTAAGCGTCACTGTATTCGGTTGCCAGGAGGGACGAAGATGATTCTTCGGAACGCGAACCGTGGACACCACTATGTGGAGGAAGGCTCGAACCAGGATCGCGACAGCAACTCGTTGTTGGAGGACGACTTCTTCAACGAGGAGGACTCGAATGATGACAACAATGACGTGTCATATGGGCCGTCGGTGTCGTACTCCTCGCAGGGGACTGGACGGGGTCGAGGAAGGGGCCGCGGTAGAGGCCGCGGACGAGGTCGTGGCCGAGGCAGAGGTCGGGGCCGTGGCAGAGGTCGGGGAAGAGGCGCCGCCGCTGCGCATGCTCACTTGATGGCGCACGGCGATGCCGCCCTTCCTGAGGAACGAATGGAAGATAACTTCCCTGCCGATGTGAATCCCCGATGCATATTCGATGTTCTATGTCGAGGACGAACAAATATTACCTACATGGTAGATGAGTGGATCACGAACTATAAAACAAACCGCGAAGAGGGTATTCGAGATCTTATGCAATTCTTCATTCAAAGTGCAGGATGCAAAAGTCAAATTACACGTAGGTATTATATAATATATCTAATAATACAACAAATTAGTAGGCTATACTAAACTGTGATAGCACAGTAGATAAGTTCGGCGGAAAACGATAGGCCAGGTGAAAATAAGATTAAGTAAAGATTCAACAAAGCCATGTAATGTTATATGGTGTATCGTAATATTCGGCATACACTATGGTCATGCGCTCATAAACTGAATTCAATGGGAAATGTTTTTCATTCGTTTCATATATTTGCGTTGTTGCATAGGGGTGATTAACTCATTGGTTTTGGCTAACTTTAAGATGCGAAACGTTTGTACATATTTAGCGGAGATGCAACGTTCAATGGATCATCCACAGATTATTCGACGAATGACAGAAGAATTTGACGAGGACTCCGGTGATTATCCACTAATTATGCCTGGGCCACAGTGGAAGAAGTTCCGCCACCACTTCTGTGACTTTGTTCACCAACTCGTCAAAAGCTGTCAATATTCGATTATCTACGACTCGTACATGATGGATAACATAATTACCTTACTGACCGGTCTTTCGGACTCGCAGGTACATGTGCATGAACCTTATTTTTCCGTTTCTTAAGCTTTTTCACAGCGATTGAGACACCGGTATTACATGTATATATACAGATATATGCGGCGAAAGGATAGTTTTACTGGCGACAAGAGCCGGTTTAAAGATTTTGCTGAAGAGTAAATACTTAGATGGTTAGTTGTACTTATACCAAGAAACCTCTCAACGCAGTTATCACAAAATAAGCTAGAACTTTTTTTTATGTTTTACCTAGTGCTACCATGCCTGGTGCCAATCTGGGAATTAGGCCGTTTTTCCTATCACGTTCTGAGTGTAGCTTCTTTCACATCTGCTAGCTGGATTCGACAGGAGATTTAAAAGAAAATGAGCTCAGAACATGATAGAAACAGTAGAACTCGAATTGCAGACCGCACCAGGGCCGGCGGTCACGAACATCGATCTGTTAATTTATTATTTAAGATACCTTATAAACTAATTTCCTAACACAAGACTGCATCGATTTGTGTGTGCCTCAAGAGATCAGGTCTCGCAGACCCTATATGTTCTTCGCTACCACCTATGCCATACCTCTAAACAAATGATCGTAAGTACGCTAATATTACTACTCGCATCTAAACCGATTGTATTCGGCAGGTTCGCGCTTTTCGCCACACAGCGACGCTGGCGGCAATGAAGTTGATGACTGCTTTAGTTGATGTGGCTCTTAATTTATCCATCAATTTGGATAACACCCAACGTCAATACGACAACGAGTGGGCACGCACTCGTGATCAACATTCGGAGCGGTTGCAGATGCTACTTTCTCGAAGACGTGAACTTGAAGAGAACAACGAGGACATCAAGAACATGCTAACATACCTCTTCAAGTCGGTGTTTGTTCACCGCTACCGGGACATGCTTCCCGAGGTCCGGTGTATCTGCATGGTAGAGATCGGCAACTGGATGAAGAAGTTTCACCAGCAGTTCCTTGATGACTCGTATCTAAAATATCTTGGTTGGACACTCCATGACAAAGTGGGCGAAGTCAGACTCAAATGCTTGCAGGCGCTGTTACCACTCTACGCGAACCAAGACCTGTGCCAAAAAATGGAGTTGTTTTCAACCAAATTTAAAGAGCGTATTGTTGAAATGACACTAGACAAGGAATTCGATGTGAGTGTACAAGCAGTTAAACTCGTCATCTACATTCATCGATATCATCCCGAAGTGCTAACGGATAAGGATTGCGAGCACGTCTACGAGTTAGTGTATTCCTCTCACCGGGCAGTTGCCCAAGCAGCAGGAGAATTTCTTAATGAAAGACTTTTCCAACCCGATGATACCACGGTCATCAAAACGAAACGCGGCAAACGAATGTCAAGATATACCTCCGCACTTCGTGATATGGTGCTCTTCTTTATTGAAAGCGAATTACACGAACATGGTAAATTTGAAACGACAATCAAGTAGAGTACAATAGTTCATTTTTTGGACACTTAATGCTGCCGCTTCCGTTTTCTTTGCCGTTCTATCTGTAGTCATATGTTTTTAAGACCCAAAGATAGCGCAACGTAATATAAATATATTTACATGAAATATTTATAAAAAAAAAAAAAAAAAAAACTATTAGTTAAGCCCACTTGTCTAGATCTGTTGTATTCAGACTATTTGTATTTTAAACGTGCTAGTATCTGATAATATAGGAAGTCAAAAACACGATATATGGTTAAGGAAGCCTCTAATTACTTTTATATTCAAGTCATTTGTAGTGCATTCATTAAGCAATTCGTACTTATTTCGCGTGAAGGAGCGTATATCGTCGACAGCCTAATTGACAGCAACCCGATGGTAAAAGACTGGGAATGCTACACCGACCTGTTGCTCGAAGAACCTGAAGATTCGGAAGACGCATTTGAGGACAAGCAAGAAACAACACTCATTGAGCTTATGGTGTGCGCTGTAAAGCAAGCTGCAACGGGCGAACCCCCCGTAGGTCGTGGAAGTCGCCGTCAGTTGACAGCAAAGGAGGCAAAGCAAGTGCAGGACGATCGCACCAAGCTGACCGAACACTTCATTCAGACTTTACCGGCTATTCTGAACAAGTATGTAGCCGATGTTGATAAAGTTTCTAACTTGCTCGTATTGCCTCAGTACTTCGATCTGGAAATCTATACAACTTCACGACAAGACCGTTCGCTAGATCAGCTATTGCACGCAATGAACCGGTTGGTTGAAATGCACGTCAACGATGAAGCTCTGGTAGCATGCGCTAAGACTTATGAAGCACTTTGTAATGAAACACTAGCAATTTGGTCTAAGTGCAGCGTGAGTAGGGCAACGTTGATAGACGGCCTTCGTAACAAGTAAGTAATCACCCCTACTTCAAGTTACTTCCACCAAATGCAGTTAATCATATATTATAATATTTACATTTAATCATTTTTAAGTTTCCGCTTTTGTAGTGCTTAACGGTTGTTCAAGCTCATTTGTTTATAATTGAGTTAGAGGATGACAAAAAGTGATGATAGGTGGGCTGCAGAGGCTTCAAACATTTTTTCAGCAGCTAACATCATACTCGCTATTTGATTTGAACCCAGTTTGCTTTACGCTAGATGATTAATTCTAATATATTAATTCTAGTAATTTGCAATTTAATACTTGAACAACATTTGCTTATTAATTTCAGTTATCAAACTGCGCTCGCCGATTTTCAACAGTACGCCGCTGATGACACACCAGACGAAGAAACGGTGTTTCGCATCACTAACGCTCTTAAGAAGCTTGCCATCTTTTACGATATCCACAATCTTGGTCCGTGGAGAATCTGGAATCTATTATGGGAGCCATGGGTTAAGGCGCACGTGAGCCAACAAACATCTGTCGAGCTTCCTGTTGACGCGGTTCGCTACGCTATTTCGGCGTGCGAATCCTCACTCATCTGGGACATGAAATCGATCGTGGATGGCGGTGGCCATCACAGCGCAGTCACACCCGCACTCCTTCGTGACAGTGTCTACGAATACATGGCCTGCCTTTCGACCCTTCTGATGGATAACCAGCTAAGCGAAGAAGCATTTATGCGCCTTTGCGATATGCTCATCTATTTTTCGCGGGAGTTTAAGAATGTTCCAGGTCAAGATGTGCTCTATTACGAACCATCTGACATGATGATTGAAGATTTGAAGCGCTTTATTGAGAAGCGTGTCTTTGTCGCCGACGATCACGACGATGGTATGGACGAACAACAGAAAATTGAAAACCTTCACAGACGGCGCAAGTTCCTGGCTGCTTACTGCAAGCTAGGTATCTACAACGTGATTGATATCCCACACCTGAAGCTCGTGTTCCGCAATTATATGCGCTTCTATAACGATTATGGAGATATTATTAAGGCGACTCTCGGCAAAGCTCGTGAGATTAATAAGGTCATATGCGCAAACACGATGGTAGAAGCGCTGTTTTCATTGTTTCGCGATCTTGATAGGGATCGAAACGGTTGTATTGACCGCGGTTCAGAGCAGTTCAGCAATCTCAAGGAATTGGCCAAACGGTTTGCTCTTAGTTTTGGCTTAGATAACCTGAAAAACCGTGAGGCCATTGCGGCGTTTCATCGGCGTGGCATCCAATTAGCCGCCCATCCCCTCGAAAACGAACTTAACTCACAACTTACCCACCCGCCAAATCTCGCATTCCTGGAGCTGTTGCTGGACCTTGTGAATAAGCTCATGAAGCAAGATCGCCGCGTCGTATGCGCATATCTGGAGAAATCGATTCCCGCCCGTCTGCCAGTAAGCAAATTCGATGATTGGGAGCCACACAGATTGTACAGGTAAGGCCCTGATATTAATTCCAGCCTGAGTATGACTATTTTAATTTGTAAACATTAACATTAATCCAAAGTTCTGATTTAATATCGCGTAAGCATCGATTTCGTATACGATTTGTGATCTCTGACTGTAAACTAGGTCGGTCAGGCTGTTTTCTGGGTGTTTTAACTCACTAATCGGTTTCTGCGTAATTATCTCTAAATAGATATGACAAGCAAAAATATTAAAACGTTTTCTTCCCGTTTAATTGTGTCCAATAGATCTTGTCTACTCCAAGGTGAGGAAGCACCGCCTATGGTTGGCGGTAGTGGACGACAACCTGGCAAACAATATCAGGGCCGGGGCCGAAAACGACATAGAGATGAAGATGAGGTAATGGACTTCGACGGCGATGACACTGAAGACACAATGATGTAGGCTCAATGCGTTACCCTTGAGGCCTAGTTAATTACATCAGAGTGTGAACCTCGGTTACTAAAATCTAACATTAGATTGTTTCTGCACCGTTTGTTCAAACGATCGAGTTCGTGTGAAGAGTTGTTTTTAAGAATAGGTTTTTATGTTTTGCGTTATACCTGAGTTCTTGGCTAGGTCTTGGTTAGATTAGAACCCATTATGGAATGATGTCTATGGTAGTCACACAATCATTGGTGGGACAACGAACACGAAAATTACTGCTTAGAACATGTAGTGAGGTCAAAGCCAAAGCGCAAAGTGAACAAAACGTCAATTAGCGAAAATAACATCGATGACAAGAAGTGACAAATTAGCAGAAACGTCAATTCCTGGTTGACGTCATTCAGCTTAATATGCCCATTAACAAGAAATAAGTTATTAGGGTTTCAATATATGGGTGTCGATAAAACAGCAAATTAATTAAGACACGCCTGTTCCTATATGAGATTTGTTTTGTGAAGTTTATGTGAATAATCCTGTCATTTTTATTCAACTTACGTGAGGAACTACACCTTACCGAATGTGACATTCCTCTATTTTTAGGGAGCATCGTCATAATTTTATAAATTATCAAATACAGTTCCGCTGTGTATAGATTGAGCTCTTCCCGTTATGGGTTAATCTGTATACTTAGATATACACATAACAAGCTGTGCATCCGTGTCATAGCTGTAATTGCACACACATTAGAAAGTAATGTGTAAAGGAACCTTATACAATCATTATATAGAAATGTAAACATGTGACAAGTTCATGTGCGTCATGTAACAGATAAAGGATAGAAGTAGATTTATATATCGATATTCGCCGAAACGATCACAGAGAAAAGTACACCGGTAAACAGCATGTACTAGCAGAATAAGAATACACGAATCTATGTATACCATAGTAATAAAATTGCCTTGTGAAGCGTACGCCAATCACGTTATTGTTATTTGTTACTTTTTATTTTGGAAAACTGCATAATTGGGCACACTTTTGCTAACTTGGGGAAAGGGAATCAATTTGTCCTGAAGACCATGATGTCAATCAGATGGAGCAGAGAAACTCGTTGCAGTTGAATTCGATTACAATTGATAAATGTTCATGATTCGACGTCAAGCGAAATTTGGATAACTTCATCCGTGTAACTACTTGTCTGCCTGCCTGTGTCAAGCTATACGATTCATCCATTAGCTATGATCACCATACGAAATTTGTGACTGGAATGATATGACAGTTGAAAGAGCTTGTCGCGACCCTTCCATATATGTAAATAATGTAACCCCTAGGAACATAGATTTCTACCTATATCTGTCATCAATTTTTAGAACTCAAAATATTTATCATTAGAGTTAATTTTAGAAAAAATAGGCTAATTTCAGAAGACAAAGCTGAACAGAATAAATAATTATGTTTCAGGGACAAAGAATAACAATCCTTAACAATATTATTATTCTTGATTCGTATTTTTGTTCTAATAACAAAAATGACAGTTCCTACGGCAGTGAGGACAGCTATAGAAAAAAAAAGTGAACGGTACAGGTGGGCTTGGTTCCAGAAAGGTGGACTCGTTTCTTAGAGTAAACGATTCTTAAGCAGCACCAGTTTCTTCACCTATTTGTGTATTCACTAAAATTATCTTATTGGAATCTCTATCCTTGAAAATTCACCTTTAAAGTTATTCTGATATAACGTGCAAAATAGTTTGTCTATCTGATGATCAACGTTCCGTATGCATTACAGGATATGAGATGATACTTCGCTGTTGAACTAAAATATTTACACAATATTATCTTCTTGATGTTCTACTATCTAAATGTATGGTTTCACAATAACTGACTACTAATGTGTTAAGGCTTGCTTTTGAAACTACGCCAAACAGAACGTTTTTTTGCTGTTTAAACGGATAATCTAATGCGACGCAGCAACATTTCATTATCGTGCAAGTTTCTAAGCCCAACCTCAAAGTGGACTTCAGCGTAAGATCTTTTGCGCTCCACCGATGCAAGATGAAAGTCAAAAGAAAAGGATGGGCTTATTAAACTTATTCGAAGATATTTTTGGCTTAAATTTACTTACGTCACTGCCAAACTGCGCATAAATTTCAGATTTTGAATTGTGAGAAATTCCTTTACCTGCTAATGAAGAACCACTGACCCAAGGAAATTTAAAGTAGGAGATACTGATCGTGACTGCCTTCGTGGCAATGAATTAACTCATAGCAAATATCTACAAATGACACGTGAGCTAGTTAGATGTAATCCAAGCCCCTCAAAGCCCTATGCTGTTTTCAATGACCAGACAACCCAAATAGGCGTAAATATTTATATATCTTTTATTCGCTACAATTCGTAACATGAAAATGTTGTGATTTTACTTTTCTTCCCGTAAAAGTCCGACTAATTCACTTCCAGACATTCGGAATAACACATCTTATTCTCCACACCGCTACCATTTTACGACGACTCATTGTTTCTATAATAACATTACATGGTAAAAATCCGTACTAAAATCTGGAAACTCAATTAAAAATAATCACTATTTGTATGTTATTATTATTGATATTATTAGCACATCGAATTCCTACGTGTCAAGACCAGATTTTCATGAAGTACTTCATTACTAGCCTCACGTACAACTGGTACCTCACACGCCCTATTTTGTGATCCATTATAGCATTCCGTGTCCTTTTCAAACGTTGTCGACGATGGATTCGTTCCATCCCTCGTGACAATGACTGTGTACAGTGTTATGTATATTTATATGTATATATAGTAGATGGGTATCTCTGTCGTCCAGCGTCACCTATCATACAAACACATTTTTTTTACTCTGTTTAAAAATACGACTGCCAAGTCTACACGATCTATTTACAGTTCTCACGCTACATATATTATGTCGTTTTACAGTCAGCAATAGCTTTCATCGAATCTTTCGTACGTTCGCATTTCATTTATATGTAAAGTTTAATGTCTTACGTGTTATTCGCATAATGTAGTACCATCAATGATGATATCTGTAATATCATTCGGGCTTAACAGGTTCACAGTCTAGTACGACTGGCAGACTGGTGGTGTTATAGGTCTTATATTTTTTAAGCAACAAATTTCTATTACAATAGAAATAATTCCCGAATTTCAGAGCAGCGCTTACTGATCATTTTAAAACATAAATAGAATTATAGGTTAATATTGCTTCGTCTATCAACTAATTACCTGACAATAATCAGACAAAACAAACAATGCTTTTTCGTAGCTAACAACTGCATCTGCTGCCTACATATTATGGCGTAGAACACGTGACACCCGCTTCGTGTTTCCCTATAGTTCATTTTTTTGACTTCACGTATATCCGTCTCTACCTAAGCATAGGTAAAGTAGATACTACCTAAAGTCTTCTGTTTTCCTTCCTCGAATTTCTGTTGATACTGTAAAACTCAGTCAGCCTGGTCACTCCCAGTTTGTCTTGATAACCAAGGAGGTTTCTTTAAGGTTGGTATTCGTTAAATATTATTGTGACGTTACGTATAATGTTAGCTTTTGAACACTTTATTAATCGTTGTCATTATATGTAGGTCATCAAGTACCTCCTTCGGATAATTTCTCCCGCATATACAATTTAGACTTGTCATTATTTACGGAAAGGACCATGCGTTCCACATGGACCGTACTGTTGCCAGCACGCCGGGAAATAGGCCCCGAAGGATAATGACAAGTCCATAAATTTCGAAAACAATCCCGATCATCGGAAACCCGTACAAAACAACTGCCATACCAAGCAATAATGCACCTGTCGCCTTAGCGCGGCTCCGCTCGAGAAAGTAGGCTACGGATCGCTGTATGCCTACGACGAGCGTAAGTCCGAGAAGTAGGAAAATATTGGCCAAAGCCATAAGTCCGCCATCGAAAAACAGCATCACTGATAGAAACAGAAAGACCACGCCAAACGTCAGGAAGCCAAGGCCGGCCTTCTGCACATCGGTGAACTCCAACATCGCTGCGAAGGCAGATAACGCGCCGTATGGCTAGGCCCTACCTCAGCTTTTTTTTTTTTCAGTTTAACAAACTAGCACCTTCAACACTACGACCATGCCAACACCGTTGCTCTTATTCGTCAGATCAACTAAAGAGATCGTCGCACATTTGGGAGGCACCGCTGCTTGTTTCCCTGCTGTTGGTCAGCTGATAACGGCCTATGAGAGGCAAGTCACATCCAGCTGTTACTGCAAATTGATCCTGTTTCTTAGTTACTGTTCCAGGACTGAACTAAGGTCTATAGCAAAGCATCAGTGGCCCGATAGTAGTAATCACAACATGCATCGAACATTTCGTTGCCGGCTACGCCTTGTCGAGTTGGAAGCCCGTTCAGAGCGAAGTCTATTGACTCTGTGAATTGTAGTTTAGCGTTTCGTTTGAATTGCGATTTTAGCGTATCGGTGTCCGACATATAAAGTAGGCGGCATCAGGCTACAACAGCGCAAAGGGCATCAGCGTGTACACTGTTAAACGCCATCTGTCTTGTGCATCCGTAGCTCAATGGCTGTGGTGTACCAGCATTAATATTCATAATGATACTGTAAGCGAGGTAGCTATCATTGTTGATGCTATAGAACTATTTGTTAGTCTCTCTTACTCAGCCACACTTTCACCCACCCATTTCTCCGACTACTGCGGCATGCTTATCATCGCGGATGTGGCTTCTTTCTCGACGTAACAGCTTATTCAGAAGGAGCTTTTGTTGAGAACACACTTTCTACTATTAGCTATCGTGGTTAGTCGAGATATCTGAGACTTTTAGAAAACACTATCTGGGTAGGTACTGCAATCAGAACTCACTTCTGTATCCGTCGAGGCACGATAACGATAACATAACTAGTCGTCGATTCGAACATCGCCCAGTGGTGTCTAACGCCTAGTCGCCACTGTTGCTGTTTTTACCGACTGTCGATCACCTGAAGTGTGGTTTCTTCTGTTATTTAAAAGGAATTGGGCAATGCCGGTCAGTAACCGGAAAGCGAGCTGCAAAGGCAGGATGACGGAGAAAGTTGAGACGATATTATTGTTGATGGCAATAATATGATACACGATAGACAAGAGTCGGTGTGTCGGCTACTTGCTATATTTTGCGTGCTTGTATGCATAAATGTCTCTCACGGTTTCAATGGTATACTATAGTTACGTTTACTGCTATTTAGCCATAGGAAACGTGTCGCACTTCGGCCGCGACAACACCAGCGGTAATCGGGAGAGGTCCTTGCAAATGCTTGCCTAGATCCAGCTGGCGCCGCTTGATTTGCTAGCCAGTGGCTCGTTAATTGGGGCCTATCTGTTAAAGGCCTCCATATGCTGAGCGTGCGTTCGTCCTTTCCCCCTTTTTCCTTTCTCAGTGTTTACATTATTCAGCAGCAATAGAAGCAGGGCAGCGATGCTGGGAATGTTTATCGAACAGTAGTAAATTTATTCGCCATCTATACTGCTCCGGTAGGGCTGCTGCTGCAGCAGCGTTGGCCGTTGAGTGCGGGACTGTCGGACAATGTCGTGGTTCTACTTGTCCGGTGCATTATGAGAGCTACCGTAATTAAATTAAAAACAGGTTCGACCGGGTCCGTTTTTAATGGATGGATGGGAGGAACGTGAAATCGCCATTCCTATTTGTCGCTTCGATTACTGCGATTTAGTATTGTCGAAACGAAGGTTGCAAAAAAGAGCGTTTGGCCAGATATGTAGACGGTCGTATTCTTTATTGCTGTTCTAGATAGGCGCCGATTTTTACATGCATCAATGTGACTGCGGATATTCTCGCAACCGTTTCACCGTCATCGATTCTTAACATCTGCCATCGTCCATTTTTATTACTGACGAATTGACAAAGAGTAAGGTAGTGTGTGCGAAAACCTCATCAACTGCATACCGTCGTCAACGAGCAGTTGTAATCGGCGCACTTCAATCTTGCGACTTGCTAACGCACGATGGTCTTTAGTAAACGACGGCCAGTGAGTCAGTTATTACGATCGCCCATGTGTGTGTCTATGTTTGCGTCTTTTCGTGCCGTTGTCGTCTTGTGTCAGTTCTTTTTGCGTGTGCAAGGACCGTGTTTAGTGCGAGTGGAGGAATCTTGTACAAAGTCCGCGCAGTTGGGAGTTCTATGCTTCACCTTAGCCAAATGTCGGTGTATTTACTTCCGCGAGCGCTGGGCGCTCACAGAGCTCTGCAGCAGCCTGATCTCGTCTTTTATCAATACTATGTTGACAGTTGGGCTACTGGATACATTGAGTAAATTAAGTTGTTTTCCGTTCTCTTTTTAGTACATTTCACGTTTACCCTGTGAGCCAACAAGGACAGGAATGACAACGAATACTGCCCAGCCTTCATTCGTCTACATAATGCTACATCAACCTGAATGAAGTCGAATCGAGAACGCAGCTCGATGTCGATTCAATACCATGCGAACTTAGCGTAGAAACGTGTGCGATAGTATATGTTGTAGCTTTTAATATGTTTCAAGCAATTGTGTGCTATGTGTGTACTTCCTGTGTGCATAACAGTGTACTGGAGTGACAGTGGGCGCAAATCAATGTACAGCGCCATCAAATGTGCCTTGCAGATCATTTTATTCGTTCGCTTATTCACTGGCAATTTTGTGTTAATTTTGGTGCGGCTTGCTTCTCCTAACATTGTGACTAATATCATACGAAAATAGCTCTAGGCTAAATATACTGGTAACCTTTTTCCTTGTAAGTGTTCCATTTATTGTCTTATCGCCGTCTTTGAATTTTCAATAACAGCAGTGCCATCAAATTTTTTGTCGTCATTTAGAGTAACGCTTCGTCATAGTGACAACCGTAATGAGCGATAAATGTAGCTATTTAAGTGCGCAATCTCTTCTATAGATCGAGTAACGTCAGACTAAAACCGCTGTCTCGATATTGATGTCGATTGCACAGAATGACATGGCATTCTACTATCGTTTATATGATCTGTCACTCGTTTAGTTTCCTTATACGAGCACTATGCAGAGCTAGTAACTTATTAGGTAATATGCAGGTTCCGAACACCCGCCAAAACTTTCCATTGTTTCGATGGCTATATAGATCGGCTGAACAGTTAGGCCGTTCGTGCACTATAGAGCTTATCGTGTAAAAACTTCAAGTACTTCTAATATGAGATCAATACACAAACAAATCGCAGTGATGCTACTTCATTCAAATAAGGAGTACACTAAATAGTACTTACGCTAGTCTGTTTCGTGAGAAATTAATAGTATTAGTTCGCTACTCTTTGATAACTCTGCCTATGAGAAGCTCATAGAGCGTTCAGTATGTGAAATTGGATTCATCGATCATTTAGAATTCGACTTATGCGTCGTCTAAACAATTGCAGGCTTGTCTCTTTTTTAAGTCGCGAGGTCAATGATTAGCGCACTGCGTTTGCTCACCATTTCAGCTTATTGCGGGTGGGTGGGTGGAGGGCCGTCTATGTGCGTGTATGTGTGTGTGTGCCTGTGTGTGTTTATCAACAACGTAATATAAGATCATTAAGCTTGTGCGGCGGGTGCGTTCCGCTGTGCACTTGTATCTTTTACTATATGGTTCTATCGAAAAAGATGAGAAAAAATGGACAGCAACTGGCGCTGTCGTTGCTTCTACTGCTGCAACTAGTGGCGCTGCCTTAGCAGCTTTTGCCTGAAAAGAATTCAGCGCTAAGAAAAAAACAGTGCCATGAAGATGCATTTGCATATTATATGCAAGTCTTAAATGGCTCTGAAATAGGAGAGGCGTAAAGTGGGGTAAATGAGGAGGAGAAAAATTTATTTCAAGAACAACAAGCAAGGCGAGGGATAAAGAAGACAAAGAGCAAAATATTGTGTCGCTGCATTAAGCGTCGCCGCTGTCTGGCGCAACGAACGGATGCTGCATTCGTGGGCTACTGTTACGTGGTGCTCAAACTACCCAGTACTCCATCTTGCTGCTGCTGCTGGGCCAGCTGGAACTGCACACACATACGTATGGTTGCGCAGCTCTACATTTCTCTCTGACCACAATTTTATTGAAAATAAGGACAGAGGATATTAACATAAGACACACGTGCAGACTATAAAATTACATAACACATTTTGCAGTCCCTACGCACATTCAAAAACGTTGGCTACAGATGTTTGTGTTATTACAAGCAAAATCTAGTGGAGTCTAATGAATGACTATATGAAAATTAGAATTGCGCCTATCTTTTAAACAATAGTCCTAGTTCGACTACAATAGAAAATGACTTAAATTTTGAGCTGCATAAATTTTTCAACATAGACGAAAATAAAAATTGTGCTCATTTAATTGCAGATTCAGAAAGGGCAGAACAGGTATGTTGATTGCCGCAGAATTTCCTCTAGTGTAAATAGTCATAGTCGAACTTCTTGATGTAGCCTTTTTTAATCAGCGTGTAGGGCAAACAGGCGTATATTATAGGCTAGATTCACTTGTTTACACGCATTACTAAATTAAAGTGATCTATGTACAACATATTGGTTCCGCGCTTCCTTCTTGAACGATAACGAAAGAAGCGTAAGGTTCACTTAGAAAATCATTCGAAAACATACTGCATTAACCAAAATGTGCTATCACATGATCCCCAGTGAGATTACTTCTACCGTACCTACTCTAAACCAGTCCAATATATAGCAAGACGTATTATAGGTTCTGCAAATTAGGACTCGAATCTTATTCGTTCTACGTTAGCAAGAAACGCTAGCTTGAAAAGCAGTGTCATCATCGGGTCATATGAATATATATATATAGTTAAAATTGAATCTATTATCTCCTGTGTTTTTTGAATGCCCCCGAGATATGCGTAGTATTGCAGCACGATCATCAAAACCGTTCAAGTATTAGATATACTGAACTGAATAAAGTTACGCGTTCGAATGGAGCTGGAATTTAATCCCGTGTCGGTGCAAAGTTTGATTTCTCACGATAATTAAAACGAGTCTCTTCTGCTATTTTACATTCTAAAATCTAATAACCACATAACTCATGATCCATTATATAATTCACGTAATGGACATTTTCATGCTTATTTTACAATAGCTCTTGAAAATATATAAGATTGCGGAAATATGTTTAGTAAATCTACGCGTGCTTCTACTAAAATGTAATGTCATTTCAGACGCGGCGGCCAACTTGCAGCTGTGCGATGCAGAAAATTAGTTCAATGCTTTGCGATTTACGCGCTCTAAAAGTAACCAAGGAACAAATCTATTGGTTTGTGCCATGGTTAGTGCCACTTCAGAGCTAATGAAGAATCATCGTACCAGGAGCCGCAACGCAAACCTTTACCGAAAGAGGGGCCGGTGTGTCCTACATCACCTGAATGCGTTACCTAAACCTGACGCCTGTTCCACAGTGCTACTGCGCCGCCTTCTCCTCTACAGCTCTGACGCCTTTTCGATTCTCCACCTCACTTCCGCCCCTTGGTCATCCTAGTCACGGTTTCTAACACGGTTCAACTAATTCTGCACTGTGTGCTTTTTGTTCCGCAGTTATACACCAATGTGTGATCCCATGCTAGCGCAGAAGATTATTAGCTAGAGCGACTTAGTGATCTCTTAAAGGAGTCATCACGTCTATGCTCATGTGTTTACGTTTATAAATTCATGCAAAAGGGACCCCGCTTGATGGTCCTAGATAATATACACTCCGAAAGAGGTGATGCCTGTTCATTTTGGTACTGTTCACTGTGTCTCGTTACCAACTACGGATGAAGTTCACACGATGGTGCCTGCGTCGCAGAATCCACATCAATGTTTTACAGTCGCATGTGCGAATCTTATTTCATAGCTGATTCTTCTTGCAGTTACTTGTTTTCTCGCTAAATCGCCCTTATAGTCAACTTAGAACGGAAACAGAAACGACACGAGAAAGTTACATTAATCGGGTCAGCGATTTTATCGAAGTTAGGCTACTTCATTTCACTGAATTCTGAACATGTACTATATAATAATAATAATATGTTTGAACATTGGTAGATAACTACAGCGCAGCAGCACTCAGTGGCAGTGGGCACTTCTCTTACCCCCACCCCCCTTTTTCTTAAACTAGCTCAACAGAACAATAAATGCACTACTCTTTCTGTAAACAATCGTCGCTCTGTTTTTAACCATAATAATTGCTTTTTACTGGTGTATGTGTCGTGCAGTTTCTGATCAGATTTCTGGTGATGGCAGCAACAAAAGTGGATATGAACGCATACGATGGGATATGTTTCTTACTGCGTCTATTCCGGAATGATTTCAGGTATTTTACAAGCATTAGCAGATGCCTCTCGCCGAACGCGAGTTAGTGGGAATGGGAAGGCTTTGTACAGGTTAGTCATTCTTGGTCAATGTTTGCTAAACATTTACTCACTTACTCATAGCAGTGCATAGATCCGTCGACGTCTCAACCACTAAAGCGCCGAGAAAACGGAATAATAAAATTGAGGTGATCCCGTGCAATATCGGTAAATGTAATTCTGAGTCAGCCGAAGCAGACCGATAAAATGGCGTAATGCGTTAGCTGGTCCTCGATTCGCGCAGGCTTTTATTCATGTGGCGTTTATTCGTAGACCCAAGTTTAGTAACGCCTGCGAAACCTGTACTAAGTTTATATGGGCAAATTTACACATGCATTTTAAGAATTCTGCCTTTATGACTAACCACCTCTGGTCGCGAGCCGCAAAAGATGGCGATCACTAGATAGCCAATAAAGAGACAAGCAGAATTAGCACTGCTCCATTAACGCTGGGTTGAGCCAAACGGTGTAACTCTTATGATCAGGCATATATAACCAGATTCTTCTTCAGTATAGGCAACAGAAACATCTCACAGCTAAGGCTTATTCGTATTTATATTGAAGCTAATATGTTGGTACCGTATGACCTTTGTTATTATTATTATTTTTAGCAAAAGAGAGTCGATGCTCAGATGTTTAAGCATTTTAGTGAGATCTGTAATAAACTTCTACTTAGAGATGAACTAGTCTGATTATGAGCTTGTAGATCGAATTTCCAGATAATTGTGATTTTACCTCTTAATAAAAAATCATATAAAGTAATATTTCTACTGCAAGATCACGAGGCGAATATTTACTGGCTTAATCCTGCATCCATGTCAAGGTTTACATACCTCAGGAGATGTATATATGTGTGTAAAATGAATATAATTGTATAATGCTATTAGGCCAGCCCCTCATTATGCTGCTTAAAGTGAGCTCATTTCCTTTTTCTATTTCTGTGATTTTACCACCTGTGCGCGCACTCAAATGCTTCTGGTGAATTTGATTAGATTCAAATCTACCTGCTTAAAAACATCTTCTTTTCTTCTACCCGATACTTAACTAAATCTGTCACACAGTTCTCGTTAAACAACTGCCGCTCTGTCCGTGCGCGTGTCTATCTGCGGTAGAAATGGCTCTAGCGTAGCAGTAATAGTGGAGGTGGCAGCGGTCTAAACTGTCCTATTGTTAGATGGACACAGTCGAATGAACAGCAACGAACCGGCCAAAAGAGTCAGTAGTCCTGATAATGACACCAACGACAACTGATTCAAGCTGAGCAAGCCAGGCTGTTGTCCTGCATGTTTTTGCTCTGTCGTCCACTAGGTTTACCTGTTTCGTTCACCATTCTATGTATAGTGCATACACACAGATCTGCCGATGGATTTAGAATATGGAAATATCCGCAGATACTCAATTGAAACCGCCGTCAGGGCTCACAATCGCCGTGAATCGTCCAGTCGCCCTTTGTCTCCGTCTCTTTCCCTTACTTCCCCATCGTTCGAAATATCAGAATCGTAAATTTTCTCCCGGCTGGTAGCTGGTGCAAACACCCTCCCGTTTATTCTTGGTTATATCCTTTTTGAATATCGGTGTTAACTAGGCGTCACTACAAATACAAGAGGCCAGATCAGCTCATGCTAGATTTCAGTCTGTTGCATCTGTTAGAGAAGTCTACACCCATGAATTTGCTGACTCTGGCAATTCATCGTGAGATCAACCCATTTAATTATTGAAAGTATGATGTTTATGCGAGGCGCAATACAATATCATATATGACATGTATGGGGTTCACTAGGCCGAATATGTTTTTCACAACGAATAACTTCCGTTTACGAGCAGCAAAAACCCGTGTAACTACCTCAGAGGGCTCTTACATTGGGCTTGGACTTATCATGATAGCTAATTTCGATTTTACTCTCTTCATGTCCATAGAGCAAAATATGAATTCATTTTAGTTTAATGAGTCCATACTTGTTTTCGTTTTTGTCGTTGCTCTCCTTTTAATAGCTCATTACTATTGCTACCGTGTTTGCCATGGAGAGTTTCGAGAGTGCTAAATAACTGTCAAAGATAGAAGCAACTCATACGCAATCAAAAATTATTGTCACGCTGGAGGGTAAAGAAATCTTCCGATTTGTTACCTTAGCTCTGTTCGCTTCTAACGTCCATTGGCGAGCGAAGTTAATCGTTGAGGTCACATTGTGGCAGCATAAACCGTAACTTCCGTTCAATTCAGCTTGAAATAAATGTGCGTTCCAGATTGTCCTATACTAAGTATTAAGCGCACTTGAATATTTCGGTGCATAGTAAGGTCAGGTGGACAAAGAGAATAAGTAATAAGCAGCAAGACTAGCTGGGTAATTGAATTTCTATTGGAAAAAAAAATGCTTAACATCTCTTTGCTTGACTTGAAGCTTGTTCGTAGCGGTTTTTGTCAGTGACTCTTTTTCGCTCTCCGACAGCAGAGTTTCCGCTGCCATAATAACATTAATTGTTGTCGTTGTTCGCTGCGTACTTACATCAGTCGGTCCCTCCGTTTGATCGCGTAGTTTACCCGCCTCACTGTCCGTCTGACCGCCGACGACCGGTCGTCGGCGGTCAGATAGAAGGAGACGGTCCATTTGTCCGTCAAGCCATTTTAGCGCGCGCACGCTTCTTCCCATGACTGCCTGCCTAAAACAACGAACAACGCTTGCTCGGTCGCCCTTCAGTAATCGACCGTTCCTTAGTATCGTTATTCGTTGGCGGCTGCGCGCTGTTGTTTGGTTAATATAGCCACAACAGCGACGCCAACAACAGCAGTCGCAACGACGGCTTCGGTGGAGGCACAGCAGTAGCAGCATAGATATCTCCTGTTGATGATGATGATACTGCTACTGCCGCTAGGGAAGAAGAGAAAGAGGCGGCAGTTGTGACTTATTCTGTTGGACTGATCCTGTTGGACCTAATTCTGGGTTGGGTAGCTGCCGTCCACGAATAATAGCTTATAGCACGACTACATTCACTACTGGTGCCGTCGATAGCGAGGTCCTCGTCTGTAACACCCCGCGTTACCTGCTTGACTAGCTATTATAGATAATAGTAGAGACTGATAAGTGGAGGTCTGGCTCAATTAGTCAGCTACTGGCTAGTGCTAGTGGTGGGCGGCTGCAGCAGTGGCCTGGTGGGCCGTCGTTGCGTGATGGCGCTCCTTTCTGTTTGCCTGTCCCTCGTCTGTCTACTCACCCAGCGAAGGTTGCTGCCGCCGCGCGGGAGGAGGCAGTTACCGCTGCCAAAGTGGCAGTTGTGTAAATATTAGAAATGTTCGTCGACAGACTTTCTGCATCGTTCTTCGATGTTCATTCTTGATAGCTGGGCTACCCCTGTTTCTGCTGATGCTGCCGCTTTTCCGTGTTATCACCCGCGTTGATTTGCTGCTGCTAGCGCGGTAAGTCGTAGTGGTACCAGCGTGAGGCCGCTGCGAAGCTAGAGGTTGGTTACTGATGGTCGTGCTGCTGCTGTTTGTGAGCGCCGTATGGACGCTTGCGGCAGCGTGTGCGCCCGCTAGGTGCTGGTGGCTCGATCGTACAATATTTTATACACACACAGTAAAATGCGCCGCTGCAGTTTGTCGTAACTAACGATAGTGCCGATGATTCGGGGCGCGCTGTATGAACGGCCAAGATAGTAAAACGGAGGCCGAACGAGAACGCGAGTGAAAACGAATAAGTCTGGTTTATCAATCCGGAAAAATCATCGTGATAATATCTAGCAACAGCAACTAGCTTTGACGGGAAAGGGCATGGTGATGATACTGATGACGATGCCAGGGGGTGGCAGTATAAAGGCTTAAGGCGGCAATAGTCGCATGAAAATAAAAAAAAAAAAAGATGAGAAATGTTTCCGTTGCTTTCTATATTTACGCGTCGTTTACAGTACTTTCCCTCGTTCCGATAGATTTAGAAATAATAATTTCAGTTCGTTGTGCCACGAATCCAATTTCTCTAGGTGTTCAGGTGTAGAGGATCGGAAATCAGTGCTGCTCATAATGACGAATATCTACACAGTGATCTAAATGACTTAGAAAACATTACTTACACCAACCATAAGCAGTGACGCAATTGGCTTTTCTGTAATTGTTTATAATTACCGCCGCTAACAATAGCATGGTTTCAACTAAAGGATCAGTAAAAAAGTAAAAATCAGTAAAAATATTTACTCTATATCGAAAACTGGTCGAGTGACATCTCGTATTATCGAACATACCTGCTACGTCGAAATAGCGTCTGACGAAGAACGGCTCACGATGTCAGCCAAACTGTAGAGTTTACTGAATGCGGCTTGGACGCGCTAGCATATAAATAAACGAACAAATAGGTCATGACAAATATCAGAATTCTAGGTCCTCCGCTCATTATCACATCATTCACTTTTCCATGACTCATTGGCTTAACAGTTTAAGACATCATCAGGCCCCAGTTTCATTCGTTGTGTTTGGATCTAGTTTTTCGTAGATGTCGTTTTTTAAAGGTTGACCCTTGAACGTTTTTTGTATATCATGCTAATAATATCCGACTGAGTAAGCGAACGGCACTTATGTGTGGGGGTTTTTTAGTTAACAAAAATTATGCTATTAATAATGGTGTGAATTTGTAATGATTCTGTGTAGATGCGGCCAATGCGAATACACTACATCGTGGCCTTCTTGGTTGAAGACTCATATGCGAGTGCACACAGGAGAGCGGCCTTTCAAATGCACAGTGTGCGACTACACCTCCTCACAGAGTTCTAATCTTCAACAACATCTTAAGAGACACTCGGATGAGAGGCCGTACAAATGCGATCTCTGTGATTATCGGTATGATGATGATGATAAAAAAGATGAGTTGTATTTAGTTAAGTTGTTTCCTATTGGACAGCCAGGTACCATTTTGCAAAAAGGTAAATCCAACCAAAACAAATGTCATCTCATTGTGGAGTATAAAAAAAAAAACTGTTAAAAGTACAAAACAAAAAGCGATAGTACATTGTTTTCTTCAAGTTTAGCACATAATGTTTCCAATTTACTAGGTTAAGTTGGTTGGCAGATAGTAAATTAAGCCTAAGGAGATTATTACGTGTGCATTGCTCTTACCACCTAGAGATTCAACGCTCGTATATTTGCTGATTGGTGTTCTTGATTATGTAACGTCATGATTAATTAGAATTTACAACCCTCTGCGTTATGATCGTAATTTCAGCTGTAAACGGGGCCACCAGCTGGTGACCCACAAACGTTGTCATCTGAACAAACTTCGAGCGGCTGGGGTGCTTTGCGATCTTGTCGAGGGCGGCGTCGGGGTTGAAAGCTTCCTATCGCCTTTGCTCGCTTCACAACAACCGTCGTATTCACCTGGACCACACCAGATCGGTCTAAACACTAACCAGCAGCCATCTTACCTAGCAAGATCGCCTCCTGCCTCAATGTTACAATCTTCTGATGAGCAGCAACAACAGGCCCAGGGACAGGATTTGTTAACCTTGCAGCAACAACATCAACAGCAACCTCCATCGCAACCTTGAGCACGAATTCGTAGGGAAGAAAACGGTGAGCAAAGGAGTTATCCGAAGACGGCAATAGTATGTCGAGGCTATCAGCTGTTGGTGACAAATAAGAAAACATTCTTAATAACATCATCAATAGAGCTTTACGATGACTATTATTATTATTATTATTATTATTATTATTATTATTATTATAATTGTTGTATACAAGAAAGTGCTTTTCCGAGTACGATGTTTAAGAGTGTGTGTGAAAAATCGTTTCCATTTTGTGGAGGAGCGGTAGCCTCACAACAGGAACTTTGACCAACATACGGGTACAGCTATATATGGAATCTGGAGTACCGTATGGATCTAGGCTTAGTAGTGAAAGGCTCTATCCACAGAGCAAGAGGACGGACAGATTGCAGAAAGGCACAAGTTGACATCTTCACTAGATTTTGCGCGTTTGCTATATTGATGAGCTAAACTTAAAGAATTCGAGAGGAGGAATTACTGGTGATGTAAACTATTAAGTAATTTGAATTGATATTTATGTGTGTGTGTGTGTGTGTGTGACTGTCTTTAGCGGAATATAGGGAGCTATTAGACAGTTTCGAAATGACAAAGGTAAGAAATATAAAAGGCAGATCCACGGTGAGAAAACTTTAAAAATGGTAAAGGGCAGCCTACTATAGGGAACACGGGCATCCATTGTATCTGGATGGACAAAACGTGGTCGTCACACATCGCGACATCGGCGTCTTATGAGCTTATAAGCTTGTAGTATATATATATATATATATATATATATATATATATATATATATATATATGAGGCAAACAAAAATGATAAGTGAAGAACAGACAGTCCTGCTTTATTGAAATGTAATGATGTTATTCATTTGCCCGCCGAACCTGAAAAAAAATGTATCAGAATGTTTATAATTACGATTGTATTCTTTAAAAAACGATGAAGCAGATCGACATATACACACATTTTATTCATCATTATTTTAGTGGCTGCTGCGATGTTCGTTTTGCGCGCATTGATATAAGTATATGCATATAAATAACAAGTTAAGGTGTGTATATATATATAATACACTGGCAGTATGTTGTGTCTGACGCATGTGTTGACGATTATTATTATTACTATGATTATCTCTGCAAAAAACTGCAGACTGTTGTGAAAGCCAGCAAATGGATGCGAACTTCACTAGATGATCATAAATTCTAAAAACACACATACACACACACACACACGCTTTATAGATAATGAAACAAGGCAAACATACATTGAGGTGTAATCGAGGAACAGCTTGCGAGAGTGGGAGAATGAGTGAAGGCAGGCCAACACAATCAGAATGTGTCAACAAAAGCTGTAGATATATAATATCTATAATAATAATAGGGTAGGCGTACGCAATATAACATAATTTTTTCTAGGTACATTATGTCTATGTTGGTACAACTCCATCCTTATCTTCCTTTCTTCATTTGATTGTGTACAAATATTTTATCTGAGAGTTGTGCTTTTATCGCGTTATGTTTCCTGGTAGGTTCAACTTAAGTCATTGAACGAAGCGTTTATTTACAAACCAGAGTGTATGTGATGGCAATTGCGCCTTCCGTCAAGTTAGCGACGAACGAAGTAGGCAAGCACTTCACCAAGTCATTAGAAACAAATTCCTAGTTTATCGGTCGTCTCTCATTACATAGCTTTATTCGGAAATACATATATATATATATATATATATATTAGCATGTTGGTATTTTGTTGAATCCAACTGTGCGAGTTAAAACCAATAGACCGATGGAGGAATCGAACGACTTAATTCATGATCGAATCGATGCTGTAATAGATTCACTGACAATTTGAGTCATCACTAATTCAGCAGCATCACTATTCGTCCCCGAACACCGATAGTTTTGGCGGTGAAGATTTAAAAATGAGAAGCAAAAAGCACCAGCCGCTCCAGACTACAAAATGAACGAAGCCAAATTTCTTCCAGTAGGAAGTGGAAATTTACTAAAGTAGGATGTTTCACATTTTTTTTCGTTTTATGGCGTCGTCTGTATCTGTATAAAATTAATTATTCATTTTTACTACTACGATTCATCGTAGATGCGCTGTAAGCGATATCATAGAGCACAATTTATTTATTTCATCTTTAGTAGTTGTGTACTAAAAATATTGATTGAACACTTCACGTGAAAAAACTAGAGCAGAATATGACTGTGAACTGGCTGGCGGAACTAAGGGCAAACCACCAGAGGCGTGGAGCATACCCACCGTATACATCTTGAATATGCTGTTGATATTTGAATGACGATTTTATTGATAATCATTGCGTACTTTGCCTTTGGTTGACTTCATGCCAAGATACCGAGTCAAGGAAAATTAAGTCACTGAAGGCGGGCATTATCCAGATATTCCAGAGCTTTTTTTCTACGAAAACTTTGCGAAACTCAGGTAAATGTTCGATTTCGATAGTGCACTTTTGTACCACTGGAGGACTGGTTGGGTTGCTCTGTTCGCCACAAGCTCTATTATTAATTAGCAGATCGCTAGCTAAGTTTACAAACGATCTAAATATGTATATAGTAGAGCATTGCCCCGAGTCGCATGTTTTTGTTATTTGGGAAGTTAATCTGTTCTCGCTATTATACCTTAATACTTTCTTTAGAAGACCCTACAACAGAAACCGACGATTGGCGGTCATCATTTAGGAAATAGACGAATCTCTGAAGATTTCCCACCTGAGTCACTCATTTGGGAGTGGCTTTTGCAGTTTCCAAGCTAACTCTCTTACCCCATTTAGCGCCCAATCAAGACTGCACAACCGTTTTTGTAACTTATCAAGTAATACTAAATTATAGAAATCTTCCGTTCAAGGCATGATAAACCAGGATTCTTCTAGCTTTTGGAACGTCTCGTTTCTCAAAAATGCTTTCCGCAGATAGATTTCTTTGTTTCGTTTTTCTTACACGGCGTATAGTACTTATTGTACGAACGCATTACTTTACATTTTTGGTGTACGGTCAACATGTCTATTTTCCCGGTGTATTGTGTGAATGGTATATCCATGCACCTGGCTCATTTTAGTTCATTTTTATTAGTTTTGTGCTATCCATGGATAAGCACTGGTCGTAATCATGTCATCCGAACTGTTTCATATTATCTGTGTGCGATTATGCAGATTCTTGCAGATATTGTCCATGATTTATGTATTGACTAATGCGGCAAACTCGGGAATCGCTCCTCCCTCTCTCAGTTATTCTTTATGTTTGTTATCAGTAAATTAATGTTTACGTAACTGTTGGTACAATTTTCTGTACTTTTTTATACATCGATCCTTTAATAAATTTATTGCCCTTCAACTCGCTGTTAAATGTTGTTATAGAATTGCAGCTAATTGTTGTCGCTACCGATAAATTTTACACTTACGGCATCAGATGCGTGTATTTGATACTTTACAAACAACTTCTGTTTGTCGTGAGCGGGAATGGTGTCGTTTATTTCGCCAGTTTATCGAACGAGGAGACTAATAATTACCAAATACGACTCAACTTCCTTTTCTGACAATAGCTTTGTTGGTGCTGTAAGAACTGCGTATGTGGCGAAGGCATTTGACTGCTAGGCTTGCTCCTACAGGTTTTAGAAGGTGTTTGATAAGAAGAAGCTTACTAGTAGCACAAATAGCACTTAAGATTTAAGATTAAGTAAGATTTGGCTGAAAGAGTCACATTTTGTGTCAAGTAGTCTGGTTGTTATTCGTTCAATCAAAACAGTTGCGCAGGTATTTGAATCACGTTTTTTACTTACGGAAACACGGTTTCGGCTAAATATATAAAAATGGTCCGCATTTATGCGGTAAGGAACACATCAATTACACGATAAACAGCGTTGTCGTTATATCAACGGTGTGAAGGTATGGCACCAGCCGTGACGTCAGGCTTCGCTATGTGCCAATCTGCCATACACACACACCGCTGTTATAAATGAACGAAAACAAGGTTTGCTTAAGCAAAATGTTTGGGATATATATAAAGCTAGTATTGTGCTTAATTTGGTGCAGTCCTCCAGACATCCACGTAACAATTATTTCACGTTTAACAATCGATTGGTAATTGCTGGCATAAGATACGCCAGCTGTTAATCTCTCTGCTCCGTTGTTAGACCTAGATAATTTATTCTTAATAAATCATCTAGTGTTTATTTTGTTCTAACTATCGGGAGTTCCAGTGGGAGATATTTATTTCCTATAAATACAACACAAGCATAGTTCCTAACTAACTGTATATTAAACAGATGAACCTGAAAAATGGTATGTAGAAAACAAAATGGTAGCGACAACGGGCTTTCAAATAGATTACAGCGGTGCAAAGTGTAAACTGAATTATACTGACCAAAGTTTACTGACCACATGGACAAACTAACAAACAAATCGCAAAATGTTTAATCTAAGTTGAAGATCTGAAGATAATGATTATATTAGCTAATACGCGATTATATATGTCACATGAAGCTAGCAATTTAATCATGTAAAGTGTATACATGTGCAATGTACGATTAACGTGGTGTGCGTAAGTGTGTGACTGTGCAAGAAAGTGCATACGGTGAAAATATTATTACTAAGGTACGGATTTAAATAAAGAAATATGTATCACTATATGTCATTATATTTATCAAGGCGTATTACTGCGACTAAACAGTTTACCCTCTTCCCATACAACAGAACTAGTCCGATAATACAATTGTATATTTTCTCATTGTTCAAAAAACAATAAAATCATCTGCAACAGTAACAATCGTTTCTAACGGTCTCTTTTTTTTTTATTCTTTTCCGCGCGTATGTCGTTCTCGATGGGATAAATCGGTTAGAAAGCTTGCTAGCAACGAAACTGATGTAATAGGGAATCTTAATGGGCTATTCATGTTTTTTTGCAACTTGGACAACCTATATTTCTAAACATGTACTTATAGATTTCATAATTATAAAAGATTCATCAACAAATACATGGCAGTCTTGCGAGTGTTTAGAAAAAGTGTCGTTATTTAATATATCGTTTTATAAATACAATGCAAGTTATATGCAATGAAACGTTGCTAGCAGTAACTTTCTACATATTATTAATACTAATAATAATAATATATTTCTTGCGATTATTTACGATTTAATTTATTGCTCTTTTATTTTTTGCTCATTTCTATATCTGTTGCCTCATATCATGCACTTCCGCACGTTATGCTTAAGAACAGTCTTTAGAGTTAATCTCCTGTCAGCCATGTCTGAGGTACACTAAAGCTGTAGTATCAAGCGTGGGTGTTAACACGCGCGCTATAGTACTCTTAGATTCATATAAGACATTAGGGATTTCATCAGAGTACCAACCTAGAGCGCACCCGTTCACGCGATTTCCTTGTATTTTATACCCTTTACCTACAGTAAATTGCGTTGCCCAAAAGTGCCTAGTAGGTCTTAATTCTCAATAGTTAATTAAAGAACCATCGTCTCTGTTGACAAGGAGCGCATTATTTTGAGAAATATTTGTTTTTGGTTTAATGTATTTGCATCATTTATATTTTTTCTAAGCCAACTCTAAGTGGTACAAATGAGCTTTAATAAACTGTAGTAAAAAGTAAAGTGCCTTCCTTACGACCTTTACAGAAGATAATTATATACATATTGGTGTATACGTCATGGTTATTATTGATTTGTTATGCCTTTAAGTATGCGAGTTTTGTACAATATATTGTTATAGTCAATTATATGACAAAAAAAGCCTAATGAAAGCGGAACACTTACAGTAGACGAAATTTTTCGACGAGTTTTACTTGCGAAACTCTATTGGCATTGCTTTAAATGGCTGACTTTAAACATAAAACAAATACGCCTTCTTCTTCTCAGCATCACCGCGTCATGCATACGTCATTTTACTAGACCATTGCACCACGTTGCACCACACGACCATTGCAGACGTTACCATTGCACCATTACGGTACAGGTATCAGGTAATTACTCATGCCTAAACGAATTTCTACCTCTTTATATAGCCAATTTCCGTGGTTACCTAACGTTAGCGCTAAAAATATTGGTTGTGAGGATGTGGACATCAGAAAATTTTAAGGTAGAGAATAAAACGTTGCATCGTGTGTTAGCTATGTTTTTTAGAATGAGCTAATATTTGAAATGACAATAAACTATAGAAATAGAAAATACGAAACTTTAGTTTCGAAATCAGGCACACGTGATGCATTAAATTTATGAAATTTTATATGACTTATGGCAAACATCAAAATTTTGAATTACTTGTAGATTCACAATGATTTTTTTCCAAATACCATCTCCAACTGTAATACAATAGGACATAAGGAATTAAAGTACGGCAAGCGTTGGTTTTGTTAACTCTGTTCGCTTTTCTGTCAGTACTCACTTGAGATAGAAGATATATATATATATATATATAATATAATAAATATAATAATGCATAGAAACTAAAGCAAAACAGTCGCATAATCGAATTTTGAGGTAAGTTAGCCGGTATCAATTCGCTGTTGGAAGGACTATCACTTTCCATGCTTGCATAATTCGACGATTTAAACAAAACAAAAAGCGTCTGCACGGCTTGAAGTCTGCTCCAAATGAAAAAGTATTATTACAGGGTACCATGTTGCAACAAAGAAAGGCCTCAGAAACGTCACGAAAAACGCCAGTGGGCATGTCACCATCTGCAGTCCTACGGTGAATGAACCTAATGACGTCACTGAGAGCTAATTCGGTGGACCGGAATAGACGGCAAGCAAACTGGACTAGCAGGCTAATCAGTTAAAACTTGATCCTTGACACGAAAGAGCATTACGCCGGTAATTACTTGGGCTCAACCGATCCCCCTATAGTTATTCGGAGGGGTTAACTTAAAACATATAAATAATCTAAAAAAGCAATAGGGGAAATGGGGGAAGTTTTGAAGTAGAAGGTCAGTTGTTTGAAGTTAAGGATATATATTTAAAGATGTGCCTATTTATTTTTTAAATACCGGGTCCAATAAGTTGATTTAAAGTAGCCAATACTAATAGGTCATACAAGCAGGAGCCATAAACCGTTACGTTTACAGTCCTTTAGCTTTAAAACGAAATTTCAAACTTTTTATTATGGCCGGACAAACAGGAATATTTGCGCAACGCTAATCAGCCGTTTTTTTTTTTGACACAGTTGAGTATTTAAGTAAAATTCGAGGAGTCACTATGTTTTAGCTATGTGATCTAAAAATCATATAGTAAGTATTTGAAATAGCGATTGATAACCACCACACACCGATGGACACCGACGAAAAAAGAGGGTATCGGATATTTATAGCCGGCAAAGTCGAACAGCAAATTGCTTAGTGGAAGAGCTAACAAAAGTTTTAAGGGGCAAAGGAATTTCGAAGTCTCAACTGTTCGTCTGTTCTTGTGGAAATCAAAGGAATGCGATAGCAGTGGACGCTCAAACAATGGATTTAACTGAATGTTCAGCTCCTATATTTAAACAGGCTCCATAGAAAATTATCAGTCTACAACTGAGTGCTCCTCGAAATTGGTTATGAAGCTACTGGATTATACCGAAGAAATATTCCGTCCTTTATACAACTGTGCATCTGAAGTTTGTTTTAGCACTTCGTTAACATCTTTAGATTTTGGATAGTACCAGATTAAGAAATAGAATTTAAGCTTTACACTCATAGTTTTAGATTTCCAGCCATAATCGGAAGTCCTCAAACAGGCAATTTCATCTTCTAAAAAATCATTAGTTGGTAAATTAAAACCCTTCATTGCAGGGCAGCTGACTTAAATTCGAATACTTCACATGTGTTTTAAGGCTACAGCTAAACAAAAACAAAGTTTAACGATTTCTTGTATGTGCAGTGTCGTTCCCGACCGCCATTAACCTGTATTTATCTTTAAATGTAATTAAAGTTTATATTACCGCTTCAATCAGGGCTTCAGCCGCCTACCTATCTTTAAAAAAAAAAACCTATCTTTAAAATGTTCCCTTTACGATCGTGCGAACGTCATCTTGTTAAAGACGTGAGCGAATTGATGTTGTCATGCCCAGACATATGGAGGTACCGCTTGATCATGTTTTATACATAGCACTTCAATGGAATCAGAGCAGGGTTGTTCAGCGGTCAAATATGCTTATTCCAGAACATACTCAGAGCCTCAAACGGCCAACCCTGGGGTAGCCGGCTAGTATGAATAGATGCGCGTTCTTGTTGAGAGATGTATGGTCTTTTTAGGCATATCATTTTATTATTACCTTTCATTCGCACTTTTAGCAGGTACATTATTTATATCTATTACATTTATTTAAAGAAATTGTTAATAATCATAACGATAATAATATATAGAATAACGTCGTGAACATAAAAGCAGGAACCTCTAGTATGAAGGTTTGCAGTTATGCTCCCAGCTGGTAATTTTCGGCCACTACCGGCCATAAATAGTACCATACAATGCACTGAACCATGTACGGTATACTGAACCACAGCATGGGTTAAATGGTTGTAGGCCGCTGTTTATGGTAACTCAAGCTTTTTTGCAAGTCTTTTATAAAAAGCAGCGTTTGGCAGAGGTGGTACATAAAATAATGTTTAGCAGTTGCGTGTTGACATTGTACTGTAGGAACAAGAGCTTAGCAAGATTTAGCTACTTACTTCGCTATTAGACGCTCCTAGATTAGCGAAATACCGATCCTGAAACTCTCTTGAGATATACAAAAGCCATCGTCCTACGTAGTAAAAGCTTATGTGATTTACCGATTGTTGTAGCTGCTACCAGTGCATTCTTCATCCTCCTTGAAGTATGCTTGCTGGGTCAAACGTGTCGTTCGCTTCTTCGAGTCTTTCAAAGAAAATTTTAGTCCTTGGTGCTGTACCAAATGGCGCTTGAGAATCTACAAATGCCGCATATATAAAATGCGTCACCGTAAAGTAAACCTTGGATATTTTAAGAGCATGCAACATATGGAAGGCGCGAATACCGTATCCTCCCTTCAAACGGAGAGCGCACAACTGTACTGCTTTTCCAATATAACTTTGCGATTCCCTAAGAATTTTCTTTTAACGATCGGTCAAAATAGAGACTAGGAGCCTATAGCAAAGTATATTTCTAGCAATATCACGCCATTTACAAGGTTTTTAAGAATTGTCTTTTTCTTTAAAGCGCATATGAGCGATGCGTTGTGCCAATTATTAGGTATAAGAGCCTTTTGTAAGCACATAATAAGAAAGCGGTTCAACAAAGTGTCAAAAATATATCTTGCGACGACAATGCAGAGAACACTTCTTTGGATCGTGCAAAAGATTATTATATCGAGGATATAAACAGTTTCCCTCTAGAAAAGAATCAAGGACGATTTTTTGCTTCTTTTCTGTGATAGTTTAAGAGCAAACGACATCAAATTAATCTTGAATTCTTTAACCTTAGAGAGAATCTGTTTGACTTTTATGCTATCTGATGTATATTTAAAGTCTCCGCGACCAATCGGTAAGTGGTAACCACACAGAAGTAAAAGTTGTTCAATAACGACCTGATTGAAAATGAATGGATCATTAGAAATATACTTTTAGACAGGGTCGTTCCATTTTAGAGCTCAATCTGTTTTTGGATGTTGTGGGTTCTCTGTTTAGCTATGTTGAAATTTGCTTCTGCTTCTTCTGCAGCTACATACTTATTTACGATGAATTAAGTTCTTAATTTACGATAACCGTGTAGGTTTATTTCGAGTGCGGTTCGTTGCGCGTAAATAGATTAGATAATCATGGATCCTTTTCACTGGTTTTTTGCCGCGGCTATGAGATTTTGAATGCGTGAATGCGTGCAAAACCGCAAACGACTAGTCTAAAATATTATTGAGTTCAAGCGTCCATCCCCTGTACTTGATTTGTACTATTAATTTTTAATCAACTTTATATACATATTGAAAGAAAAAACAGACCTTTCTTTTTTTTTTGTTTTTTTACCATCATTCTAATAATTTTAGCAGTATTGTACTTCGTTTTTTTGCGGTTAAATGGGCATCCGTTGTCTATATTGATTTTTTCGGCATTTAGTACTGAAACTCATGGTTGACGATACGAGGTCTCAGGTGGATATCTATGACTGTGGCCTTGTAAAACTTAACTATTCAAAAAGTAGTGCGTAAGCACAAAATATTTGATATAAAAATTCTCTTTTGTAATTTTTTAATCGGTAAATTTAGTTTAATCTTTAGACCGAAAATCTGTTGTATCAATCAAGCCACCAGGTATTAAATGAGGGGGAAACAGACATGAAACTGTAGGAATTTACTTTTTTTCTTATATATCCATGAAATGTGTCCTGAAGTAAGTTTGTTGCAGTATTTATGCAGTGGATATCTCGCCAGTCATCTCGTCATTGATGTGGGCTTTTGTCATGATCTAAAGATTGTTTCAAGCAACGGCTAAGCCAGTCAGATGACTTTCGTGTGTGGGGTTTCACTTCATTTTGTACAGTATGTGTTACGGCAAATTAGCAATAAAAAACAAATACGTACCTACATTGCTTCACAAGAGACATGAGCATCCTAATAAAGACATGCACGGGAGGGGCTATTTTACAGGGAGGGCTACTTTTATACTAACATACAATAGTGATTTTATTTTTCAATTTACAGATACATATGGTTCAATTATTAAGCTGTGAATTCAGTTTTCAGCTTCGTCTGCCTCCTCCTCGCTCTTCCTTTATCTCTCCAATAGACGCATTCAGCTCACGTATCTTCAGGACTTCCAAGTACAACAATTAGAAATGATTTCAGGTAATTGAAGCTGGTCAGTCGTGATCAAGCGGAATGTATCGCCGATGATACGTGGCTGATAACAGATTGAATTGCAGAAAAAAAAAACTCCAAACGAGTCAAAATCTTCAGACACCAGCCATGACTCCAAATAGTCTAAACAACATGATTGTTTTAAGAAACACCAAAAAAATTAAGCAATTATGCAATTCGTATCGCCTAATAATTACACTTATGATGTGGGTTTTCAATAATCATCCGCATCATTATTGTCAACATACGCCATTGTTCTCTATTTCTAGATCTTATACTCCACGTTTGTCACTATCAACTAGACATTATGCTCTTTACGCCACCGAACATTCGTGTTCGACCCTTTAATGAACTTCAGCATCGCAATCTCACAATTTTTTCAACTGAAAGTGGACTGGAATTTAATTAGGTATTGTATAGGCCACTCCACACTGATTGATGTACTAATCTCCTTTGGGAGGTCAACACTATACACGATAGGCAACCGATATTTTTCGGAGGCTGTTTTTTGCATTTTTCTGTAATACGTGGTGTTGGTATGAGTACTAAATTTCTATTTGAATTACCAAGCATACCTACCGGTTCTGTTGTTTCTTTAGAGTAAAATTGCCGAAGTGTCTTGTTTCCTTGTTTCTGTTAGTGCAAGTTTGAAAATTCAACACATTGAGTAGCTAAATATCATACGTAATATCTAACGTAGTTATACTGATCAACGTTTGATCTCGTTTTTATTGTCGACGCTTTTATGGCAGTTCTGTATGGTGCCTATATTTAGTTACAGATACATTTATCAATTCGTCTCAAATTTATAGAGTTTCATAATTATCAACGTATCTACACTAAACGTTTATCCTAAAGTTATGTTGTCGTCAAGTTTTCCAATACATTTCCCTCAGTTCGGCTTTAGATTAGTAACAGTCATACCAGTGTTCCTCTCAACACCATCGCATAAACACTAATTAGGTTTCTTTTACTTTTTCTTATTTTTCACGCATTTCCCGAAACATTCGTTATTATTATTACTATGGAAATTCAAAAAATGGTTTATTTTTCCGAATCCCGGATCTGTCTTTCGGTAGCTACCGAGTAGTAAACTCTCGCCGTTGTCGAACAAGATTGATTTTAGAGACATTATGGCCAGTATTTATTGAGACTGAATTATTTTTTGAAAATCTATTTCGTAAATCTTGTTCATAGATATAAATATCAAGTATAAGGCCCAATATGGCCGTATGTTTTACTTCATTTTCCGTCCTCAATTTTAACCCTAAGTGCGTGCGTCGTTCACAGTGAGCGGTTCACAGCGATATACGAGACTGGTAGCTCAAAAACTATTCAACAACAAGTTGTTACAATGATATCATTGGTGTTGCTTCTGTTGCTTAGCGGTGTGTTATTCGGCGATAGGTGTCGGTCTCAGGCTACGTATACATCATCTCGGCCATCGGAGACATTTTCTTGGGCAGATGCAACAGCTCGTCCAGGTATCCAGCCAATTCCTCGGCTGTCACGTCGTCCGGAGCCATCGCTGCCGGGGGCTGTAGACTTGTCGCGTTTGCTGCCTGCGCAGAACAGCTCAGGTCGCGTCTGTGAAAGTTCGAAGGACAGCGTTTGAATGGTAAGTCTAAAAACGACGCGGCTCTGTGCCGTCGAAAAAATTGTATTACGTAAGCAGTTTGAGCTGGCTTTATACGGTGTATAAAACGAAGGAAACCTACCGTCTGTGTTTGTGCAAGCCGGCTGAAGCAATTCCTCGTTACGCAAGAGAAGGTAACATACCTGAGTACATCTAAGCGAGGCTCGTCGGCGCGATGGCTGAGGAAAGCCTTTGTTTGATGGCTTAATTTAGACGGAACTATTAATTGTCCATGTGAGTTTAGCCCTTCTGCAATGCTCTTAACACCCTCACTTATTCGAAGGCTAGCGAAGTCACTCATGTTATCCGAGAAGGCGTCTCCAAATCGTTGTTCCCTAAAGTCAAAATGAGTAAAACACAGGGTGTCCCAAAAATGTATACCCTGCCTAACAAATTAACTTTCTAATTTCTAATTTAAACAGACAAAATGTTTTCAAAAGACTTTTGAAAGTTTTCATTCATTCATCGTGCAAAAAGTAACAAAAGTACAAAAACAATGCTGCGAGAAGTTTCAGGCAGATCCATTTACGCGATTTACAATTAGTCAGATTATGTTTTAAACAATAAAAGTATTCAGACTGCTTGGGTACTATGTTTCTCATGACGAGGATTATCAGAGAATTGCACTAGGCAAAAAATAATACTGGAAAATTAGGAAGGAAATCAACTCATGAGCTTGGCATCAGCAGATCAAATGCCCATAGTATTTTAACACAAATGAAAAAGTTACATTCCAACAATGGTGCACGCTATCAGTGAGGATGATCCTGACTAAAAGAGCAATTATACAAATGGTAATTGGAATTTTCGAATGCAAACCGGACGCCCAGTACTTGTTGAAGATTTCTGAAGTAACAAGCCTACATTCACATACTGCACAAATTAGTATTAGACGTAACAGTAATTACCACAACGGAATTGCAAATAAAGCTGTTGAACAATCATAAGTCTACATGGAATTAAGAATAGACTAGTCTGACCACATGAATTAGTTTATACAGTATACTCACTCTCTAGATGCGGTAGATGCCGTAGTTCGAGCGTCTGCTAATGATAGTGGCGCTGGAAGTGCAGACTCTTGACCTGCAGGGGTAGTGTTTGACGTAGTGGGTGTTGGCGATGCTTCTGTAGACCCAGTAGTTCTTCCTGTTGCTACAGAGGTAGAAGTATTCTGTGTTTGGTTGCGCGGTGGCGATGGGTTGTCCTTCAGTTGACCGCTTCTACGCGGACCTCCACAGGCTGCGCTATTTTTTCGGCGGTGCTGTATCGATCGCAGATGATGCGAGGGTGGTGACATTAAGCTAGATGCCGATGCCCTGAAATGTACGCAGTAATAATCACTTTTTGTTCGCAGTTTTTGTTAAAGTACTAACTAAAATCATCATACCTTAAAAAATGATGACAATCCTTTACTGATAAAAAAAATTTATCTGAAGGAAATACTGGCTAGAACTGCAGTGAAAAAAGATCCAGAAGCTCGACCTACACAGCGCCGTAAAGCATGGATGGACTGAATGCCTAGCCAACCAGAAGTCAACCGACCAGCTTACCCAAGTTGAGTTCTAATCTTTCTCTTAAAATTTCTAATCTAATCTCTCTAAGAAATTGATATGCGAGTGAAGGATCATGGTAGTTCGCTAAACTGAATAACTACAGTACCGTCAGAAGTATTTGTGATGAAGCCCTCTATGAACTTAACACCTATCTCTATGAGCTTAATCTATGGTTATGATAGGATCTTGGTAGCATAAGGTTCCGTCCTCTACAACGTCTTCGACGTCGAAGGCAGAACAGTTATAATTTTAAGTTAGATTATCTAACCTAACACAGCTAAATTTAAAATACTTAGCTCTTAAAAGCGAATCCGACATGATTTCGAAATTTGAACCACTAGCGCACTAAATTCTAGAGTTCTCCAGTTAGAAAATTACAAATAAAAACCTGTTGAGTTTATTTCAGTATAAATACTTCAAACGAAACACCATCTTTTAGTCTCAAAAATCAGCGCTGAATAGCTATTGTTCCTGCAAAGCCACAACGTTGCGGAAATTCATCAAAAATAGGTGAAGACAAGACAAGAAGGCCTTCAACAAAAAGTACGTAATAATACAAGAATGGTGATTGCAGCATTGAAGATCAGCGAGGAGACACGATGTTGAGATCCGAAGGACAGGTACGCATTGTTATCGAGGAAGCTTCCCGCAACAGCATGGTTTGGGCTTTGATGGCCAAAACTGGCATTTCACGTGTAACGTGTTATAGACATATAATCCAAGTCCTGAAAATGTGAACTTCGTGCAAAACGGGTCTTTCGCGAATCAACCCCAGGCTAGCTGGAGTACGTGTAGTATACAGTTGATGTATATCGCAACCCATGGACAGAGAAATAACACACAGAAACGCGAATGATGACTGTCCAAAGGCTGCCAGAACGCTGGGAAAAGTAAGAAGGGTACTTCTAACCTATTAAAGTTGGTATTGGTAGAAGCCCACCTAGTTTAACGGCTGCTCAAACTCAAGTCTACCAAATTCGTTTGTAATAACTTTCTACATTTGATGATATCTAAATACGCTCGGAACGTAAATACTGTATTACGTGTAAGCCTAAAAAGTAAATATAGCGTTTATTTATTCTAAGCAGAGACGGGAAACAACGTGATGCAATTATGTCATTATACTTTATTTATATTTATTCCGACAAAATAATTATAATTTCATTACAATTAAGCACTACGCTTTTTGTTTCTCACTTCAATACTCTATTCATTACTGATAACATAAGAAACCGATTGATCCGTCAGTTTTCATATAATATTTACTCCTAGTTAGCGTATCTAATTTCAGCAAGACACTTGCATTACGACGGCAACCCAGTGTAATGGTATGAGGAATTACGTGCGCATGAGTAGAGATATATATATATACAACAATTGTGTACATACACAAAGAGCATGGGCATGAACTAGTCACTCCAGAACGAAAAAAGGCTGCTAAGTTTTGCCTATTTTCGATTATCTTCAATCACCGTTTCCATGTTGTGTTTAAGGTTCTCTTCCGCTTGTTTTGTGAGTAACTGCTGGACATGAAGCAGATGAACCTGAACCTCGTTCTCATAGGCGGTCATTACTCGGGGTGAGACCTTCGTTTGAAGCTCTTTGATTGCTTCCTGTAGTGATCGCAACTCGAAGGTCGAATACTTCTTTTCGGTAGCGGCTTTCATTTGTAGCATGACCATTATGAGACTTTGAATGAGGTCGAGATGTGCCGCATTTGTCACCATTGGCGGATCACCGTTGCTCAAGGCGACAACGTTTTTTGCTTCCTCAATCGCTCTTGCGCGAAGCGCCACTGGATGTGACAACATGGATTGCTGCTCGTGAGCTTGTGGTTGTAAGTCTTCACAGAATTTGTGTATACCTTCAAGACACTCTTCTAAGTCATGGTTTAGTTGTGACAGGTCCAATAGCAACATGGCGTACCGTTTCTTAAATGGTACAGAAACTAGATGTCTATTAAGGACACTTTTCTCAGCGAACGAATTCATCTCCTTTAGCTTTTCGATCTTACGTTTTTTTTCACTCAATACGCGAGTTAGCGTTACGATTAGGGTTAGGAAAGCCATAGGGAACAAACTACCGAAACGCGAGTCCGTAATTCCTGACGACAACAACGGATCTCCGTCGTTTTTCAGAGCAGAGGGGAAAAGCGATCGTGGCGGTGGTAGCGTTCGTGGTCTCTGTATGAAATACTCAATGGGCATTCTCTCCACACGTTGAAGACTCAATACTTCGAAGTCTGGACAGGTCAGGGTACCCAGCTCCGGCCGGTCGAACGAGACCCGATACGTAGCACCTTGTGTGTCCACAGCATCAATAGTACCAACAAATATACCGTCTCGTTCATGAACGTAAGCCATGACTTTTGTCCCGATTACAAGCGACAACGGGATTTCAGCGGGCAGATGTTCCACTAATTCAAGTTTATCGATAAGTCGTTGTTGCAGATTACGAACCAGTTCACGTTTTTCGTGCAAAGATCTCAGCTCTTCTTCAAAGAACGCTGCGGAACACCGCCGAGGCTTGCCCATAGCTCGTCGGATGCGCGACCACTCGGTACGCGTCAGTTGACGGGTTCTTAAAAACGGGAAGCTCTGTTTGAGGTAACTGCTAAATTCATTTTCCTGATTAAAGAGGCAGTCATCAATATTGCTATAAAAGAATTCGTACATGACCCATTTATGGGCTTTAGGCAATTTGAGGAAGTTCTTTAATCGGTTACTAGCAATTCCCATGGAAACGCGATCGGGCCCCCGAACACTGCTAACTCGCTGCTTTGTTTTGACCAGAGGCCCAATGGAATGGCCAGAAAGTCTATCGCGTTTGTCACTTGCAAGCCCATCTCTCGATGAAGCGGATTTCTCCTGTTTGATCGAGATACCACTGCCCCCAGGACCACCGGAAGCTCCGGAAATCGATGAGGTATGATGGCTTTGTCGAGGGCTGGCGAGATGACCAGATTGACCTCCGCGCTTGCGAGGCGATCTGTTCCCCCACGAAGTATCTTGATCATCGTTAAAAACCCTTGAATTCCTTTTTCGGTTTCGCAGTGGCCGTTCGTTAACATTTGGGACCGGCAGCGACTTCCGAGGGCTATCATCATCATCTTGAGACATCCTTAGCAGTGATGCCCTTTAGAACAGAATTCAGAAAAAGCTTCGATTTTTTCAAATTCCACGCCAAATTGCCATCCAAACACACCACACACAAACAGAACACAACAATAACAATTGTCTCCACTGGTACGAACAGCTTGCTTTCTGCAACCTAGTAACACGGCCGCTGTGGCGCCAATAAAACATCATGCGGTACGTTCGGCGCTATCACACTTCGCTAATCTCTTCTACTTCGACTAATTTTTCACAGAAAACAAACTAATTCACCACAGACGAGTTAGTTTGGGGTTATATATGTACAAATAGTATTGATACAGTATAAAAAATAATTTAGAATGTGGGAAGCTGTTCATCATGGATTATGTGTGGCACCTTTTCGTACCACAACCGAATCACAAATACCAAGTCAAGGTAGAACATCATCTAAATGCCAGTGATTATTATTTTGTTTGCTCGCTCCACGAGAGAGCTTCGAAGAAAACAGCCACAATGTGTAAGATAGCCTATCAGCAACTTTTTAATGAAAGAATAAGTGCTCAAGGAATTCGGTATCGTTAAAGTTTCTGTAGTCAATGCTGTCGCTAAAATAATTGTTATGCATGATAAATATGATTCGCGGTGATTTAAATATATCCAACAAGACAAGGTCCAGACAGTTTCGAAATCTACCCTAATATAATAGTGTATATTACTTGTCTTTGCTTTGTAGTTTAACTGAAAACACGATTTTTGTTCGAAAAGGAAAGCAAAAGCAGCGACGGTTTTCCGACTGCACCCTGTTTGTGGGTTTGTGTATCTCGGTCTTAAAGGCGAATCTATTTAATAAGAGATGGAAGTGCTCAGGATTCGTGAGGATAAGCTAACCTCGAAGCTTGACCGGGACTCAGCAGTTGAAGCAAGAATTCTGTTTCTAACTAACGTTGCAAGTCTATTACACAAGGTCCAATCGGCACGGAATGGTCTGCCAGAAAGACGAAAGCAGTTAGAGTTACCAGCTGTCTACCTTCACCGAGCGAACATGCTTCGGTACGAAGAGTATGGTGAGCTTATTCGTAGCAATACGATTTGTCATAATTCAGATTTAATCACAACAAACACCATGCAACTAGGTAAAAGCAAGAAACACTTCTGAAACGTCGCAAAGCCATCAGATATTGTATTGTATTTGCTATCTGTATACCAAACAGATGGCCGAGTTGTTGAATTACTGACTTTTTACATGCCACAGGTAAAGCGGGTAACATCTTCCCAAAAGATATTGTATGTCAAAAATGCGGCATCCTGTGGACTCCTTCATATCTGCGTGTAGACCTCCGGAAGAGCAAAAAAATTTCTGATGGCAAACTTAAACGCCTACAAGAAAAACAAACGCATAGACCTTGGACACTTTCTAAGTATGTTAAAATTTCTTACGCAATTATCCTTACTTTTTAACGTGAATTTAACAGGAGAGGACGGTATCCAAATCACTCATTTATGCGGAACCTATGGCTATCTTCCAATATCTATTATTACGACGTTTTTAAATGACAAAAAAAATACTTCGTTCCCATACAGATTGCAGAAGAAGCTGTTGAAACAGCACGCAAAAATGGCTGCAGAGCCGTATCAATTTCGATATGAGTGCAAGCTGTGCGGTGCAAAAGCTTTGATCAAAGTTCCCACTACTACAAATTCCACTGGACCTGCAGGAAGTACAAATCACTTCTCCAGTGCATCATCCGGTAGGTGTTCGCTCATCCGAGCATTAAGTTTCCATAACAGCTATAGCGCGACGATTACGCTTTTTTTTTTTATTAGGTACCCGTTGGTGAGAGGAAAACAGATGTTCAGTCCTACGAATCGATAACCAGATCTTAATAGAGCCGAGACTAAATCGTAAATTTTGACAAAGTTATTTCGCATTGACTTTCAGGGTCCCTGAACGTTTCCGATAAATTCGCAACCAAAGCGACACAGCTGACTCGAGAATCGATGGCTTCCACGCATCTTTGTGTTAGCTCGACTCTAGGACCCAGCCGGAATACAACCGGAACAAACAAAAACCGTAAAAGTCTCTTAAAACAAGTGACCGAAATGAGCGAGGCATCCAAGTTGAGATCTCCACTACAGGCCTTTCTTTCTAGCTTATGAAAAATTTCGGGCACAAGCTGCGCCTACTCTCAGACTAGATGAGATATATCAGCTGAATATCTGAAGAATCGACCAGAAACGTGATTAACAAACCTATTTAGATATTTTCGAAAGAAGAGGGAATAACTTTTGCCGTGCCATATCCACAATGGACATTTTCATGCCTATTTGGTCTAAGCACGAATGTCTTTGAGCTCAAGATGTCATAACCACTGAAGAAACCTTGTCCAGTAAGAACTCTTGCAGTTTTTGTATGAAAGAAGTTAAGTGCACTCGTGTATATATTATATATGAACTTAGCTAATGTGTATCAAAATTGCAGTACAGGGATACTAGTAATAAATTTTAAAGACGCATGAAGGACAGCGCGATGAAATACACTATGCTGTTTTTATTCGTTTACTGCGTTAGCAACTATGCACTATTAGAAAACTGAGGTGCACATCTTTTTGTATAACCTATATTTATATAAGCAAAGTATTAATTAGAAGACTATTTGCTCGACTTGAGTACAATTATCAGAAAAACATGGGTTTCTTGATAGAATAGATTAATTCACAATATATAGACATATAAAAGCGAAGTAGTACGAATACAGCGGTACTTACCGAGACGGGTTTACCCGAAGCTTCTTTATCCCGACCTCGATGTGGTCCATACTGAAATAACACAGCGTGAAAATAATAACAAATATGAAAGTTTAATATTGGAAGCTTGTTACGCGAATCTAAACAAAAATGCTCACAACGAGATCACTCTTGCCAAAATAGTCGTAGCCAAATACAGATTTTCAACAAATTTGGCTTCGTTATCTTTCCAGCCACTTACGCGTACCGACAGCAAGTGACTGAGTATTTTATGCTACGAAACACCCTTGTTTCAACCAAGAACATTTAGATAATTAAGCCTTAAAGGTATTGGTTTCCAAATAAAAATAATTTCGTGTGTTGAATGTTTTTAATCCAGGGAAAAAGAATGATGAAATAGAGTAGGTTTATCTGAAATCCTGACTGGGAGCAAAAATTACGTAACATTACACCATACTTCTCTAAAGCACTTAATAATTAAGTCATAAGGGGACAGGATAAAGCATAGGCGAAATTGGTAGCTGCAGTGTAAATTGGAATCAGTCGATATATTGTTATAGTAAATTAGGTAAAATCGACATCACACCGTCACTCAACTGTCGTACGGTAGTTTCCGTTTCCGAAAGCCTCCTGTTCTTCACTCACCAAATAGCGGTAAGCAGAGAGAGGGAGGGAGGGAGGAGTCCTGACATTTTCAACGGTCTATTAATAGAGCTCCTTTTTTTCGCTTTACCAACTTCGCATACAAATATGTCAATGGCATCATGTGGGATAGCCGCATGTGATAATAACAGAACAACTATCAAAGCAATCTTTCTCACTTTTGTCGAACCAGTGTACACCTGAAAACACGTTACTTTAAAGTCCTGATTCTCCAGCGTTAATGAAGGCATGATCGGTGACACTAGTCACATAAATGTACGTTTAAATGCTTCTCTGTCGGTTGTCGGCGAAGTTGTTTTATTGTTACAGCGTGAATAAGAACTACTTGCGCGAAATCATAACCAATAAAATGAACTCTTAATAAAATTTCTATAAAGCTTTCTTTAACTTCAGTTGACCTTCTGTCTGTATTGGACTGTCTGTACCCGCATAGAGCTGAAGATGATATTTATAAGTGGGAAGAAACTGCACAAAGAATTCAATTTGACCATCGGCGCTGCCGCGTTGTGCGATGGCACAGGGAATTTCGGTGCGGCGGGTTCCGAGCAGACTGGATGAATGAGATAAGGCAGGGAACAACTGCAATACTATCATTACTATTCTACGCTCTTAAAGATAGTGGCCGTTATCGCACCGGGCTCTGCTGCCACCATAGCACAGACAGATGGTAAGTCAACGTAGTCAGACATTGTGCACTCAACGGTCGGCGCGAACCGCGCGCTTAACGGATGTCTGCAGTGCTCGTTCACTACCGCGGCTGCGCGCAACTTGTGGCGAGGGCTGTACCGCCGCTGTAGCAACAGCAGCAATAGCGGTAATCGCTGCAACGACAAAACAGCAGAGTCGCGACAGTAACAAGTAGACAAGAACGGGCAGTAGCGGGGTTCTTGAGGGAATGCTACTTTATAGCGTTGGTGGCGATGGTGATGTTGGTCGCACGACGAACTTCCTATTGTTGAGGCGCAACAATATCGGCAACACTCACCAGCGCCGATGAACAAGCAGGCCACGAGGGCCAACAGCTGCCCAACAAATTGCGCATTGTATCGAATACGGAGAGAAGGGTGAAGAAGAAGAGCTTATAGTAACGCAACTGCAAAAGAAGAGAAAGGGGTCAACCATTGTTACCCTTGCCTGTGGTAATACGGCAGTAATAGCTTTTGGTGTACTATTACCACTGCTGATTTGTAGTTTGTGGTCGCCACACTACTATCAACAGCAGGGGTTCTTGGTCAAAGCCCTTGATCGCTGCGGTTTTGCGCATGATGCTAATGTTGTTGTCGTTAGCCCAACGTTATCTAGTGTGACAACCAGCCGTGTGGCACATACTTAGAATAGACGCAGACGAACGGACAGACAGGAGCAAGTGACTGATGTTGTTACGGCGGGAAAACGTCAACGATATGACGACGACCATAGCCACGATGATCGACGTCAAAATGATGATGGTAATGAGGAGGGGTGGCAAGCATAAAACACACAAAGTAGTATATACACACACACATATGCCTGCACACAAATGACTGACGGAACAATACGCAATACACACATCCGTACAGGCAAAATCCGCAACAGCGACGTCCCACTAAATACACACCAGCCAATCTTCTCATCCCTTTCTCCTCTCAATAGAAATAATAGAGCTGTGGAGTAAATAACTATGATGGTGTTGTTTAGCAGGAAAGGCAAAGGCGATAACGGTAAACTGATAACTCTGCATCGACATTGGTCGAGTATTTTCAGAATTCTTGAAGTAGCACAATGCCGGACACTGAATAAGTAGTATTTCCTTAAGTAAATAGTTTTTTTTAACAGAAATATTCATTGAGATTGTTTACTCCAAGAGACAACGAAGAATGCGAAGTCTTTAGGACCCACCGTTTTTTTTACTGTTAATACGATACAACAATAAAAAAGCAACAATCTTGTCCACTGGTGAACTTCAAGCAGTTTGTCCAACTTCAGCAAATTACTAAGTATAATTTCATTAATAAAAAGAAGAAAGAGGTCAATTATATACGCAATAAAAAACATTCAACAACTGATAGGCATATAGCTAATTTGCAAACGGTACATCTTCGTCTAAATGTGTTTTGTTGCCTATTTGCGGACGATATGTAAATTCATTCATCTGGCAATTTTCATTTTGTTTCAAATAACATTGATTGATTACTTGCCTCTGATTGTAAGCATCGTACGAATACTATTTTGTGCTTCCTGTGGTAAGGGTAGCTAATCTTTGTTGAGTTGGCTAATCACTAAAATAGAGTATACCTTCATATTTGGTTTCGTTTTGTAGTGCTCCTTCATCCCATATAACTTATACCTGTGATTTATCGTAGAAGAGCCGTCGAATGCGCAAACCTCAATTGACCCTAACGTTCTTCGACCGTATTTGTTTTACATGTAACAATGTATAGATGGAGAACGCAGAAGTACATTCAATTTAGATTACAACGCAATGCTCACTTGAAACAAATTTACTCCATTGTTTTCCAATATACCTGCTACTATTATCATTATCACAGCCCCATTGTTTTCTTTTCCATCGGCTGGTTTACCAGGGAGCCAGCCAGTCTACCATTCATTTAAAATAAATTTCTATGCAACTTCGCTGCCGAACGGTCCGTTTCTCGGTATAACAATTTACCATTTTGTCGGTTGACTGCTAATGCTGATGGTAATATTCACTGTACTACCATCGGCATTCATCATTAACCCTTGGGCATTGTCTTTTCGGCTCTGTACTCGCAGTGTTTAGAGTTAACTATTTGGCGATTTCGCTGCCAGTACGGTTACTGTTGTTATAATGTATTGTTGTTGTATACAAGCAATGCAAGCATCAACAACAACAGCAGCAACACGAGATGCTAACAACTCTAAGCCTAACTGATGTTCGAACTACAATTTTCTTTTAAGTACACCTTTACTAACTGTAGAAATAAGTTAGCGAGACCTACAGGACGATTGTCGGCAGAGGTTTCAATTGGATGTTAATCAAAATTAAAATTCTAGATTCTTCCCTATTCGCACAACGACCTGGCCTAGTTCGAACGACAGTCGATGGTCCGGACAAACTGACTGACTGACTGACTCAGGTTTGCTCAGTGTCCAGTCTGATCACTTACCTTTCTGACATAGTCGTAGGTTCGGGTGACGCACTTAATTAGAGTCGATGCCTTGCTAATGCGACAGTCATGGGCACATCGCACATGCACGCACAGAGGAAAACCGCACTTCATTCGTTTTTTTCATATCAACACATACACAGACACACAGGGGAGGGCAGACAGCGCTCGCTTATTTTGACATTCACTACCGGACATGGCAGTAGCACACGTGCGCCACTAGACATGCCATTAGCTTCCGCAGATATCATTTGCGCACATCTCTCGCGCGAAAGTTGCTTATACGATCAAGGACTAAGTAACTGGTAGAATATTATAATAAGCCTATTCATACTTGTTAAGCAAAAAAGGAGGAATATATTAGTCTATATCCCTTAATTGCTACCAACTATGTTAACAAAAGCCCTACCGGCAAAATGGTGTGCTCTTTTTGCCGCAAAATTACTGAAATTGGCTTCGTATAACTAATTTATATCACGTACCATATGTTATGAAGTAGATTGGCGCAAACATATTCCACGAACTTCGACTAAACGAATGCGCTTATATTTATTAAGCAACTGCTACGATGGCGATGCTAGCCAGCGGAGTAGTAGATAACCTCCAATTCATTTTTGCGTAGATTCTGTGACGCACAAGTAGCACTCATTAAAGCAATATCTTGCCTAAGGATAGAGCCCAAAGTTAGGGTATTATGTAGAAAAGTTTGGATAGCTGCTTGTCTTCTTTCTGTGCAAGTGAGCAAAATACAGGTGTTCCATCTAGAGATAACGATACATTCTCTGATCATTAAGTATTATGTTACCAGGGGCATGTTAAAGTTTAGTCTAAAACGAGATTTCAGCTTAAGATGCCTACTTTTAGCACACCCAAACCACGACATTTTGCATTTATGATAGCACTTATCGAGGATAACTAGTTCCTTGTGCTTAAAAAGCGATCCTGCGACCCTTTTCCTTTGCTTAAAAAATTTTAGCTCGGGCGAATTATTTTAATTCTGCGATTCTCTTAAACGTCTCTTCTTAGATCCACTCGTTTTTTTTTCCTGCAAAAAGTCCTTACCTGGCTGTGTCTAGTTGCTTCTTGGAACGCGAGTAAATGTTCGTGTTAAGGCTTCCTGAATTCACTTACTGTTCAAATTTATTTTCTGAAAAAATTTTCAACTCGTCGTTCTGCAATTTGCTAGATTATCATAATTTGGTGCTACAGCAAACAAAAAACATGTTTTGTAAAACTTATGACAGTTCACATATTTCAGAGCATTAATTTGCTTTTCCAAAGGACTTCACGGAATTTAATCAACTCTTCGCGTCTGAACCCAAATGGAGTGTGAATTTTTTCGATGCCACAGCAGTTCCGCATTCGTCATTCATATGTAATAAGCTATTTTCACGTTCATTTTAATAATCCCAAAAAGTTTTAGAGGATAAGGCCAAAGTATTAAACCTAGACTTTCGTTTTCACTAGTAATTGTAATACCCTAAACCAATATTCTGGATTCTTTATGCCAGCGAAAGTGTAAGATAATCCCATAGCCTCGTCGGAACTTTAACTTAGGTACTGAGTCTTCAAATTCTAGCATGGTTCAGGTACAACTTACCAAGGTGTGTCCGATCACGGTTGGCCCCATAATAATGTGGGACCTGTAGGATTACAATCCTTTGTAATCAAATTTTTATTAAATTTAATTTGTGCTAAATGCAAACCAAACGATTTAAAATTGCTTCTGTTTGTTATCTGGATTAAATCAATTTCGGTACCTAGTTTTACATAAATACAAAACAATTAAAAAAAACACTATGCAGTAGGGCGTTCCGCATCAGAAATGAAACGATAGAAGAACAAAAACATACGCTACTATATATATATATAGATAAACTAATTTTACTGCACGGAACAACTGGGAGAAATTGGTGGGGCTGCATGGACCAAAATTTGCTTGATGCTATCATTGAAAATAACCAATGACACGAGAGAGAAAAACACCGGAATCCATTTCATTTTTGACGGAATATCAATTAGCTGTCCTTTTTTTGAGAAACTTCAAAGGACGTCATGTGAACCAAAGGTAAGTTTGTAAGAGCCACTAATGATTTCGTGCCGCTGATGGAAAAATACTCTTCATAGAAAGAGCTTTGATGATAGCTACAGGATCGATACATTATAATGGACGCATTATATATAATTATAACTGGCAAGTTAGATAAATAAATATACGATTCGTCCACCACATGAACTTCTGCTGTACAATGTCAAGCCTAATTTCGGAATTGCCCAAGTACCGACACAGCCACGAGTTGCATTTTGTCGACAAAAGAGGAGGAAGCGTAGCGATGCTCGCACCGTTTCTCAAAGCCAACTTAATCATGTGAAGTTTGTGTAACCACAACGTTTATTATAATTGTTGTAAATAATTATACCAGAGTCGTGCATAAATTCTGAACTATGATCATGGATGGCGCATACGTCGACAATATTGTTTGTTTCAATGATGCGTTATGCCGGTATAGTTGTCAAAACTTCTTTTAACACTTATGACATCTGACACAATCTATGATCTATGAAAGCTAAATTAATGCTTTAGTTGAGTTTACTGAGCCGAGTTGGGGCCATTCAGTTCTTTCGATTTCTTTGTGAAATTGCTGTCGGCGGTTCTACATGAAAATACCAGAAAAGACTAATGACATCGGTTAAAATCAATTTATGAAGCAACGCACTTTACTGTAAATGCTACTAAATCTTCGCTAGCGGATGCCTGTTTTTTTTTTTTACTTGAAACTAGTTGTGTACCAAAAGTTATCAGACCTTTAACTGCGAATTGCCGACTACATCGTAAAAATCTAGGGGCACTTATTTTTAATTGATATTGTTAACTGTCGAATTGGTCTCAGCTCTAACAAACAATAGTTAATCGTACGTAAATTTCCCACTGATAATTCAGTGACAGTTCAGCGATCAGTCACAGCAGTCCACCACAGTCGTTCAAATCTGTCAATAAGTTATCTTGGTATTATGTTAAGTTTTAAGGAGCATTGTTATTATCTAGGAGTTTAAAATTCGATTCTTCGTTTGTCCATCCTGACAATGCACGGGTATAGTTCAAAGTATAAATACTTTGCCTAATTGTATACACATACGATTTCTAAGGTATTCTGTTCACCTATACTGATATGCTTAGTGAATACTTTCGATTATTTCTACTATATCATAACAGTGGCAACAGAAAGCAGTCTGAATTCTTCTTAAGAGTTTTTAAACAGGATCCGTGGGACAAGTACTTTTACACTCCTCCGAAAAAATACTTCACGGCATTGCAAACAAAAATACGACACGAGCTTCACAGTACACGTAGGCGCCTAGCCAATTTATGTCTGTAGAGTTTGTCTCAAGAATGTCATCGCCGCTCACTTATGATTCACGGCGGTTCTTCAGTACTATCATTACCAACATCGCCCATAACATCTCAAACTATTCATTCGACTTATACATAGGTGTTAAATCCGACAAGTAGAAAAACAAATTTATCTTGAACTGAGAGAGTATCGTATGTTTATTGTGTATAATATACAGAGCTAAGAGCAGAAACGTGAGAATACGAACACATGTGTGTATTTTGTCGTAGCATAGCCTCACCATTGGCCAATATAAATGACATTTCCAACTGAATATTTCTTAATACAGATTGAGCCTGTTTCAAATACTACTGTCACATACATTCTCGACGCAGGTTCTTTGCGAACTTTTCTATACATAAAACATCATTGTACTAAAACACATTTGTAGGAAAGTCACCTTAATATTGTCCCTATAACTCCTATAGACGCCCATATTGCATACAATATGGACTTGTATGTGCATAACTTCAATAGTTACTATACTCATACTAAATGATCAACGCAAAACTACTGATAGGTCACTTGTTGCTCTACACGAGCTTACCACGTCCGTATTTAAAAAAAATACGAACGCAAAAAACTGCGGGGAATAAGGCCGTTTCGTTGCTTACTGACCTTACTTTTCCTGATGTCTATATATATGGGGTAAAATTCAAGTGATGGTTGCAGAATGACTCCGTAAAAAATGCTGTTTGGCTTCCTAAGCTCTAGAGTTTCAGATCCAATAGCTTATAAATAAAAACTAAATAGTTAAAGACTTCTTCCAACTTTCCGTCATCTGTATATATATATACAAGATGCGTAGGTCTATTGTCACAATGTTTTGTATATGATAAAACATTTTTTTTCGGGTAAGGGCTGTTGATTTCAACCTCGTCAAGGGCAAACATTTCACAACAAGTATAGTAGAATAAGAAAGCAAATATTTTTGTTGACATAAAATATCATGTTGATGTTACAATAAAGGAACAACGAATTTAGGCAGTATTTTAGGTGTAGATAGCACTAGGGAATGCAAGTCATTAAAACAGAGGCTAAGTGATCACCATGGTGATAAAGGGAAACAACTGCCGAGTAAACATTTTAAACAGGGCAGAAGAATTCTCAATTTGAAGCTGCCGTGATTTAAAAATCGGTTCTGTGTCTACTTGTGTGGTTATATTTGATCATATACGATGTCACCAATGGCTCCTGCATAGAAACTGATTGAGATCATCTTAGGACAATTTTAAGCAGCGTTTAAAAACTTTAATTTACTTAAAATAGTTGACTTAAAAATGAACTGAACTTCACTTAATGTCTGCCGAAGATTTAATTAACTAAAACTTTTATATTTTACATCCCGTCTGTTCATTAAAGAGAATTAGCGTTGTTCGATTAGATATTCACATTATTTTTTTTTCATAATTAGCTAGTCATACATATAAGGCTGTTCTTCAGCAAGCGGTGTTAGTGTATGAATTTTTAAATAAGATGATAATCCACTGAGCTAATCCTTAGCCGTGTGGTATGAAGCTTCATCCGCCTAATCTTACACGTCGCGGTATTCACCCATTACTTCAACAACACTTATACAGCACGAGATTATCATGTATTAGACATGACCTGTTCCGCGAACGAACCACGTTACATTATCGAAAACTCGTATTAGATCCTTGGATAGCAGATACCTAACTTAAGCCTACTTTCATAAGGTTGGTTAATGTGTTGCCGCCTTTCGTCTGCTGCACACTACAGACACTTGTATAGATGACCCCCTTTGAGGGTCTCTCGGTAGCACCTTCCGCCCTTGACAGAGCTCTACTATCGACCAGTCGAGCCATGAGGGGGGACACATATGCGACCCGTTGAATTTCAACGTGTAAGCAAACCAAACCTCTGCCATAAGCTAGAGTCGACCATGAGGGGCGAGGGTTGGTCATTCTGGACCATTAACCTACGAGCGATTCAGTCGACGAGTTGTCGATGCGTGCTAGTCGCTAGCCAAACTGAACTAACAAAAGTCTCGAAAGAGCCCTATAGAGTCGAAGCGAAAGAGTGACAGACTGAAGCTGGACAGCCGTCCAGCTACCCCCTTTATGACAGCTGGCACCGCCTTTGCGACCATCTCCACTGCAGACAAGAGTCCGCAGTGCCCCAGGACACTCTAAGGATACCACGAGACTGCAGTTTGCGGTGTAACGGCCTGCAAGCTTTGCGGCCTGCGGCGGCCATACGCGGCCTCCATCAACGTTAGAACTCCGTGGACCTGCTGACCTGTATGCGCGTTGATTGACTTCACTTGCGATTTCTAACTTCGGTGTGCTTAAATGTGTGGCGGTAAGAAAGTTTGGAAAAAGATAGTGAATCTTTACTTTTCATGAGGGTCTTGACATGCTTTCCGAAGGAAACTGTCCCGGCCCCTTTTTAGCACGTCATCGAATAGCGACCTTACCTCGGTGATGGAGAAGTTGTTCAAAGGCGGGCCACTTGTCAAAGCATACTCGAAAGCTTTCAATACCTGGGAATCGAGGGCCTTGAGAATGCGGAGGCACTCCAACAGACGGCCACCGGAAGCTGATGAGATGCTGGTACCGTTTCGAGATATCGATTATGTTCTTGTGTACGAAAAAGACTATGAGATTCAGGTGAGTTAAACGATGACGGTACTACGCAGTATTACGCTGCCGCTAAAAATCGCACTGATTGATCTCTAAGTCTTACCCTGTTTCTATTATGCTATGTACAATATTCAGGAAGGAATTCAGTTCTTTGGTCCAAGCGAAATGTCCGGGTAATTGCTTGGCCATTAAAACGGATGGTTTGATTACAGATCACCGCCAAATGTATTCTTTATGCGTTTATATAGTTGTTTTTCCCCATTTCGAATAGTTGTGGATTGTGATAGGAACTTGATGCAATTTTTCGACATGTCTTCGTTTTGAAATGACTTCATTTAATGGCACCTATACTTCTGGCATAAAGAAAGTCGAGCTCCAATAACTAATGTCATTGTGTGAGGAACCGTTTTTCCTTTGAAGCACAGTGTTCTTTTGGTGTACTACTCATACGATCATGCTTGAACACAATACATGCGTAAAATATGCTATAGTAATGAATCGTTCACTCGTGGATCATGAACCCGACACTTTGTATCAGGATCTGTTGGTGTTACATCGCCATAAAGATAAGCTATTGAGCCCGATAGGTCTTTTTGTGGCCGGATTTAAGCTCTCCCACACTTGCTGACATAGAAAACGCATGCTTATGTTCGTATTTTTAGTGTATAGCAACTGCAACCAACGATGACCATCATTATTTAACGATTGACCCAATCCGACCAGTGCTTCTATGATATGCCCGCAGCCGCTACGCCAGTTTCGCTATCGTTGATAGGTTGGCGTTATATTATACCATCGAATACATTAGCGTGCGGTTTATAGCTGGCCTTGCAATAGTATGAGTTCGTATTTCGACATTCTACGCTTTGATCATCGCAGTGGATGATCACATCTTGTAATTCGCAGCATATACAAGGAGCGATCGATCTGCGAGCGGTGGGCACGCTCGACAGGTGCGCCCTTTACAAACTCGATGTAGCGGATCACCTGCAGGCTGATATTCTCTACGTTGTCTCATAATGCTTTTAGGAGGCTTGTTCCGATCAGATGTGTAATGATTGAGTGGGCGTGCTTTATTTCAGAGTTGCTAAATTAACGCTTGCATTGGTGCTCTCCTACTGACCAGATAATCGAACTTTCGAGAATTGGCAAACACTAAACCTAGTCGAACGTTGAACTGATCATTGTGCAATGAACGGGGCTCGATACGCATGGTCCGTGTATGTCTCTTCAGCAATGATTGCACCAAACCAACTCGCACAGCTAAATACATATGTGGCCCACCTCGTACTTGAGACTCAGCACTAATTTTTTTTGTCCAGCATTGGGTATATTGCACGAGGATCTTTAAAAAGCGTCTCATAAGGCCTGTAAGTGATTTTTATTTGTTTTGAAACTGCTCATTTTTAGAAAGTTCACGAATATGTCTGCGTGTTACAGCAATCGCGCTCAATTCTGGTCGAGCGTTATCTGTATCCATTCTACGATAACAACTGTGTAGCTTTAGCCAACTTCGAGTGAAGTCGAATGGGTCGAACTTAAATGCCACCAGAACTTGGATGTGTGATCGGAGAGGAGGTCTCTAGCAACGTTCGGGGCAGGACACAGCGTTATCAATCATAAATCCTGTAGGCTTCTAGAGAGGACAGTATACCTTCATGAAAATGTCGCTAGATTGTTCTTCGCGCGTGTTTCGCAACGAACGATAGAAGACCGGCTGTATTACCTTTGTCATCATAGTTTGAACGATTCGAGTGGTGTCCTTTGAACTAGCAAGACTGCTTCGTTTTCATTTCGTTGAATTGAGTATATGGAACACTGAAATCAAGCGAAAGAGCTCTCAGGTAACGCATGTGCTCTTGCCCACCTCAAATGCCCTTACGGCTATTTTCCCAGTTCACTAGATGTTTTAGCGAGAAGAATAAACGGAACTTGATTCTTTTCTGCTTAATGTTGTCACTGGTATGTTTCTTTCTGCACTAGTATGATAACATTGGGTTGGCAAAATTTACGACGCCTAGAGAATAATGTCTTGGCTTGAGTTGATCTAGATTTTAAAGCGGACGTACGCAATGGTAGAGGCTAGCCGTCTGAAGCAACGATTGACAACAGTACAGGGCGTACAGCATTCAAAGAGAGAATTTGCATGGGCCTCAGATGATGTCCGACTCAGTTAATCAGACGGTTTCTTTTATGAAGGCTAACCTGTCTTAGGCGTTGCATTCGCAACACACAAACTACGCCAATTAAGAGTTTGAAGGGCATACAGCTTGTAAATGTTTAGAAGTTTTAGGAAAATTCTAAACAATCGTGAGGCAATGTTTGCGCTAGCTAGTTACTGTTGCTATGCAAATGACGGCTCTAAATCTAAGCAATATTTATTACCTATGAATCGATTACCCGTCAAAAACAAAATGCCTTTATAACACTATGGTGTTAATAAGTAGTTATTTCAAGTCTATAATACCTGCAATTATAGAGCTGAGTCAATGTTGAGTATATATTTAATGTATCATAGATAGACATATCATATCCGCGCGCCGCCAGACGAGCCCAAATGCGATAATCCAAGTCACCTGATTTGGCTATGAAACTCTAATAGCACATTTTCCAATGGCAACCTTTAAAGCGGTGTCAATTGTTAAGTTAGCTATACTGGAAGTCTGCTCCGGATCAAGACAAATGATAGAGTGTTAATGAGAATTGGCAAGAGTTGCATAAGTAGCGGACTGTGCAGATGAAGGTACTGAGTACGCTGTGCACAAATTGACCACTACCTATAGGCTCCAAGTAGTCGCCTTCTGTTGTCCATCGCCGCTCGACTGAGACGGTGATCGCTAGCGACTGTAACGTCCGGAATCTCATCTGTTTTTGTCTCAGAGAAAAGTAGACAACTACTGCACATATCCCGGTTACGATTAAATACAGACAAGGATATCTAACGTCAGCACTCAATCAGTCCGGTAGCGAAACTGTTTTCCAAGTTGGAGGGTGACGTTTCGCGATCGAACTTAACTTCACCGAACCGCTATGTATATATATATATATATATATATATATAGTTAATCTCCACTCGTTTGCTGGGGATAGTAGAAATACGGTCAAGACAAAACAGACCGCGGACGGGCTTGTCCGTTCGGCTATTTCCATGTAGAGAACGAATGAAATGTAGAAAAGCTTTTCCTAAATTTTATCGAGAAAGACTTCACCTGAAGCATTTTAGTTTAATTTGTCATATCCAAGCAAGTAAGCAAGCAAACTGTCCCATCGTGGGTGCCCTGTCTGCGAAAAGAGATGTCAGGCTACAGAGTAAATACCAAACATGTTGATACATAAAGCAATCATTCTTTATAGCTAGCCAACTGTATACATACTGAAAAAGTCAAGCCGCCTAGATGATAATAAGCTCCTGAAACGCACTTCAGAGCTTTTCCTCTATCTGACGTAGTAATTGCCGAAACATATATGCAGCATCTGGTTGAAACTTTCCAGTCTACGATTGAGCTGCTCCGTCCTCCCCTGGAAACACAAGCCGCGGCTCAACTATACTTATGGAATTCTTACGGAAGTCTTACCCGAATACTCAGGGTTATGGCCAAGGTGTCGGAACTTGGACCGAGTTCTACCTTTTTGGCGTCCGTTTTCGTAGCGATCCGTCAAAAAACGTATGTGTCACAAAGACAGAAATACCCTAAGTGATTAAAGACTCGGTTGATCGCCGATGCAGAACGTCAACCATAAAAGTTGCTAACGCACTGCGGCAGCTCGGCGGGTTGCCTGTTAGCTCTTCAGCTCTCATAAATTGCACTTCGAAGATGTTTACATCGAGGGATGTGACAACACTAATCCAATGCTCTCTTTCACTGCAGCGTGGAAGCAATGGGCTCAGTAGTAAAAGACGATATCCGTCTACAAGACTTTATAATGCGGAAACCTACGAGTCTTACGGTAGGAGTCTTAGGAGCCTACACGATGAGCTGCCCAGATAGGGTTTGCAACAGGCATTCGAAATTCGTTGTCGTCTAGGCAAAGGTCTAAATAATAATGTTTTCGTACTACCACTTCGAAAACGTAGACGCCATCTCAACGGAACAACATGGGTTTCGATGAGAACGTTCCACAGAAGCGGCGTGCTGGATCCTGATGGGGTCACGTAATCCGCTATATGCAGCATTCGTCGATTTGATGGCAGCCTCTAGTTCGGCGTTTAGGGGCAAAATTTGCTTACGCTAACCAAGTTAACCGTCCCTATAAATGTGCTCAGCTTCAACTCTTCAATCTAAGAGGGGAACATAATAGCCACTAACGGTATCATTGCCGGCCCTTTGCGATTCACTCAGGCAATTGCCCTGGCTTAGGGGGACAACCTAACTCACTCTTATTCTCCATTTTTGTTCAAAGAATCTCTCTCATCTAAAGACAACTTAATAATATAAAAACCAAATAAATTACAAGTGTAGCTTGGGACTAATGACGGAGGCGTTGGAGTTGGGACGGGGAGCCAGAGCAGCGGCCACTGGCACTTGCACTTCATTAGGCTGTCTCTTGCCTAGACAAACTGGTTTCCATGCACTTTTCCTTTCTGCAACCACCATTGAATGAGTGATCAAGCCACCTCGTAGCTGATCCTTCGGTAATTGCTCTTAGCTTGTTCGATCTTAAAGTAGCTTCGATTGCAGCGTAGAGGATACACGTCATTGAGGGAGATCCTACAGTAAGGAACAATTGAATCGCGTCAAAACTTTTTTTCTCGAAAGAGCACTGGAACCTAGTCGATTTGCCGCTGTATCTGAGAGCCTGCGTCGTTCCCTTGAGCTGGCAGCAACGGAAGCTTTCAAGACAAGATTTAGAAATTAAGAGAAAAAAAAAATCGCGGATATTGATTTGGCTGTTGTGAGGAGAACGAATCGAAAGGGACGAACCGGCTAAACAGACGGATGTATTTCATTATAGACTCTGTAGAAGAGAGGGTTTTTGTGAATTTTACGATACATATAGGTGTTCCGGACACAAGGGCAATTGTGATAAATATCATGCCGCTTGCTGCTCCCTGGTGGCATTTTTTGAATATCTAGCGAATCCGTTTTATAAACTGAGTGAGAATAATTTCCCGTATGCACTCTTACGTCGGGCTATTGTGCTATTCACCTGTTACACGAAGTTTTGCCTACTACCAGCAGAGATAAAGAAATGAAGTCGCATTTGATTTGAAGATAATTAGAACTGATCATACGGATAGATGACTCGTATGACAATTGCCCCCCTACTAAAAGTTATGGAGAGATATCGAATGAATGCGTACTTACTTTAGCTTAGCTTCGCGGTACAAAAGCAAGGACGCGCTATGATTCATAGAATACATGTTAGTTTATATGCTTTCTTCGATTGAGCCGGCGGATCCTGTATATTATCAAAACAGGCTAACCTTATAGCTGTTTGAAATTTCGTAGTTAATTGTTTGAACTCGGTACAATTAAAACGCGGCTTGACATTAAAATATTGGTCTAGAGGTTGACCCATATTATTAAGCTCAAGCGTTGCGAGGTATGATTGTTGTAACAAATTGGTCTAAAAGAGCAGCATCGACGACCATCGTTATGTCGAGTGCTGGAAAATAGGTCGAAGTCACAAGAAAAGTACTTGAAGAGGACTGATGCAAAATACGTAAACTTATGAGAGAACTATGAAAATACATAGTATTGAAGAAAGATATTTCAATATTAGATTCCTTCGCTCGTTAATTAAAATACCACAGACACAAAGATGAGACAGTAAGGGCGTCTTAATCCGTAGCAATCCGTTTGATTAGTGAGCGTTTAGATGCATGCGATCTGGATGCTGATATAGGTTAACTTGAACCATCTAAAAACAACTTTGTAGCAAGACAAAGTGAATGTCCTAGTTTAATTTCATCTGAAACGATACGAGTGAACTTCGTAGAAGGTGGAGTATATTAGAATAAAATAGCTTTGAAGAAAACAGTTTGTAACGTGTTTTTTTTCTGCCAAATATCATAAATAGAATATTTTTGCCAGACTGTTGTCGAGAGCAATGCGCGTTGCAGTGGTGGTGGCTTTTAAAATGACTATGTTTTTGTAGGAAGGCCTGCACTGTTCGTCGGAAGTGATAAGTGTTAGACGATTAGTTGCAGCACCCGCGACTTTCTTGTGAGCTCAATGTTTGTCAATGAGTAACTGCTAACGCTTGCTAAATTATCGATAATTATAGCTGCGTCGATTGTACAACTTAACGTATTAATATCATATGAAGTTCTTGCTTTTAAATTTGCTTTTAGACAAACGATTTTCATACAATGCATATTATTTAGCGGAGTACTGATTTTAAAAAGTTGCGTGCTCATTAGGGATTTTTTTTATGTTTTAGTTTATCAATGGAGGATACGTGTCGACGGAGCCGGGCGAGCAGTCAGAAGATTGCGAGCTTTCTCTGGAGCAACATCGACGATCGGTATTTGAGGCGCCTCTTACCAAACAACGAAGGTACGTTGTATTGAGGTGTGTGTGTTCGCGTGTATGTGTGTGTGTGTGTGTGTGTGTGTGTGTGTGTGTGTGTGTGTGTGTGTGTGTGTGTGTGTGTGTGTGTGTGTGTGTGTGTGTGTGTGTGTGTGTGTGTGTGTGTGTGTGTGTGTGTGTGTGTGTGTGTGTGTGTGTGTGTGTGTGTGTGTGTATGTGTCTGTGTGGGTATTTCTGTGAGTGTGTGTGTGTCTATATCTCTCTGCGTGGAATAATTAAGAGATTTCGGGATGGTATGATACTCCTAAGTCGACCTCTGTTCAAATACTTAACCTTATGGCTGTTGGCTTTTACGTTATAGAAGAAGCGTAAAATTTTCATCTCTCCTTTGTATTCGTGAACAGCGAAGTAACAATAGCAACACAGAATGATCGTAAAGCTCAATAAGCGAGAACATTGAGTTTATATTAAGTGGGAATTTCGCGCAAAGCGCACAGTAGGTAGTAAGTGGTAGATAAAGATTCCTTTAACTATCGTAAAAAATACGTCGTGCATAATAAGATAGTTGTTCGATAACTATGTCTCGCCAAAATCTGTAATTATATAGTGGATCGATTTCAGGCATCGCCGGTTATTTGAGTTGGCAATGAAGCAGGAAGGTCTGGGGTTTGAGGAAGAAGTCGTCGGCGATTATGTGTTTATTAAAGTGCATACGCCTTTTGATAGATTATGCCAGGAAGCCGAAAACGTTCGCTTGGATTTGCCACTAGATGGGGTAAGTTATGAAATGGAGTTTAATAGGTTTGTGAAGTAGCGACAGTTTGAAGCGTAACGTTTGTATTAGAAACATTTATAGTAAACAAAAGATAAATGCTTGAAATGTATAAAAAAAAGAAATATTGATTATGGCGTTATCCAATGGTCGGTATTAGAGATAACATTTTGCATCATTTGTGGAAATGACTTTTATGACTTCGGTACAGAACTGCATGCGAGGTGTACATGATGTTCTTGATATTAGTTCAGGCTACTAGATTAGCAAATGAGACCTATGTGCTTGTTTCTAAAACATAAATAGTATAGGCTATGAAGAAAATCAATTTCTGGGTAATTAATAAACAATAATCTAATGATGTGTGTAGAGGTAAAATTTTTAAGATACCAAATTACATTTTCTACTCTTCATATGCTTATAACGTACAGTTGTCGATTATAAATATCGTGAAAAAAAACTGACTCTTGAAGAATGTTAGTGCAGTTTGTACCGTTACCAGAATGTTACCTGCATACTTGTCATTGGAAAAGGTTAAGGTTGGAAGTTCGTTCCTAGTTTACTCAATACCCTTAAGATGCATGAAACATGAACGAGGCAACTATAGCTAACTAGATAAGCATACGTATTAGTGCATTGTACAGATTATTAACTCATAATTTATAGGTCCGCTGCGACTATTTCGTCGTGGCGTCAGGCTATTCAGAGCGAATCCGTTACGTAACTGTTTCTTAGAAGAGGTGATTGTATTCAATAAAAGAAACAATTCGTGATCAATAACTGTATATATAACTGGCTTTCGTTACTCATAGGTCACAGTACGGTCATAGTGCAAAAACACCACCATTCTGTGATTCCAGACCGTTTTTTGGTCCTAATTTACCTTCTCCAGAAAAAAGTTTCCTGTCTTGGTGTTGAGTGGGTTTAACAATTAAGGCTTAGCAGCTATCGCAATATATCAACATGTACACACTACAAGCAACACTATTCTTTATTGTATTGTAAATTAGGTCGAAGCAGACCTTTTTACGTCGTCCGTTATACAACAGGTCATACGCACGTGCATGACAAACGACGTTTAGGACTATAAATGAAGCAGCTATTCAAAGGCTTTCATTCAGTTTTATAATATTTAATATTCCCTTAGAAGACCAAACTCAGCGTGACATAATACAAGTCCTCCGCTGGATTTAACAACCGTCTATTACCTGGGTAACTTAAAGCTGATTAAGAAAATATAGTGCACATATTCCCCCTAAACGCTCCTTAAAAGTAGGATGCGATGTTTACCGTAAAACCTTATTTTTCGTCGACTAGCTATTTTTTCAGTTTTTCTTTTCAAAAAGGCGCGATCGCTGGGATTTCGTTTCAACTTCCAGTAAATAAAGCAACAAAAATGTATGTCTTTGATTATCCAGTGACCATTAGTACTACGCCAAGAGCAATCGATCTTGCTTGGGATTACCATGAACAGTAAGATTTATGACATTCTTTATAGAATTCGCTGGTGATAACGGTGAAAGCAGATGGCGACGTGGCACTTATTGATTAAGCATCTCTAGATACCACAATAACGGCAAGACAGACTCACAAACTCGTTTATTTCGTTCACTGCCACAGATTTTCAGTTTTGGCTTTATCGTCTTCTTGGCATTTCTATTTGTGTCACAGCAGTGACAGGGGTTGCGGTCATGCAGATGGAGCTGGCGACACTGTTGTCGTCTTCAGACTAATTGGTTCGCTTGGGACGCTTCAAAAAGACTGACCCAGACGAGCAGAACTCAGTGTATGTGCTCTTGATCCCCCTTTTAATGATTATCCAAAATAAGGAAACCCCGATTTAGGCAGCGCACAGTAAGTGTATAACCTTGTCCCTCTAATGTTGATGGGTACTAGCTTATTTAATAAACGGTGCCGTGATCACGAGAGGTCTCGATATTTCAGGCTATTTAACAAAGCCTCTAAATAAACATTCTTTAAAGAAACAATCGTTCGTGGCTCTCAGTTAGCTTCAAGGTAAAGGCACCGTTCAGAACAAAATTTCAGGACATACGGTCCTCAAGATATAGGCCATGCGAATCTGTATATATCTAGACGTCGTACTGCTTTTGTGCGAATCGTATGTCTGTAGCACATACTATTGGCTTTATTCGGTTATGACATCGTGCGAAGCACTGCGAAAGGGCATGTAACACACATCAATGGCGGATCGATAAGGCGGGAAGGGTTTCTACTCTGCTCTCGACTTTACAAAGAAGTGTCTTGGTACAAGCAGATGGCCGGCTATACGCCCAGTCAGAAACTACGACATTTAAATTATTTTTGGAAGTAACTAATTAATGTAGATTTAAACCAAACAAATTAATGTACAAAAAATTGTACCTCTCGGTGTTAAAAAAAAAATACGTCTATTTCTAATTGGAAAAAAAATCTAAAACTTCGTCCCATGAAGAGCATTAAGTAGTTTAAGAGGATTTTAAGCCACAAATGGACGGTTCAGATATTGTAGAGTGGAATCGAACTGACGCGGTTCTGACTGCAGGTCCATCTGGCACTGTTATTCACTCTAATTATACGGTATTATTGTAATACCCTTGTCTTACGCCCGATTTAACGCATGCATATCTACAACTTCTTATAGCTTACTCTATTGACGCGAATAGAGAACTTATGTTATACATTGTTGATACAGAAATACGCCCGAGACCCTAAAAGGTAAGTTACCTTGTTTACCATGTTTAGTTTCATTACTGTAGTACGTTAATTATAGGACTGTTATCAAAAGAGCCTGGTACTTTATCTACTAGTTGCTCTATCTTCATTAGTTACCCTTAAAAACGTAATGGGTATGGATGACGATAATTAACTTCGTTAATACGAAAGGATTTATAAAGTGAATTAAAATATTCCGCTTCTTCGATGATTTTATCTAAAGTTCATACCCAAAAAAACTGCATTTTCATAATTTATTATATTTTCTGCCGGGGCTAAAAGACTACGAATCAATTCGGTCAACTGTGTCGTATGCGGCGACGATGCCGCGGGTGAAATGAGAGGAGTGCTCGAAGATCATTTGTTTAGTCTAAAAATGCTATCTAAAATCTAGTAAAAATACATCTTAGTTTTCTTAGCCGAACGAAATCGGTCGAAACTTTGAATGGGAAACAATTTGTTGTTTGGCCGAGGTAAAATTCAACTATCGCCAGGTATTTTGAATTGATGGGATCTTGATGAAAATTTCGAGTCTGAGTGCTCCATGAATTGCGTTAGGAGTGCAAAAAGGCACGAGACAGGAACAGGTCATTTTGAATGACATGCTAAAGCCCCGGGCTAGATTTGTTTTCGATAATACTGGGTTGGCAAAACAAGGTAACAGAAAAAACAAACAAGGGATAGTCCCAGCTACACTGAATAAGCGAGGCAGCAGAAGAGGTCTAATAGTCAGTCGAAATGATCCTCTTTCGCGAAAAGGCCGGACCACATATAACAAAGCTTGAACGATAAGGTTGTGCTCGAAAGTCTTCTGTGCCCACCACGTACTCCAGACCTCGCGCAGGTGGGATACCATTTTCCGATCACTGGTCAATGAAATTCGTAGCAGTAGGTCTGAGAATGAAGAGCTGTCAAAAACTGATTAGACGGTATTTTCAACGTTAGACCTAGGACATTTTGGTAAGATAGATAGAATAAATGGGTTGAGATATGAGAGCAGTTCTCAACAAGTAACGGGGAATATACGAATTTATTGCTAAAAAATAATTTACCACTAGAATTCGAACGAAATGCTATATAAACCGTGGTTATTCTTTGAGCATAATAGTAATAATACGAGTCGATTTCTGCTGCCGCGAGACTTCGGTGGTCTGTGCTTCAATTGTGCGCTAGGTCGAAATGAGTGGAGTAGAGAGGATACTCTTATTGATGTATGCCGGTTGCTACATTGAGATATATCCCTAAGATTGTATGTTCACGAAAATAGCGCATTATATTTGTCTGAGACGAATAGCATTTATCCTTAGCCACGCAGCAATCCGCAGAGTCAGTTATCCTTCTTTGAATTCTAAATAGAATCAAGTTGTTATTACAGATATTGTTAATATTGTGTTATCCTGAGTAGTTCATGACGTAAATAGGCTATTTATCAATACTTTCCCTCTATCGGTAGTGCTCCTTCGTCATTTCAAGGATTGTATCAAGATAAAATGAAAGAGAGAGCACTCCTGGTTCGCGTGCACCCTAATATACAACTGCTTATAGATATTTAGTACTACAAATAATCGAAACCAATATATAGTTCCAAATACTCGACAGGGCTTTGTTTAGCCTAAAAAAAAAGTAAAAATATCTTCGGATCAGTCTATTAGATACGATCTTTGTTTTACTATGTGCACATTTCCTGTCAATGAACATAACTGACGAGGATTCTCCGTATTTCTTTACAGCTGATATAGAGTAAACAATGTAAACCTAAGTAAGAACAATACACCCTCAAAAATGTTTAACTTTTAATAGTACGCGGTATCGAAAGCACTGTTTGCGACTTCACTACGTGTCTTTATCTGAAACATGCTATGTCGCTTTATAATCACATAATTAAGAAAATACTCTCTTTTATAAACGCACAGGATTTTTGTGATTTTGAAAATAAAACACTGCGGGGATATGTGTGCTCGACGAGTTTTTAGCCATTTCTTGGGTTTCATTTTGAGAAGATATTGCATCATCTAAGACAGAAAGTTTAGCATAATCGTAAGATTATTTAAGTATTAGGTAAGTAAATATGCAAGCGAGATATTAATCTATAACTAAAGGAGCAGATCGTGTAAAGTTAACTGAGTAGTGTTGTCAAAAAACTTAGATAAATTTATTTTACTTATTGAGACGTTTGAAACCTTTCGACCAAGAAGCCTTTCACAAAGATCAAGCGAAAACATCAGGATCTATTTTAAGTTTGTAGAAGACTCATGTTAAATGAGTAAAAAGAAAAACATATTGGCTTGTTAAATAGTATTGATCGACCATTTTCGGTGCAGGAAAATGCAGTACTACTATAATAATTTTGTGAGTATATGTTAAATTAGTCATACACAAGAGCTGGTGCATACAAATCTACGCGAGGTATAAGGGTTGCCTAGATGAAGTAAACGCTACAGTGCCTGGTCAACCCTTCATAGTCGACCAGGAATTGTAGCATTGTTTATAGAGTACGATATGTTACAGACTTTGAATATGATGTTGTTTGCATTACTTCAGATTTCGTTGGATGACGAACCTGATCTGGAGGACCCAGATCAAACGGTCGACCCTCAGCAGTGGCTCCAGGATAAGATGGCCAAGCTCCTCGATCTCGGACAAAGAAGTAAACTATTAATTATTTTCTTAAATGGCGTTTTAAATACAAGTGTAAACAAGTCGCTTGTATTAGCTACCCAGTATCTTTAGTTAATAGGATGAAAAGCTTGCACCTGAAATCATACATTTTAACAATGAAAATCTGATGGTGCCACACGTTTCCTGCATTAGCTACGTAAACTTCCGCACAGCCCTTGCTTGCAAGTGAAAAATTAGCTATTACGTTTTCGAGTTCAATCGCCGTATGTTCAGCCTAAGTGCCTCAGTGTACACGGTTATCTAAATAATCCTGCCGACACATTTTTTTTTCTTTCGTATGTTTTTCAGCGAGAAACATCAGTGCACCGTTCCAGATAAAATGCAAAGACTGGTTCATTGGACCTCGTGATCGAGAGACCTTCTTCAACAGCGCCATCAGAGGATTACTTGTGTGCTAGTCTAAACACTTTTTACTTAAATAGATATTTTATTAAAACGCTGAGTGCATCACTGTTTGCACACGTTTATGGCATGGACGAAGCAGGGAGGGGAAGGGACATTTCTCGGACTTTATTACTCCATGTAGGCAAATCAATACATCAGAATAAGCTGATCATTTTGCTAGCACGTTAAAGAGACGCTATTGTTTTAGAAGATCCTGTTGGAATAGAAGAGAGAGTAAAAAGTTCGGAATAGTTAGTAGCTTCTGTTGGGAAATTTTCAATGTCTAAAAAACCTGGTACCAAAATAGTGAAATTTGAATGTAAATTAGAGGCGCCTTATTTTGGTGTTATAGAAGCAAAGACAACGCTCGACTTCAGTGAGCCTTCCTTGTACCATATGCGCTAAAAGGATTCGATTGTTGAAGTTGCTCTCTACCCAACGTACTCTCCGCAAACATAGAGTACCATTAAATGGTTTCGACATGTGAACATAAGTGGGAGGAGATATCTAACATTACGTTAGGCTTCATGTACAGCATTTTGGTATTTGACTATTTATACGATCGGATATTTGAAGCTGTCTTCTGTTCACTGAAGCGTGTATATGTAGAGCCTTTCCTATAGCAAAAACTCACATAATTCCAATTCGTTACGGAATTAAGGGCGGTTTATAATTAAATAGGCGCAACGGTCTGAAACCCAACGGCCAACAAAAAGAAACATTTAACCCTTCTAACAGACCAGGTGCCGTTTCGACCTAGCAAGCCGACTGCTCCTTTTGTGAGTAAGATAAATTTCCGCTGTTTTTCTTATTTCTAAACAACTTGAAAAAAAAAGGTAAGAAAGTGGCAGTACTGAGTGAGAGGTGTCTGAGCTTGGAAGGAATGACATTTCTCTATTTTCGTTTGTGCATATTATACTAACCAGAATTGGTGATATAGTCGCTTGCACTTAGGTTTGGGTAAAATAGGTTAGAAAATGGAATAACTCTCAGTCATTAACATTGGAACCGGACATTGACAAGGATCTTTGTTAAGCTATTCAACAGAATCGACGGTCAGGTGTTTGTGCAGACATGCCAGCTGTTATCGAGAACATCATGTGCTTGTTAAGTGATTGACTGTTAGCAGTACATGATAACTTTATGTACAGGTAGTAAATAACATTTGTTCGTTATTAGTTTTGAGCTTTTATGACTCTTAAATACTTATAACCATTCTCTGCCATCTATTTCCTCTCCATTGGCCGCATTCATTTTAGATCTCTTTAGAAACTTTAGATTTTAGAAACTCTCATGGAGAAACACTCCATTTAATTCCATTCGAATCCGTTTCAGCGAGAAATATACGTAGTTGAAAATTATAAACGGACATTTTGTGATGCTAGCATGAAGTGATCGTAGGGCGACTTACATCAAAGATGGCGAAATCAATCAATCAATCGACTCGAGCAATTAAAAACTCGTTTTAGAACTACCTTCAGACACGAACGATCGCACAAAAAACTACGACGAACTTCACGAATTAGGCAGGATATTTAATTCACCCTCTCTTTAACCTTTTCTGGGCATATCTGACGTGATCTAATATATAGATATTAGACCACTGATATATATACATATATATATCAGAGTGATGTATTTATTTCACGATGTATCGAAGATTTTACTCCGATGACGTTATAGCGTCCATTCCGGCTATTTCTGTACTATACTAGCATGTGTATACTGCGCGCATAAAACATAGTACCTTTTGTGTAGACGAGATCAATACCGTTACAGGGTGGCTCCATTGAGCTATAATCGTTCTCAGGGGATCTTGGGTTCAGCTATCTCCAAAAATTGATCGGATATTGCTTTTTGCTAATGATCTCTGGATAGGGGAGTAGGTAAGCATGGACAATACAATTTCTTTTAGTATATTTAGACTTTGTTGTCTGGAGGTTTGCATAAAGCTACAAGTCGTTGTGGGCGGTCCTACGTATGACGTCGTTACTAATGTTTGTGCTAGATAAGCAGCAGATCGATTCGAGTAATCAGCGACAGTCAGTAATTGGCCTGGCAATAATTTTGCTTTGGCTCGACGAGCGAAAAATTCAAGCAGGATTTTCTGGGTGTAGTCATGTTCTGAGGAATCCATTTAGCTGTCATATTCTCGGTAGTGATGAATTCAAGCGCAGAGCGTCGCCAGTGGTCGAGTAAAGTGTCGAGTACCCATTATTCCAGGCAACATCTTAGCGTTTCGAGCTAGCTAGTCTAACCCGTCTCCTGGTTTAACACATGAACATAATTACCAATAGTATGTAGAGTCGGCTCTGCGGAGATTTACATTTACAGACATGCAAGTGAAATGAGTTGTAGCTGAATTATTATGGGCTTACCTTCACGGATGATGATACAAGGTCTTAAATGCCTTTATATAAATAGAAAGAGCCGATTTGACGGTCTCATTTCACAACGAGGCGTTATTTTAGCTCTACATTACGAATGGAAGAAACTGTCGTAATCCAAGAACTAATTCGTTAGTGGTACGACCGATCCCTTAGGTCTAAAAGTTTTTGAACGAACCAGAAATATTTGTGGAATACCGTTGGAATAGCTATACTACATGAAGGCAACAGATACGAAAATATTTTATTAAAAAAACCTCTTTCATAGACAAAGACTGATGGCTAAATTATTTGTCCAAAGCGATCCAATATGTAGGAAAGGCTCCCAAACTGTCTACGGTAGGACAGTTGAAATTTGGAATATGTGAGATGCACTCCCCTTCAATAATCTCACATTGAAGTCAGTGTCTAAGAGCTCTCCAACAGCCAATCACATTACTCGTGAATTGTTTGACGGAATACGTTGCGATACTTGTCGCTTTCTTTAAGGTATACACTTGAATGTGGGGGATATAAGGATTCCGTTTTTCTTGATCCAAGCCGTGATTGAATCGTGGCTGAGGTCTTCTAGTAAGTACTGTCGCTTGCCGTGCCACATATTCACGAGGTTCTCCAGAAGAAGGCATATGAGGCAGCATCGACCGTTTCATTTCCGTAATAATGATCTCGTACTGTTGATATCCATAGTGAGTATGCGCGTCACTCTACGCCTAAATATGTTCGGTGCTGCCACCTTATTTTTTTCTGACGCCACTTTTTCGCTTGAGCTTTCTCTGCTGGGCGGCACAACCGGACCCGTGTTTCGTCTATAATGATAATGAATGGCGACGAGCGCACTGGTGAAGAGTCTGTAAAAGGCTGGTTAAGAGATCTTGCTAACGTTTTAACCACCTAGAAAGAAACCCAATCAATGTTAATTTTGTTTCTAAGCCCATTATCCTCTGATGACACGCAATCAGCTGATAGCCACCAATAGTTAAAGGCTTTATGTAGATATATACGAAGTTTCGTCTGCTAGTGGTGTTCGGGCTAGAAATGATTGGTATTTTCCGACTTGGCGAAGAGTTTCGGATCAGTAGTTAATTTATTGTAGGCGGCTTGCTTTTACGGTGGCTACATGCGGGATAAATCTTTAAATATGTCTCTAGCACCTATAGAACTGAGATAATTTACACGATAGGCGCGATTAAATAAAGCGCAACATTGATAAATTTTTAAATAAACCTTAAACATATGTCACACCCTTAATTTTTATCCACATCGCTTATTCATTTCACTGTATACTTAGGATTAGCAAGAGATTGACAAGGGTCATTTTCTCCGAGGAGAGAGACAAGCGCAATTTAGCATATTCTGCTCTATTAGAAGTATTTCTGAAAGCCTCGTAATATTAGAATTTAAGTGATACTTGGCAAAGACAAAATAGCGTTTTTTCCAAACTTTTCGTAAAATTGGATACAAAGCTTCGTTCTCTACTTTCTATAGTCGTGTAATTTTTTTTAACTTTGTTCCGAATCTGATACCATTCTTGCAGACCCACTATATCCTTAGTAACATCGACATTTCTCTGCTAGAAGAAAGGAGCCAAAGCAAATCATTTCACACAAAAAAGGGTAAGGTTTAAATAAATCGTGTTGACATTTTCTAAGAACTAGATCATGTAGACAAGAACTTAATGCCGCACGACGCTTTATAAGGTAGTATCGGCTTCCTTCATAAAAGGAATCGCTATTAAAAGATTCCTGACTTGATTTCGTATTACTAATTTAGAATCTTTGTATATGGAACTTAACTATTTTCTAAAAATGATGTATCCTTGTTTTAAGCATAACGATTTATTCAGGAAGCTTTGAAAATCTTTTTTTTTTTTCATCCCCTATTACGTGTATACGACGCATTGTTGCACGAATAAGGGAAGTTAATAGTATATATGACGGATTTTGGCAGTCGTTGCCTGTCCAGTATTTCAGATCAGACAATGCCGCAACGGTATAATGTGTGTTCGATTGCGGCGATGTAGTTCACGGCATCACTGATCGAGTCGACAAATAGAGCCGACGATAGCCGCTTAGCAGTGGTTTATATTAAAACAAATAAGCCCTGTGACGAAGTGCATACTTCATGCTAATATATATATATATATATATATATATACTTTATAGTCATATTTGTAATTTATTTATACGTCATGTTTATGTGGATACCCTTAAACATGAAAAATCTAATACAGATATTTAGTTTTCCTTAACTATTGCTAGCAATGTCAGAGTTAACGCATTGTAACCTAACGTGATTTGCTACTCTGGATTATTTCTTACAAAACGTTTATATTAGGGCTGCCGTACCTTTTGCTACAACGTGTGTACATCGATGCGTTCATTTTGCACGACGCTTCAGTATTTGAACCTTCCCCCGTCGTTCCGTTCCGGTTATCAGCCTCTGTGAAGAAGAAGGAACTGCACAATACTGGGTAAGTGCAGCAATGGATTGCCACGTTAACGCTTCTTTCAGGGTTAGGAAATCGTCGCGCTATGTTGAGTGGGTATGACGTATTGCTTAATTATAAAAATATCCAACCCACTTTAATACAAACTCACTTTTCCATTTGGGTTAAATTGCTACGGCATTATCTCATGGTTTCTAACAACAGCTAGCTGATGATAAATGCGTTCTAGATCGTTTTTCCACGTCGCTAAGAATATGCGGCTGCTGGGTTCGAATGGGTAAAATGAATTATACTGAAGACCCACATCATATGTCTAGGTCGTACGGGCTAGATGTGCGCTACGAGAACAAGTTCAGAGATAACTTTTTCTAATCGTAGACAAGATAAAACACTGACAACGCTTCTGTACATTCTTTACATACAGTAAATAAATTTAGGCGCAGCAAAGTTGTAATACCTATGCATTTTACTCTTTTTTGTACTCTCTTTACATATGTAGGCCTAGTTAAGTGATTCAACTGAACATGTATCCCTAGGCTACACAAGGACAAATGTGGGTCGACCAGATCATAGTCGACGTGTAATATTATTCGCGTACATTTATTAAAACTTCGGTAATAGTATGAGTAATAGGCCGAACTAATAGTACTAAATTTCGTTTAACGGGAATGTATGTTTGGTAAGAACATTCTTTCTTCTTAAAGTGTCTCAAAGCATCTTAAAGTGATGGCCCATCCGATACACAGGTATAAATTTCATGAGTGCTTCAGCTTACGAAACTAGAAAATGAGCATGACACGAGCCTGACGAATATACTCCTTTTCTAACAACACAGTTCAGACAATAAAAGCCTTCCTCTACCCTCCAGAACCTGCCATATCTTTGTGAGTCTTGTAAGCAAGCTTAATTAAGCATTATATGTTGCACATCGATGATGATTGTTAGCGTAGATGATAAATATATTATATCAAGGACATTGCTTTAGGGATATGTCAGGATTAGGGACTTGATACAAGTAAGCTGGGGATCAAGCAAGAGAAGGTGCTATTATCATTTTCTTTTTTATTGCTCCAATTTTTACTGCAGAAACAGGATGTATGTACTGCCGGATTCAAACCTAAGTGGTCCTATAGTGAACTGGCCGACACTGTTACCATAGCATTGATGTGCGTAAAAGTAGCTTCTTGTAGACAGATCAGTGACGCAGATCCAAAATTCAAAGAAGGTCTAGCGATTCTAAACAAGATATTTGCCGACACGATCTGTGTGACCAATACTCCAGTCTCATTTAGTGTCCAGATTTTAGTGTCCCATCCAAATTTCTGCTAAGCTTTAAAATGTAATTTTTTTACTATCATGAAGATTGACTACAACTAGAGTATACAAAACTATATAATTTGACGCTTGTATGACGCTTATACAGATAAAATTATAGAAAGACACCCTTTTTACGCGAAGGCCAAGTAAAAGTCCGACTTAGTTTTATTCATCTGCTTGAAAATTTAAGGTTACTTCTGAGGAATTTCCGTGCAACTTTTTGAGTGGCGTTTAAAAATAGATTTGCATATCACTAATAGGAGAGAAATTATTTCTAGTTTTGATTCTAAATTTTCTCCGCTGTGTAAGAGTGTGGATGTCAATCTGTTTTACTGTCTGCTAAACCTCCATCCACATCCGCGGTACGCATATAGTACAGGACTATATACACCTCACTATTTTTCTATCCGAGCCAGGGGTATGTTGGGTATTACCTCAAAGGCTCTGCGATAGGTAAAGAAGCCTATGAGCTATGAATTAGTATAAATATTTCATTAGTGCAGCGATTTCTTGGTTAGGTTTAGCCTCATTGAAGTGCGAAATGTATTCTTAATTTTCTTTTTTTTTTTTTCTAAAAAGTCTTGTTTCGCGAATACAAAGAATTTTTTCACTGGATATTTTCAAAGGTTGCCAGAATAATTGTCAGAAACTTAAACCATCCGGGGTGCATTTAGGAATATGTAATAGGCAGTATAACCACAGTTGGGAAACTAGACAACAAAAAAAATTTTTAGAATAAAATAGACAGTTGAAAGTGTTAGTTATGTCTGGTAAAAAATGAATAATCTTAAATTTAATCGGGTTCGCAATGTTCAAAGAACGGAAAAAATTAGATCAGATAGGAAAACAAATTACACTGTGTCAGATGCTAGCCAACCTCTATTTCCTTGTCTACATTATACGTTTGCCAATTTTAGACATATTATATGGGCTTTTTAAACGAAGCCCGGCTTTAATAGGGATGTAAATACAAAGGTTGCGTGACAATGATATACTGGCGTGATAATTAGAAAATTCTCTAGGGTAACTTGGAGTCGTTTGCATGTCGGGAGAACTGTAAGATGAAGAAAATTTGGGCCTGTATAAATATAATTTTACAACACGAATAACTTTATTACATCGTCGTGAACTTACAGCTATCATAGAACCGTTAGTTTAGCCATAGCCAATCTTATCGCTATGTCGTTACACAGATTAAATTTCCCACTCGATTCTGTCTAAGTTTTGAGAAGCTTTCCAGTATGCTTATACGTTGTGGCCGGTTCTTCAGCTCTGCTAGAATTGTAGCATAGCTTCAAAGGCAGCATCGCCGTAAACGCGCAAGAAAGTCTTATTAAGAACTGTTAGACGACGGAGAAACAGGATAAATCAGATTGACTACTGTGAGAAATGATCTGAAAACATCTGGCAAAGTATCTCTAGGTTATAATAATACCCTAACTAGAGTGATATATACTGCACGAGAGAAATAAATGCGTATATTTCATGATCGTTCTGCTTATATATATATATACATTTCGAATTTTACTTTGGGACGACGCGCCTGCATAGTATCATCGTGACAAAAGAACACAGCATAATGGTGATTTTTCCAAATAGACGTATTGGATAAGAAGGTGCCTGCCAGCATTCCCCAGATCTGACGCCAACACGGTTTTTTTTTTCTTCCGAAACACCAGAAGGCCAGTAACATTGAAGCACTAAAAAGTTGCAGCTGAACAAGATACGTTACAACATGTGAAATGTTCGTTAAAGTGATTGGCCATCGTTATCGGCACTGAGTTGAACCGAAGGGCAATTTATACATCTGCGACAGGGGAAACCGTATACATTTTATGCCATATGCAGATGAAAAGTTAAGTTATAGACATTTTAACTATATATATATATACATTTTTTGAGACACCCTGCATTGCCTCTTTTGGCTCGACCACATGGTTTGCGCTTGGTGGAGGAAAGGTGTCTAGAACGAAAGCTATTCACAGGGACAGTCACTCCTTTTTTTACGGAGGAGTCATATAACGAATGTAATTCTTTATATTACACAATTGAAATAAAATTAAGCTTTTGGTAACATTTTTACGAGTCGTCACTGCAATTGAAGCTTTGCATTATTTACATCCGATAGCCGAGTAACAAAGAAGAGTTTTGCAGTTGGAACCTAGATTCCCCACGAAGACAGCATATTATAGCAAGTGTTTAGCGCACTTAGAATATATATATATATATATATATGCATACGCTTATAATTGCCATCTGTCAGCCTGAATGGAACGTAACCTAAGCCAATGCATTTGTCTCGTGTTTTCAAATGCCGCCTGATCATAACCGTATGAATCCGACAGTTCTTCAACGTCGAGGCAGCAGGTTACCAAGGTGACGCCAGACACCCGCGTAATACTCGATCGAGAATGGAGACAGCTGCTCAGAGGACAGCCACTAGACGCTATTCGGTGCGTATTTCCATGGTAAACGTGCAGCCAAAAACACTCTGAGAATGACCGTTCCATGAGTAATTTAGTTTTTTTTTTTTTTTTTTCAATGACAATAATTAATTGTGGACATTTATTACCTGTAGCTGTTGTTGTTGAGCCATCGAAAGAAGATTTTAGTTATTAGAGTCTAAGCCACGTACAGCAACCTCAGTCCAAAAGCAGCCCACTTAAAGCCTATAGACTAGCTAATAACTAAAAAGCCCTCTTGGAATTAAATCGTATCTTCTATTTGCTAAAGGAGTGTGAGTAGTCTGATTGAAATTTTTTACACCCAGGTCTTGTAGGCGTCCGCTACAATGAAACACGGCAAATTTCACCATATTACCTCTGACAGCTTATGAATGTATTTATTTGATCCAGGAGATTTTGTCTATTTTATTAACTTGTTAATTATTCCGACATTTGTCGATGTCGAATTAAACGATTATAGGGACTACTTAGGAGAAAAGATTTCATTCTATTTCGCTTGGGTCGGAACCCTGATAGCGTCGCTCGTCATTCCGGCCGTAATTGGATTCTGTGTATTCTTTTACGGGGTCGTACAAAAGTGAGTGCGCAACCTTGCCTCAATTACTGCTTATAGACGAAAGCTTTGCTAGACAAAACAGCACCGGGCCCTGCCCAGCAAACTGGCACAGACTATAGAGCTGAATTCCGCCTTATGTGGGTGACTCTCGGTAAAAGTTTGACTTATTTCATTTTGCTTTTTATTATGTCAGAGTTCAACAGGACAGTAACTTCGATCCAAGTCGAATTAACGATACTAAGCTGGCGCGAGCCTATAACGCTACAATGAGGTATGAATCGTTGATCTGAGCGTCGTTTCTGCAAGTGTACAGGGCACTACGTAACGTATTCGTCATTGTCCTTGCAGTATGCTCCTATCGTATCTGAATATCACCTGTTAATTCAATGATATCTAACAAAACGTTTCTTCTTTTAAAATATTGCTACGTTTAGCTATCCGAAACGAATTGATATAACAATAGGATCTGTGTATGCTTAACTATTATCAAGGGAAAAAAGCGTGATTTTTCATGCTTGCAAAGATTTTTGTTATGAAAACAAAGGTTGACAGAGTTGCTAACTTGCGTGAAATGTTGCAGTTCTTCGGTATTTGTCTATTTTGTGGACACGATAAAAGTTGCGGGAGATACTGAGCTTACTCCGTTTTGGGCATTCAGTATTTGTTTATGGAGTGAGTATATGCTTCCTTCAGATTTTGTGATTTTTGGTAGTAGGAAAAAGCCCGGTGTTGTGAATCGACCGTAGCTAATTTTAAGTAGTTTAGGTACGGGAACAGGTAGTAGTCAATGGCTTGTGCGACTTACGATACACCCTTTCCAACGACTATGAAGACGCTCAGTACACACTACGCTCAAATTATGTGCAGTATGCAAGTGCAGCTTCAGCCAGAACCTTCAAATCAGATGGACGCAAAACATATTATGTACCTTTTGCTCTGTGTGCTTCACGTTCCGAAATAATCCGAGGCATTTTCTACCCATAGGTAACGACTGTGTGGACATTCAAGTGAAGTTCGCCGGGTCGCTTGGCACAGCATATACATTTACGTTTCAAATGCGATAGAACTGAGGAATAGTATAAATTTATTCCACTTCGGGCTAATAGATTGCCCAACTAGTGCTTAAACGGTTCGGAGGTGCTTTGTAAGATTTCGAACAGAAAACGTTTTATTCATTTTTATATTCTCAGCTGATTTCGATTCAAAGTATGGGACTTTGACTAAGCTGTAACTAGCCTACTTCAGTGACTGAAGCTTTTAACATGTTAGGAAAAAATAGTTTTGTCAAAAAGGTCGTACGGCTAGTCAGGGTGTGTGCGCAGCAAGGAAAGGTGCTAAAGCCATGTTTCTATTTTAGTTTATATTGTAATTTGGCCTGAGTGCAGCGATTCTAAGGCCAAATTGAAATAGTTGTGCTTCACTAATGTTAGCCTGCATTTCTATTCATATAAGGATATGACTAATCTGGAAGCAGCGGGATCTAAACGGGTTTTAAGTTGATTGAGCTTACCCGTCTCACGCTAGTTCATTTTCTTAATCAGAATATATATATATATAATATTCAGAATGCCATCAAGCATTATTTCGCAAATCAAACTCTACATTATCCTATTCATATGGTTTTAGGTACAATTTTTTTAGAAATATGGAAACGTCGCCAATCTCTGCTTGCGCTCCGTTGGAATGTTGACCATTTTTCATCAGAGGAGCCAGACCGACCCCAGTTTTATGGGACAATCTCAGAGACTGATCTTCTAACGGGTGAAGTGCGGTGGAATTATCCACTCAAGCAGAGAGCCCTCAAGTATGTTGTATCATTCGCCTTTTTCACCCTCATGGTAAGTCGAGAAAAACTGCCTATAAGTTATGGGTCCGTCCTGTGAGATCAGATCAAATCAATCATACGTTCAGCAGTTGTTTAAAAACAGAGAGAGCCAGTTCTCATAGAATTTCAAAAGCAAATACCTATCAGCACTATACTAAACAGATACAAATAGATGTTAGTTAATAATTATTAACATTAACAAAGAAATTAATTTGTGTTACTTTCAGACATGTGTAGTCATAACATCAGTGCTTTTTGTCACATTGTACCAAGTGTACATGGCAAATGTATACTGTGGAGGCGCCAACAAAACAGAGAATCCACAAGCTTTTAGCGCTAACTGCGAGGCTCTCCATTCATCAGTTGTTGGACCTAGCTTGAACACGGTGTCGATTATTATTCTCGGAAAATGCTACGCGTACGTGGCTGAGAAGCTCACCGACTGGGGTACACTAAACGCTCTTAACTATAGGATTATTTCTATTGCCAATACTTTCAATCAATTCCGTGACTCTGTTCGCTAGGGTATCGTTCGATACTTCTCATCTTTGTTCGATAGCCTGTAAGAGACTGTGGTCAATAGAACCGCTCTATTTCCGCCTTCTCTCACACAGAAAACCACCGAACGCAAAGTCAATACAACGACGCGCTCATCATCAAGTTGTTCGCGTTCCAGTTCACAAACGCATATGCATCTCTATTTTACACTGCCTTCTTCCGTGACGAGCAACAGGACATCAAGGGGGTTAGTGCAGACCGTCCGCCACATACGACGCATGCGCTAAACGTTGCTTTGAGATGTCGTCCTAACATAACTCTGAAACGGATTGTAGAGACCCTTTAAATGCTAGCGGATATAAATATCACTCATATAAAATGGGTCCTACTTGGTGACGGGTTGCTTGGGCTATGCACTTTCTGCCTGCAGTGCATCTCACTACTGTTCATAAACAGTGTTGCATTTTTTGTCGAAGCAAAACTGCAACGCTGCTTATGCTTTTCTGCCTAGATCGTTTTAAACTAACAAACACCTATGATAGTAAAGGTATAGTGGTATTCCAAACTATACATGCAAACGCAAGATGTTTATATATATATACATACAGAACAAACAAGTTTTGTTGCTTATTTTCAGAATGGTTCACTGTTTAATCTAGGTGATGATTTTAAGGATTCGTGTGGAACAGATAAGGATACTTGTATGTCACTGTTATCTCTACAACTCCTCGTACTCATGATAGTCAAGCCATTGCCTAAGTTTTTCTACGATATGGTTTGGCCGTAAGTAATACAAGGAAAAGCATAGTCATGATGCCTACGGCAAGAAGTGGATAGATATCGTCGATTACCAGATTTATGCAAAAAGCAAATCAAAGATAAACGAACGGAAAGCACTTTTGTTTTGTCTTAACCTTTGTGGGCGTCTACTAGTTATTAAGCTCCTAACTCATCGTTGTCCTAATTTTTCTTCATAGGTTCCTAAAGCAGATTTTCCGAGAGCACGGGCTTATGAAAAAAGTGACCGACGTAGAGGGGAGTGAAACAGATCAGCATTACCTCGTCAAAGAGCTATATAAGCAGGAGGACGCTGAATTTCGTCGTGATGAATTTGCCGAGAAAATCATACAATACGGTTACCTTGTGGTACGCCAAAACTGTTTCTTTCAAAGTGCAGAGTTAGCACTAAAACACAATAAATATTTTAAGATATCCGCTTTGTACATTGTAAATCGAAATGTTCGATAGATGCAAAATTGCGGCTCTTACTTCACCTTTCCTTCTATTTGAACATTCTTGCTTAGAACCGTTTTGTGGAGGAAGAAGCGGAATTTAAGGTTGTGCACAGGTGATATATTTACAAACAGATAGTTGTTATACAAATAGATATAGTTGATTTCAGCGCGTCTTTTAATTCCTTCTTTCTAGCTATTCGCGTGCTCGTTTCCATTAGCCCCTTTGCTTGCTCTCGGTTACAACATATTCGATTTACGGATTGACTCCAATCGCCTGCTATGGATTAATCGCAGGCCCGTACCATTTCGAGATGACGACATCGGTATGAGAAATTGTTATCTAAACGGAAAATATATAATGTATATATTCAGTTGGCTTGTAATACATTGTTCTGCGCATACACCTAAAACGCATGTCAGTAAAAGTCCATATTATACATATACATTCACGCACTCGGTTTGATACGGTTTTACAGAGCGACACTTACACGTGACACTCAGCTCTCTGAGTGTACACACACGAAAAACATTGTTCGTGTATGCTATGCACTTTTTGCAGTAACTCCTAACTCTGACTCTGGTCTCAATAAGATTAAGCGACTTCTCACTTAGTTCTTTAAACATCGTTTAATCAGTTATCTTAAAAATCTAACTAAGGTATAAGATTTCTACTACATAGGCACTTATAATCCCACTTTTTTCGCAAAAAGCTTTCTATTATCGACTAGGTCTGGATTTCAAAATGGCGCTGCGTAGATCATGATCCCTCGGCATACAAGTTCTATGAACTAGAATCTCTTGTCAAAGAAGATACTTAGACCTTTGATTGCGGTCTGAGACCTAACATTTATGAAATTTCTGTTATATTTTTGTTTGGCATTCGCATGTCCGAAGTGTAAAACGGGATCATTTTCTATAGATAAATGCCATTATTACTTAGTCAAGGCTTTCGTTCCATTGATAAAAATCTTGCTGCATGAAGAAAGACCTATTTACAGGTCCGTACATTTTACATCAGTAGTGGCGGCGCCCGTATGTATGCTGGAAAGTTTATATACGAAATACACATTAAAGGGCTTAGTGTATTTGCCCTAAAAATATGCCACTAGCACTATGGTAATATTGATTATTTACAGGCCCTTCAAGGGCTCTAATGCTGAGTTACGCGGTTACTTCGAAGTTAACAGCTCGAGTCATACGACGCGTTTGAAAGCAGAAGCTTTAAGGTTGAAATATATATCCTTGAAACAGTGGCACTTGTAGCTCTTAGATGCCCGACTGAATTGAGTATCCAATAACTGAAATGCTGCAGCGTATTCTCGTTTATAGATGAATTGTGCGTTTGATATCAGACCCTGTGGATGTTGCCGAAGGTATGATACTTTCCAGGACTTCGCACCTTATAAAGGTTAACGATAGCAGCTGCTTATTAAAAGAATGTGGCCGTCAAAGTTATTTGTATGGATAGGCCATACGGTAGCTGTCCTAAATACTTGTTGTACAGATCCATCATCAAACATTTTTCGAATAACTTATCAAAGCGAGGTATAACGAGGACAGTCTAAGCTTCCTCATCACAACAGATGGAGGTCCATCTAGCGTTTCGCTCATTTTCGTCTGTAGCTTCTTCAGGCATTGCCAGATGCTTAGTCGACAGGTATCGGCATCATGTACAGCATTCTGAAAACGTCTTTTTGAGGTGGCAGGTGAACTACTCCTTGTATTGTGCGATAGTTTTTTCTTCAGAATTCGTAGAAATTCATAGAAAATTCTTCAGAATTCGTAGAAATTCATAGAAAATTCTTCAGAATTTCGATTTTTTCTTTATCATCCGTGACGAATGCTCGGTCGGCTAGGCTTATTATGCTCAGCAAATCTCCTACTACAGTTCTCTTATAGACAAAATTGTGAGCTTTGGGCTTCATAGTAGAGCGTATAACGTAAGGCCTTTTCGTTTCCTTACCGATTTCATCTCAAAGGAGAGGATTGTTTTGATATGGTCAGGTGTAGAAAGCATGTAAATCCCTTTCACCGATATGAATATCTTCCTTAAGTCCTGTGTGCATTCTTCTCGATATTTCTCGACCCCCTCTAGACGAATAAGAGCCAGTCTTTGGGTCTAACGTTAATTTCAGTGTGATAAAAATCTCGTTTTTCTTACTTTAAAGCCTGGATTTCTATCGGCGCGAATTGCAGTGCCGAAAAGTGTTGCTGTCCAATTTTCGTAACCATTTTTAGCAGCGGAGATATTACATGCACAGAGGTAGAAGTTGAGTAAATAAATCGTCCAAGGAGGTAAGTGGCCTAAACAAATAATTCGCCAATTTCTAAAAATACGTTTGGTACACTTTCAGGAATCTGGCTGCATTTGTTCAATTTTATCAACTATTTTGGAGTTGTCACCAACGCGTTCTTGATTGCCTTCACGTCACAATTTGGATCGGAATACCTTAGATCAAAGTTAACGAAATTTATGTTTATCGTCGGCTTTGAGGTCGGTATTGTTTGCGTCAAGGGACCTTTTTTTAAGAATATTATCGTTAATATTAAGTTTTTATCGTTTTGCTACACCGTTAATATATAACAACAGTTCTTTCAGCCTGAACTGAGGCAGCTTTATCTAGCATACACATAATCGTATTAGTTGACCGAATCTCATGGCTTCATAAGTGTTTAGAGAAATAAACTATCACAGCTGTTACAACGCACTAGAGTGGTCAATTACGGTAACTCGAAGTCCCCCGGGAATACAAACCCTTTACAAATAGTTCTTCTGATTTTTTTGAAACGCGTGGACTCGAATCGTACTGCGCTAATTGTTTTTGTTGTTTCAGCACTTAGTGTTTGTTGTCAAGTATTTATTGACGCTGCTCATACCTGATATACCGGAGGCAGTGAGGAACGCAAAAACTCGGGTTAGTAAATTTACAATGCTACAGAGAAGTCGGAAGACGGTTTTATTCATCATTTTTGTACGTGATTGAAAAATGTCTAAAATACGTGTTGTCATTCTACTGTATATGTATGTGTGTGTGTGTGTATATAGCGTTGAGACTGTGCTTGCGTGTTTATGTTTAATTCGCCCATCCGGCGCAAATCAACCTCTTTGGCATTGTTGGCGCAACAATGCCAAGAGTCCTAGGCGGGACAGAACTGCGTACGATGGAGCCGGTTAGGTGAATGCTTTTTCCGAGGGCAGTTTGTTTCAATGGATTAACCTTTTTTTTTGCAAGTTGTGCCCTTTTTGTAGAAGTTGCTTTTATGTTTAATCTTTTTGATGGAATTTTCTTCTGGCAGCCAAATATCTATGTGAAGGTTTATGTAGGGGGTAGTTCGTTTGCTAATCTTAGGGACCCAGCCCTCTGATGGAACGCTTAATAGCGATACACAAAGGATGAAAGCTTAATCTGCCATACTATGCAAAGGTTTTTTTTTTGATGCTTTCGACGAACTAGGAAACAATTCATTTTACGTACTTAAAACGGCTGTTTGATTGATTGATTGATTGATTGATTGATACAATGATCAATTGCCGACGAAGATGTTCGCTTCGCTTTCTTGACGGTAAGATGAGAGTGAGATGTGCTTTGGGACCTTTTCACAGCGATAAATATCAACTAGAAAACTGTAGTGGTTGATATCACGAGTAGCTGGAAATGTCTGAGCGAAACACCGATGTTCGGAAACCACTTTCTGTGCAACGTAATACTATCCTGACGCCGATTCTTGATACCAATCGACAACCAGAGTAAAAATGCAATACATCTTCCAACAGCTAAAGTTAATATTCTGTCATAAAAAAGGCCAAAAACGAGGTAGTAGCTTTTTCGTTTAGCTAACGCTGAAATGAAAACCTTTTTTACGTGCAAGTCTATGTAGGGAGACATTTTTTGCCATCAATAACAAAGTCTCAGTGAGTTGAATTCAGATATAATACACGCTCATATAGCTAATTTTTAGTTTTTGGCTCAGAAATGGTGGAAATTTAACATGGTATGCGTTCCTAGAACGGCGAGTGTTCTTGATGCCAGTCGATGGATATCGACCAGCAGAATAAGAATGAAATTGATATTTTTTGAGTGATATTTGCGAAAATCCCATTGCTCGTATTGGTTTGCGTCTGTAACAATGGGGACAAAATGCGTTTCGAGTAAATTTTTCATCATTAATTTTTAGAGAAAACTGCCAGAACGTCAAAAAAGACATCCAAATATATATAGTCAAAGAAGAATAGAATCAATGAAATTTTGCAATTTGGAACAATCAATGAAAAACAGAATCAATATGCCGATTCAGACGTGTCTAATATCTATGTCTTCATCAATATACGTAACGGCCGAAGATTCAAAATCATCAATTATTAAAATCATCGTGAACTATTTATTATCTTTTCATTCAATAGGATAGGATAGGGTAAGATAGCAAAATCCTATACTTACAAGGTTCCAGGAACAGCGTCAATTTTAAGTTCATAATTTAATAATAATAATGTTTCTTATAAAAATAATTTTTTTCGCATCAATATGCCTCAAGGACAGAATCAATAAATTAATTGACAATAGTTGGAACGGCAACGTCTGTTGCGTTTTGGAAACAAAGTTAATTAGGCAACATCAAAAAGCTTGTACCTAAAGTCAACACAATGTAGTCCAGACAAATCTAGCGCTAGATTAAACTTGTGGCGTACATTTTAGAACAGGCTAATGAAATAATTATAGGCGGATAATATTATAGTGTCCGTGGCCAGTGAATATTTATTATAGTACATGTAAGGTTACATGTAAAATCAAAAGTTTGTTTAGTGTAGGTATATACATACATGCATATATATATATATATATATATATATATATATATATATATATATAGTTGCGCAGTCGAGAAGTTAACTGTGGTAAAACTTCATAAGCGTAATAATATCCCAGACTAATCATATATCTTGAACGTTTTTGTACAGGAGCGACAGTTACTTACCTACATGATGAGTCGAGTAGCTACCCTGACCGCAGACCGTCGACCCCCAACAAATGCCTCAGAAAACTACCGTGATCGAATTCTCTCCCGAGCATCGAGACATTCTGTTACACCTATGGATATTCAGGCGGTACAGTTAGCAGCTAACAAGAAGCCTCTGAACATAGGCGGCCTAGCGAGTGTCGCTCAGCAGCAGCAACTAACCCAAGGAAATGGCACCAATCCCAACCCAAATAACAACAATAATAGTAACACAACGAATAATAAGAATACCAATAGCACCCTTCGATCGAACAGTGCCAGTGTCAATAGCAACATTAATGGAACTAGTGGAATGGATAAAAAAGACTGTAGGTTGATGCCTATACCGGACGACTGACGGTCAGGTGCATCAAGCAAGATCACTCGAACAACAACTGAAACAACACCGCCTTTGACGGCTGATATCGCGAATGCAGCGAAAATGACGTCAAACGAAGTAAAGGAAGCCGACGGTACCAAAGTTCTGTCTGCAACAATACCAGCAACACTTGATGCAGAAAATCTGTCAAAGTCGGCTACCGCCTCACATCTGTCGCCGCTTGCAAGTCGTGGTACGTACACAATTGTACCATTTAATATGTACTTAACAAATATGTGCGCGATCATTTATTTCGTTTAAAAAGGATATGGACGACTTGTTTTTAGAGGAAAGCCAACATATCTACAACGGCTCACGCTACCACCAATATCAAATAGGAATGAGGGTTGCTTTTTACTACGTCCACATCTATTTCGGGCTTCCTTCTATAATCAGGTGTTGCCTATCGTGTCTTTCTCCATCTCGCCTGGATACCAGAAGTGTCGGTCGTCTTCATGAAATCCACTCGAGCTCATTCTCACCTCGAATCGAGAGCCGCGGTCATACCGCGGCAGCGTAGGCCTCGGCCTATCGCAGCTTCACATGCGAGTACATCCCGGCACGACGACAAGTCCTCGTTGTCCAGCGATAGACTTATCAGTGGAACTGTCCTGCTGATAAACCCTAGAAGGGACGCGATGGGTTCTAATCAGCCATCGACATCGACAAGTTCATTAGTTTCCATCATCAGTTTCATACGATCCATAATCAAGATCACACCCATTGATCTTGATGTCCTTCAATAATCACTGAGGTGAAAATTTCCGATTATACTCAATATTAAAGTTTGTTGTTGTTAGGATGTTTTGAGCTGTAGGCATGAGTAAAACTATTCAGAGAAGCTCGCTGACAAGCAAAAATATAGTTGCTTGTCATTCTGTGTGTCAAGCTTGCAAATCAATTTGAACTAGTATACATATGTACCTGAGTTTATGTCAGACTGCCTAGATTTCCAGAAAAATTCAGAACCACTTTTATATAATTATTTGTCTCAACGCCTTAATGACACGTCTAGTTTCAAACACGGATTACGGACAAACGTAAGATTACTTGCCGGATTTCTAAAGGTCTATCAAGAAGCTGATTTTGTTCCATTCTGTCTGACGGTATGTTGCGCGAATCCAGCGCCACCGTTATCAGGCATTACGTGACATTTTGCTGCATTTATCATTTGTGCTAATACGCATTTCAGATATTTGCTAAATAGGTGGCGACCTTCATGTGTCAGACGCTTATTCACAAACACGTATAGACAAAAAACGACAAACGCATATACAGATAGATAATCGGATTTATGTTTTTGCGCCATGAACTACTTCTATTGTGTTTCTGATTCGCTCTAACTACGCACACGACGTCTACTGTTAGTGTTATCTCCTAATGTAAAAGATGATGAGTTATGGAAGTCCAGCTGAAAATTCCGTATTTAGCGATAATGCGAAGATTTCCGATTCTAGAAAGCCTGCAGCAGCTACAAATCCCGGATACGGTGGTGACCCTAGTTGCTGCCTGCTACGACCGACGTACTTACTACGCATGGTTGATCGCCACAGAACGAAGAAGCGCTAGGCTATACAAAGAATTTTTCATATTAACAAAATAGTACGATCATGAGATATCATAGCATTAACGAACGCATCGTCATACATTGCAAACGGTTAGTCCGACTACAGACAGAAATCACGACGGTTACTTCGAGCATTTCGTCTATGTGATATAGTTGTGAATTCATGATCGTTGCTATGGTGTGATAGTATCACGACAAGAATAAATGGACTTATAATTCCATTATATATATATATATATGTTCTGTCGAAGTTGTTCAGAGGTATTCTTCTGAGTACTGGGATTATATAGATGTATTATGATTGCAAGGTACTCTATGGGGTGTCCTTTTCAGATCATCAACGAACAGTACTCCTTATTATAATGAAAAATATGTATATATATACGGCAAACAAATACTCGCACAACATTATGCAACAATTTACTGATTTGGTAAGCAAACTAAGCGTTCAGTTGGCCTTCTCTTGTATCACAAGAAATTAAACAAGTGGTGTCAAGGGACAGCCAATTAAATACTTACGTTTGCGATCGCCAAAGATAAGAGAATTAATAAGACTCTCTTACCCTTAGCGAGGTAAGGACAGATCGTTTTTAATCTGAAACTTTTGAATTGATCTCACTTTTGTTTGAAGCTTTGTTCAGACCGATCAGAGTAGAGATGTATGTACGCACTTACGTTTATCTTTCAGATGTAAAGACATAAGTCTTATTTTTTCATCTTACCGATACAAAATTTACCAATATGATTTTCAAGTTGGTAAAGTACAAAGAAAAGACGCCTATTTGGTTAAGGAGACGTCGATAGCGCGAAAATATGAATTTAAAAAAATGCGCGTTACAAAACAAATATTCCGTCCAATAATTTTTGTTTGACCCTCATCCACTGTCTGCACAACATACGTTTCTAACCGATGACATATTAATAATATAATAACTGGCTCAAGTTCAAAAGTGAGAAGTCCTACGCCGAAAGAAACTTTCCTTTAGGGGTCAAGAAAAGCGAACTTTCCGAGGCCTTAGCCACCTCTTCAATATGAATAAACGAATGTTAGAGTTCATATGAAACGGAACCTTGTTGATATTATTATTGTAACCCCAACGCTAACGTTTGATACAAATTTGTTTCTAGAGCGAAACACTAAATATTTATAGGTAAATGTGATCTGTCGCGTTGCTGTTAATGACATGGATCGGTTTTTATTGCTAAAATCACTGTTAATTTCGTGTTCGATTGAAACGATATCATAGCGGTGTGATAATCAGTATATAATACGAATAATCGCTATCCTCAAAATAATGTTTTTTTTTTTATTATTGTACTTGGAGAATAGTACTCTTTCCGGTTATTTGGTATTTTCCGATCTATAATTATTAGCCATTTTCATTTTTCGATGAGAGTCTTCAGCGACAGAGAGGTGTGCATACAGGATATTTTAAAACTCGGAGTTGACCGTTAACGAAACAATAGAGTTTTTTTTAATGGGACCATGTAGCGCCGATACTTATCTTGCAGCCAAAATCGAATTTTGTATAAAAACGACGTCTTCTCAATTCTGGCAAACATTACATAATAGTAGATGTGATTGCACGGCAGCCTGATTTCCCTGTGAGTAACCTATATATATATATATATATATATATATATCGTACCGTCGTTTGTCATAGAAGCCTTTAGTAGGTCCCCACTTACTAGAAAATAGTAGATCGAATATAACTTAATGCTATCATAGCAAATAAATAATCCAGTAATTTGTCAAACACTCAGGTCCATTTCCATAAGCGAAGAATATCTTTACAATCCTCAAGATTCTGTTCACTCATTAAAGTAGCGTCCCCAATCTAATATACATATTACGGTTTGTTTTTCAATCATCAAAGCACTTCTTCAATTGAACATCTGCAATTTCGTCTTGTTACTTTAGCAATTTTCTACCCTTGATCTATCATCTAAAAATCAAGATCTGTTTTTTCATTTTGATTACTCGAAGTTGCAGAATGTAAGGTTGGATGGTAAGGAGACTTGAGGCTGAAATGAAGATTAAATGGTTGACATAAAAGGTAAGGTATCGTGCGTTAGCACGCCGACAAACTCACGAATTGTGTCTCCAGCCAGAACTTCCGTGGGAATTATTTCTGTCGTTAGAATATGACGACACGGTCCAGTCACGACACGTGAGCTTTAAGATGTAAACGCTCGTGCACTTTTTTCTGTCAAAGAGGAACCTAACTCAGTAACATTATTTATGTTTTACCTTTATTGTAGTAGTAAGGACCAAAAATTTAAATAGTCCCTGTATGTTATCTTCTTAATAAGCTTATCTCGATTTCAAGAAAGTGCTCGTACATTTTATTAAAGCCTAATTCTATAACGCAGTGAGTCTAAACACTCTTCAGTGCTTCGATACTAGCGCTAGGGGATATTTTATGACCAAGCGATGTGATGTTCCAGAAAAATTGTTTTAAGCCTTTGCCAAAGTACGAAGGGACCATTTAGAGAAATAACAGCCAGAACCGTTCATTACAATGAGTACATTTAAGCTTCTCAAAAGGAATTTTATAAAACGTAGCAAAAACAACTGTGCTAACCGTTCGCATATTTTTAGATTTAATTTTCTATTTATTTTTTTATTTATATATTTAAGTTTAGTAAAAACCGTTTTGGAGGCTTGGACAAATGTATATCAGAGAACTTCCATTCTTCTTTGGCTAACTCATATAATGCAGAATATATCGATCGGACTTACAATAGTGACCTATAGCTCTGACTATATTAACATTGATGAAATGATTCATTTATTGAAAATTAACTAAAACTGGTAACAGTAATAGATTCCATATGAGTTGATCTCCGTGATTAGAAAATCAGGTCCATTTTCGCGCCACTGACTATTAACCGATCTATTATTTACGTACCACAGCTGTTCTAACATTCTTCCTTAAGAATAAAAAAAAGTCACTTGATTAAACAAAGTTTCCTGGCACGATACCCTTGAAACACTCGATTCGCGTTTAACGCCGAGTATAGTAGTCATGGTTGATCTCATAAAATAATTTGAAAACTTCGGTAACAAAAGAAATTGATAGAATTACGGAATGTTTCGTAGTTTTAGGCACAGCCGGGGCTTGAGATATTTCGAACGCTGAGTTTTAGTTAGATTGATAAGGAGAACAGATTATTTGTGGTAAAACGCCATATTATCATTTGTTTATTTTATCGAGCATGATTAGCAATGCTAGACGCAATTTGCTAGCTCAAGCCTAGCACGATCATGGAGTCACATTCTCACGCAAATACCAGTTACTGATTGTTTGTCTACTTATCTGCCTTGCCCTAGACAACGCTCAGCCGTGCTATAATAAAAAGAATGACGCTTTCGTCATGAGAAATTTTTAGCGACGAACGATTTTGCTTAGTACATTGATTACATTGATATTTTTTAAATATTGGCCCCTGCCAATTATAAATTTGCTACTTTTTTTTTTTCTAAGACAGTGAAACTGGACAGTAGTTTTTAAGTTTTCTTTAGGTCATCAGTGAATTCCCACCAGTCTTTCTCTTCGCCTTCCCGTACATGGGCTAGCAGTGCTCGACGTCTCCGTTCACAGTACCTGTGAAAAGTCGTAATATTTTTCAATGAAAACTAGTTAGTATTCGCACTTCAGTAGGCGATTTATATGCTTCATAGTTATACATTAATTACACTGTCACATGCAAATACATCGCACACCTTTTGAACTACCCGCCGCTAGGAGCAGACGAAATCTGGCTAGCGTCAGTCTTCTAGAAACTCAAAAGTCAAACATCGGTCGAGTTTACTCACAGAGAAAATCAATGCTGGGCGATTAAGTTTTTGATCTTTGGAAACACACACACACCGCTGCGGAAACATCGGAGATTGATAAAAACATTAGGCAAGGAGGCCTTAAGCTGAGACAGTACGTGAATATTGAAGACCAACGAGGAGGTGACCAAATGTCGGAACTAGAAGGGCAAAAAAGCATTGCCACAATTGAGGAGGCTTTTCACTAAAGCACAGTTTAGAGTTTAAGGGCGATGTCTGCCAAAATTTATATTTTATAAGCAACGTATTACAGGACTATGACCTAAATACTCAAAATCAAGAAACTGAGGAAAAATGAGTGTCCCGCAAAAAAAACTCCACGCCAATTGGAAAAGCGTGTGATGTATTTCACGCGCAATTTGCAGAGCTTTAATAAACAAAAGAATTACCTGGAGCATGCACACGCCCTAGAGTCAAGCGGCAGTATAGAATAGGCTTAGATGTAACGTGATAATACTTACAATCAACATTAAGGGCATCTGCCACTATGAAATACCCGCCAAAAATAAAACAATGAATGCAGCCAGCTACCTCGAGTTGAGGACCTCGAAAAGAAGTTCATATGCCGTTGGTACAATCATGCATTTGGTTCTGAATCATGCAGTCTGGTTATTTCATGACAACGCCAGATCTCATCGCCGTGCCTTAATTAATTCCTCGATTGAGCAAAAAATTTTTTTTGTTAAGGTGCGTGCGATTACAGGGTTTTGATGCCTCAAAATGGGGCAATTGATAGGCGAGCATGCTCCTTTATCGATTTTCTTCAAGAAGCCATAGACTGACAAATTACATATGGGAACGTGAATGATAGGTATATGGTTGTTCAGAAGCTGGGACAAAAATGTACAAAATAAAGATAGTACATAAAGGTTCTATTTTATACATTTATATTATTCACATATCAAAAAAATCACCACTCTAGCCCAATTACGTTTAAGTTAGTCAATTCCAAAGCTCGCCCGATTTACTTATAACAGCCATATATATATCTGAAAAGAGAGTTCCTAGTCTAACTAATTCTACATTTACGTTTTTTAGTTCTTTTTATATAGTTCTTTTTGATAGAAAAATTCATAACAAAGAAATATATCTGATGACTGTGCCTGTTCTTAGACATTTTTGATGCAGTAGTGCAGTTGGAGTAATCCACCTACTTTTATATTTATTTTGATTTTTTTACTGTAATTTTTCATCACGTGTTTATGTGGCACCTATCATGAATACCACATGAAATCATTCAACGACGAAAACATCAGTGATGACATCCGAAAATTGCGACTTTTGCTTCAGGAATATTGTCTATATTAACCATTGTCTGCCAAAAAACCTTCGATCGCACATTCATCTTAATTGTGGTTCAATTCACAGTATATGGTATAATGTGCTTTGCCATGAGTAGCAAAACAGGCTCTATAGTACCTATGGTCCTTGAAATTTACCACTTAAGGTGCCATTGTAAATGAACGTTCATTTGTGTCATTATAAAGTCAAGTTATATACGAAAGTAAAGACATACATATCTGAAGGCAATGGACTCATGTTTTTACATAATGCTATCGTGTAGTCGTAACTATCTGCGTTCGGGAAAGCTGTAGTCAAACCTAGAAATAATACGATTTTTTTTACTTAGCTATATTAACTCCCAATAGAAAGACACAAGGACGTCATTTTGATATCCAAACCTTGAAAGTAGATGTGTATGCCTTTTTACAAATTGACCCTAACAGAAAGCCTAGAATATGGAAATAGTTTTCATATGCTGTAATACAAAATGTCATGTTTTACTAGCTTAGCGTTTAGCTGGCTTCCAGCATGAAACTATATAAATCTACGCCCGAATTCGATTTCTAACCTCCACGTATTTCTAAGCTTAACAAACAAAGACGTTGCCCGTTGCGTTATTTTTAATGCGTGATTTATTATTTATCAAGTTGAATGAGATTTCGCAGTAATGAAGTTCGGATATTCAAGACTTACACCAAAGAATAATTATGGAAACGCAAAAGAAATTTTTCATTGCTTTATTATTGAGAAAAATCTGAGACCATCCCCAGTGTTGTGTCATGCACCTACAACCTACTACGATAGGGGCCACTACGAAGGCGCTGCCAGTGAGGAGATCTTGATATTAACATACCTGTGCTTGTCAACGACTTTGATCTTGAGTTCCTTAAGGGTATCCTTTTCTTTATCGGCAGATTCAGTCATGTTAATTGCAATATTGTTGGAGCATCTACACAGGTTGTTTATTGAGATGCTGCTGCGACCGATGCTTAATGATGCGTCCCGCTCGAGGTATTCGCTAAGCTGTTCCGTGGCACTCTCCAGATCTCGTTGATTATCCTCGAATATTCGGCTCTGATTATTTGGTCGCAAGTAGAACGCGAACACGTAAGTGTACATCAATGTCTGTCTGCAGCGAAGGAGTGCATTAACAGCTTTTGGCAGGAAATCCAATTCCAACGGCGAGAACGCGCTCCGCGGGCCAAGGCTTGCATCCATGCCCCAACTGCGCACCTTTTCAGGCAACTGCCGACGCAAAACCTCAGATGTTTACTTACAGGTACAAATGATCAAACATTGTTTGATAAATTTTAATAAATTATCAAATGAAGTCATAGTGCATCAAAGCATGTGTGCTACTTGTGCTTGCTCGTAAAATTCTAATCATCTATTTTCATATAAAACTAAATTGGCAAATTGTGTTTTGATTATTTTTAGCTACATATGTGTACATGTGCGCTACAAACATGGATTAAATGTATGTATACTGCCGATATGTGCAAGTACAAATACAATTATGGCTAGTGCGCGGATGAACGAAATTGGAAGCAAAAGATTTGCAAAGGCAGTGCGACCAGAAGACCGGGCACAGGGCTAAAGACGTTCGCGAACTGGGGTTGTTTTTGTCAAGATAGTTTTGTAAGGCACGTACACATGAAGCAGAGAGGACCACTACTTTTAGTGACAGCTTGAATAGGTTGACACAGCTCTGCCACAGAAGGATTAGCCCGGACAACGAACTATTGTAGATCCTTCCCACATGTTGGCAAGGCTTTATCGGGTACCGCCTTACTACGAATCCATGAATTTGCGCAGCAGAACGATTCGCGATCGGCCATAGGGCGATGTTCCCTTTCCAATCGGACACAAGCGAATCGGCGAAACTTCTGATATAAATACTCACTTGACGATTTCCTTTATGCCTCATGATAGTACTCATTAGCCCATTACTCCATTAAGTCATTACCGTTCTCTTATTAGCATAATTATAGCAAGTGAAATAACAGTTACCTTACTCTCGAATTTGAGCGACTGCATGTGGTTGTAGTATCGGTTAAAATAGAATAGATAACGGGAAAGCGTAGCTCTTGACTTCTCCTGTGCGTCTCTTGCTTTCCTGCTTTCCTCCTCGTTGAAGCTGCACAGAGATATGCGCACCAATGATTTTTAGAACACTTCGGGTAACATGAAACAGCTTAATTCGCTACCGTTAATCCCCTCTGCCCCCGTTTCACTTCCCCTTGCGTAATTAAATAATTGTATAGCATTGTCACAAAAATAGTAGCAGCAGGACTTCATAATGAAACACATCAAAACTTAATTACCGATTGCAGTTGTACCACGCTGACCCATGCGGTTCCCACGGGCCAAGACAAACCCAGCAAAAATCCATGCGGCAATTCTGATTTCGACATAACACGTGATTGCATCCACCGTCCTTCTGAATTGGCACAAAACACTTGGGGCATTCTTTTGTGTTAGCTGCCAACCAATTGGATGTCTCCGAATCGTCATTACACTGCGAACGGTAAACGGAAGAGGGCTCTCATCCTAAAAATGATCGTCCTTTAATAGCTTACCATAAGTCTTGACGATGCATGAATACTCATGGTGAATAAAATAGCATAAAAGTGCATTCATTTTGTCATATAGCATACGTCGGTAGCAGGAAAATTAATTATACTGTAATTAATTTTCCAATGATCCAACGCTAAGTTAACCTACTTGGTTCAACTATTTCAGCCGCGCCTTTAGCCAAGTAACGTTAAACATTCAAACTGTACCACCTTCTTATGCCAGCAACGGAGCATGTCACAGTTGACGGGGTCGTGATATTCTTTGCCACAGCCAAAACAAAAAAGGTGCCCGCAATTGCAACGAACCGGTCGGACATCTGAACTATTTACCTGTACACAAATGTACGCAATGTAAAGAACAAACGACTTATCGTTTCCTCAGACACGCACCTATTTAGGGGCTTAAATGTAGTGGGGTTAACTTTGGCTTGGAATAAAGTCATTTAGACCTTTAATCGCTTCTTACTAGGTTTATATTATTATAGATATTTTTAAAAGTTAACGAAAAAACATTCTGGAAATATTTTTCTTATGGTTTGTACGTCACTGTATAACAAATAGATTCATCACTTTTACAATTAGTGGGCATGTAAATATACGAACTTTGACAGCGTTGACGCATCCAGGGCTGGGGCACCATCTCAGCAATCGATTACATTGAACGAAACTTTCCGTTATCTGTTTCTGATAGTGTATTCTCACCTAAAATTATAATGAATACTACTATAGATGACCGATCTAGGTATGATCTACTTAAATCTTCCGATATCCAATATTGATATTAAACATTGCTTCATACGGCTGGCCTCAGCACGAAGCAAAGCGCGTACCCCCCTCCCCCCCCGCCCCCGCCCCGATTTGAAGTTGCATGTTCCTAGTGTAGCCAAACCCGCTACCACTTTGCGACCATGGAAACTTGGTCTAATCTTTTCTTCACAGTCGAGTTCGGCAACTTTCTAATTTTGCAGAGAATCGCCAAAATATAGGCACATTTGGATTCTACTCTTTTAATTCGTAAAAAGTAGATGCTGCTGGTTGCAATGTCTACTTTCAGCCGGCTTATATATGACATCTCTAGTAATCTGAGTAACAATGTAGTACCCACCTTCGGGTCGATGAGAAGTTTTATCACCGTTTGATCGTCCACTAAAACACCGCAGGACACAGCTGGACAAGTGATCATCTGGCAACCTTGATTGCAAAATTCCAGCAAACATTCATAAATTACAGAAATTAAACATACTGCACGCTATCGGTAGAGAATATTTTTTTGCCAAGACACAAAGTCATCATCCTTAAGCTTTCAAATTTTACTTACCTTCATCCATTACCTTCGTACTCAAATACATATTCCAACAGCTGGCGCAAAACTTATGGCCGCATTCGAGGCCAGCCATAGACTCCGCTGGCGCTTCACACATACAAATTTGACATTCATAATGTGGTGCACCACCCGTCAACACTGGGGCGACGGTAACAGTATTGCCACTGACGTTTGCCTGAGGAATTTCGACTTCTAAAAACAGTTTTTTGAGGTCGCCGTCCGCATCAAAAAACTTTTCAAATAGCGTGACCTTTTCCCAGTGGAAATGGTTTAGGAGGAGTCGAGCAGCCGTCGATCGCAGCTGGAGCACTCCATTCGCTTCGGAAATCGTCTCACCCATCAGTAAAACAATTTGCTCCGGAGAGAGCGTAGCATAATCTCTTATGCCATCGTCTTCGCTATGCATCGAACCGGCACCATCCGTACCACCAACGCCCCATCTCATTTCACATCCATCCGATGAAGATCTTCCATCTAGAGATAAACATACGCATGTAGAAAAATTGCGCTTTTATAGAGATCAAGTTACCAAGTAACACTAATCCTAAGTTTGATTTTCATATTAACATAGCTTTTACTTATATTTACATAGCTTAGTTTGTGCCTCCTAATGTACAGCAAGTTCGCCAAATATGCAACTGCCACGTACAGCTGCTTAGCAGAGGAAATCGTTCGTCTTGTCCACAGTCCTAAAATTTATGAAGAAAGGGGCCTCCTACATGTATTATAATTCCGACATACACTGATACCACTTACCTAGCAAAATCATCTGCAGATTCAGCCATAAAGTAGCTTTGATGGACTTAGCCACAGAAGGGGTTTGTTATACTTAAAGTGTTATTTACTTGTTAAATATACTCTGTCAAATCCACCAAAGTCATAGAGAGCCTTGTAGGAAATTTCTTCTGACTTAAATGATCAATTCATCGTAGCAAAATTATCACATAACACGAAAGCACCTCAGCCCAAAGAAGGCTTAATCCAAGATCCAACGATCGAGAGCCGAATTTGTCATTAGCTACTGCGGACTTAGACAGATGACGCAGATATAATCCTCATATCAATAAAAGCATGTTTTACTGAAGTATCAGTTATGTCAATTATCAATACTATGCTACCCAACACACTGATTATATCGCTAACAGAACGCGCGAATTCAGGCTATAAAGCAACTCACTAGGTATAATGGAAATGCTCATTATGACTCAATGAAATTTATCCTTAAGTAAAAAATTTACCTTTAAGTAGATATAAAAGTATTGATATAAAGGTATAATCGAGATTATTTGTGAAGATAATGGTTCAGCTACCACTTTATCCTATCTTAGAACGTTCAGTATGATATATGCCAAACATTAATCTCGTATTTCATAGCGGTGCGACACTTTGTAACACTTTTTTATATTCGGGATGCACTTAAATTTAAGGCCGTAAATTCGCACATGATTATGAGGTTTTAGCAGGTTAGCTGTAGTGAGATACGGAAAATCAGGAAATTCGAATGGTTTGCGGATACCCAGTTTCGCCCTTGAACTATAGCGGTGGAGATAGCCTGCCATATAAATCCTCTATTTGGTAAAGGCTTCTACTACTAGAAGTACCGTAAAACGTTCATTGGAAACGTTTTGAGTAAGAAATGCTGGATTTAAAAACCCTTCTACCGCGAAGTCAAATGACGAAGAGCTGGGAGCTGTGGCAAAAACCGATCCATCTCAAAATGTTTGACGTATATAAAAAAAATTATGTTATTTGCCTCAGTCAAATCAGTAAGGTAAAAAAAAACTTTACAAATGGGTGCCGCATAACTTGAGTGAAGATAAAATAATAAAACAGACTTCTTTTAGTTTACCCTTACGTAACAACTACATTTTTGCACCGAATATGACATGTCACGGAAATGTGATCCTTCAGGATAATCGCAGGCTGTACCATCAGTGGGTAGATACAATTGAGCTGGCGGGACATCACCCCGAAGCAAATTGACTGTTGTATTTTGTGTAATATGACTGAGTAATACTTAATAAGGCGGGTGTCATTCACTTTACGAGAAGTGATCTGTACTGTTAACAATTAGAAACGATAACAAAACCTCCGCATTATAGGTAGCCAGAGCTAAAGCGTTCTGAGTGCTTGAGCCCACAACGCGATGGTTGCGGTGACGCAGGTGTAACTTACAGTGGATACTCTGTCATCTATCACTTCCATCAGAGCTGGATCTCATCGGTTACCAATTTTTAAATTCTCAACAACATTGGAAAATTATTCAAATCTCAACAAGATGTCGAAATTGCTTTTCAGGACGTTACTATCCAAGTAGCAAAAGGTTATAAATGATAGTGGTAAGTTAATTGGAAGTAAAAGAACTAAGCGTGTCCAAAAAGGAAGACGGTTCACTATGTCCACTGTACTTCGGACCCGATTTTCCAAGTTAAAGTAAGGTTTTATTAATAAATTCAACTAGAAAGGGGTAACTCGATACGCACAAACATTTTATGCCTATCATAAATTAGTTACTGTCCTGTATTAGACCAAATGTTTTCTATAAACATTTGGTAAATAAAGTATCGTTTCTATATAAAAAAGAATGCCAAAGTTTCAGAATATCGGCAGGTGAAGGTGGGCTAACATTATAGTGAAGGTGTTGTGTTGTTTCTAAGCACTCTGTCCTGAAATTCGAAATCTACACCCTCGGTCCTTGGTTTATTAACATAATTGCGAAAATTTGCATTGGCGGACTCGAATTGACTACGTCAATGCATTTATACTAGGAATTATAAAAAAGAACCGCAATACAAACTAGTTCTTAGAACATCGCTAACAAACTCACTAATTGAGGCTCACATGTATGGCAAAATTCCTGGTGCTTTTAACACAAGATTTTTTAAAGATAGTTCAAACATTTTTTATCTTTAAGTTATTATACTCATAACATTGATTAAAATCTAATAAATATTATGGTTGTTCATACAACAAAAGTTAGATCCTTGATGGTTCTTCCTTCATACACCAAACATTTTTCTGTACACCCAAATAAGAATCCTAACCATTAACAAGAACAATCTTCTTCTTGTTGATTTTTCTTAGAACATACATAACATACTAAAAGCATAATGATAGTTACCCTTTGAATTATAACCCCGTGGTGATAGCTATAGATTCAGTACTTGGACTTTGTCCTAGGTTACATTGGAAATGTAAAAAAACTCCTGAGGTACGCCGCTCGATCTGTGGCGAAACGCTGTTGCAAAGAAAAGGAGCGATTAATGTGAAACTTAAAGAAAAAAGGCCATCAAAGTCGATTTCCCAATAAGTTATATGGGAAAAAGTTGTGTAGTTTTTAGATATAAAATTACTATATCATTTAAATTTGACAGTGATTTCTGTAAATGAGCCTATATCCAGTTTTCTGATGTCTTGTGGGTACGAGTTAAGTCAGTGATTTGACGTTAGACGAGCTTATTCTAAAGAACTTACATTATTCGACCCGCACTTTAAAGTTTTCTATTTTTGTCAATAGACTGTTTCCAGCACACCAGTACGTTACCGTTAAACTACATTCTAATTACGCATTATTTTGCGAGTATCTTTAACCTAAACAAGTCTATCGTCACTATAGATTGAACTTCGAAAGTGAGGCTTTCTCAGGTCTGCCGGAAACAAAGGCGCAGGCTCTTCTTTTTAATTGTTCAAGTATTATATGTGGAAATAAGACTGTATTATCTGGTAGCGCACTGGTGTACATATTACATGTTTAGCATCCGTTTTATACGTTCGGCATTGTGCGACCAAGCCAGTATAGGTCAGAGTACAGACGGACTGATATGACTAATATGATTTTTTCGATTATAAATCAAATCTGAGCTCTTGTTACTACAGGACGCATTCCGACCGGTTCCTCATAGATTTCGGGATGCGTTTTCAATATGAAGTAAGTGATTCGAGGGAAACACTTTTGGTGGCTGATATTGTCAATAATGTGAAAAGGTAATCGTCTTTTTAGTTGAAGAAATGGGGCCAGAGCGCGTAAGCTAATTGTTACACTACATGCTATTTTATTAATATTCAAATAATTTGTGTTGTTTATAAACGTGATCATTTACATGATCAAGTCCTTGATGACTATTTGATAGTGGTGAATAAATATTTGAGGAGCTTTTTTGGGAATAACCGCTCCTATAAATTTTGCTTATTTATTAATGGCGGTGACGTGGAAGTACACAAGCCGGGTTGAGTCTACGCACGCAACCGCTAAGAAAACGGCTACACAGCACTTTTTTTAAATCGGTGTTCTTATACCTTATCATATGTTTGTTCACAGGATTCGTGTGAGGGTTTATTGGGAAAACCAGCAAACTGGGAGCGCTGCTATTCTGTTAAGCGCTCGCGTTCCTGCCGTGGACGACGCTAATCATGTTCACACAGAGGCTTTATATCTCTAAAACTATTCGACGACGTTGGATGGAAACCTATAACGAATCTGATATTAAACACAAATAGCAAAATCCTTCAAATGTCGAACGACAGTTATAAAATTATTCCCGCGTTGAACACAGAACAAGGGTTCGGTGTGCTGTAAAAACGTCGATGTTCATGCTTTCTCAACCGAAAAATATTGGACAACGGCAGAAAACAACGACTCCAATCGATGACTCTTCAATTGAAGTATAGCCTACACTAGAGTCTCGCTTAGAAAATCTGCACATCGCCGAAAACGTACCCTGAAGACTTTGAGATCGGCTGACCGTTGACGTCCCTGAAGAAGATGCCGGACCTCCCGGTCCCGCCGGTCGCTTGCGCATACTATTGTACTTTGATTACGTTGTTTTTAAACCAACAACACGAAAAATCTGCACCGAAGTATCGCCGTCAATTGTACCTACTAAACAACAAAGTATCTAAATACATCTACGGTTACAATTCAATTGTTGTTATCGGCTCGTAAATTGTCTCATGAAGGAAACGTAGAAATGTAATGTAGTTGAGTAATTCTGTCAGAGCAATGTTTTCATCTATGTGGTTTTTTTCAGGAGTGTTTTGGGCTTCAAAGCAGATGGCGAGCAGTGTTTAAACTAGCCTTACATGCAACTTGTAGCCTCTTTCCGTTCATTAGATTCTAGCAGTCGTCAACAGACTATCACGTTTGTTTGTGTACTATTCTGTCACGAAATCAGTATTGTTTTCATTACGAAGTTTAAACTATTTCACTGTTTAATCCTATTGTTATGGTACGTGGCACATCGTGGACTCATTGGGCATGTGGATTGCTGTGGTGGAATTTTGAGCATGGTTCAGGATGCCGTTGAGCTTAGTAACGTTCAATACGCCGAGGCTGCGAAGCCGGAAGCCGCCCACCTTCCTTCTTCCCCTGGTGGGACATACATCCCGCTTATAGTTAACAGACACAATAGAATAGGTAGCCCAGTTACGAAACGGGCCATCATTTGTGAGTGATGCGTTTTCATTAGAACAATCTTAATTTCGAATATCATCATCGGTCAATGCACGAATAGCTCAACACTCAACGAATCCTTTTGTTAAATACTAGTCGCATGGATCCCTAGCTGTCTGCCGCGAGGAACATGCATGTTGTAGAAGGAACCTGTTTACCCGTTAATAACCAATGGGCAAATATTTAGGGCTTCGTCTTCAGTGTCAAGCTCGTTTCACTAGCTCCGGGTATCCTCTTCGCGCGTTATTAATTTTTAACATCCCTATTGGCTCAAGAAGTAAATTTCTGGAGCAACACTTAAAGAAAAAGGCAAACATCCTCGTATAATATCAGCATGGATGGTTTGTACTCGTTGATGGTAAGTTTACAAAAGAATCAACTATATCTTCTACGTCTTTGTCCTTGTAGTCTTTCAAATGGTTGTCCCGAAACTGCACAAGTTTGATGCTCCATTCTTTCCATACAAGCCTATCTCATCTAATAGTGGTTCATATAGAACCATTTTCGCGTGCTCTACCGCGCTTTGAAAGACCTACATCTTAAATAATCAGTTGAGTTTCTCTACATATATGCTAATCGAGCAGGTCCTATTGCAGTAATAGATTTTGGCATACATGTCTGAGCATTCTTTTTTGACCCGATCTGTGTTGCAAAATTACCAGTAATCTCTAAAGCGCACCGGGGACGTTCTGTCCATTTATTATAGTAATTGTCGACGCAATTTTTAGCTTCTAAAATATATTGTACGTACGTTTACATCATATTAATCTTTAATTCTTAAAAATATTCCTCCCAAGTCTGTTAGTTGTTTTCAACCAGTAAAGTTGCTGTTTGTGCTGCAGTGAAAAGAAATGTCTACTGATTATTAGGTTGCTGAGAGTCTGGTCCATGTGAAAATGTTAAATATATATAAAAAATAAATACAGACAAAAATCTCGAAAAATCTAATCGTGATACGATATTACTACCGAGCCAAGACCGCGATTACAAACAAAGGACTGATCTAAATGTATCTTAGTAACTAAGGGAAAGAATACTTTAAATTGAGATTACTTAAGTAGTGAAGATAAGCAAGATTTTTTCAAAAACATAAGAAAGAAAAAATCAAATAATAACTAATACATCAATTAAATAGATGGATATAGACAAATAAATATAAGAAAATGAGTAATTTTTAGCTTCAAGCACTAAATAATGCAATTCTTATTTTGATTATTAATTTTATATTGATTATCAACTTTTTTGATGATTAGTAGAATCAGCTATTAGTAAATTACGTGTTCACGTGGCAGACACTAATTAATCATGTACGATAGAACTGCTTTTAGACTGAAATATCAGGTCTTCCACTTCTTACATTAGCATTTTTCGGCGACAATATTTAGATTATTCTTGGTGTTCTACTCTATAAAACAAACATTCGAACCTTCACTTTTCGATGATGATAACTATTTAATAATACAAAGTAGTCATCGAGGCTAAGCCTAAATAATGTTCCTGTGACCAATTGCGCTTGCACAAGGTGCGTTTATTTATAACGATTTTTTTAATTGAACAGCCAACATTTTTTTAATTGAAGTTATTAACTACTAAATGATAAATTGTTTTTAGGAAAACTCGAATTCGTATAAAATTTACCCGAGTATCTTAAAGAAGTCTCTCTTCACAACCGAACAACAGTATTTGTTTACAATATATTTAAAACGGTTACACAAACATTAGCCACCGGTTACGTGCGTCTAGGCATACTACTACGTTTAATAATACCTTCTAGACCAGCCATTCCACTTCGTATACCAACGCTATAGATAATATTGGGGGAAATCGTCGGGTTGGGATTGACCAGGGATAAATGCACCTTTAGGTGTTGGATGAGTTTCGCTTTACCTTCGGGCATTGATTCGCGTCCCGTCTCCGAGGCAACGAGGACAACACAGGATCAGAGGACCGCCGGCCTTAACCGATAGCAGAGAGCGAGACAGCCCTGTGGTGAGCAGCAGCACAACCAACTCTGGCCAAGTGGCAGCGGATGGCGACGGGGTGCCGGAGTGGATGGAATGCTGCCAGCTGTACGTCGTTTATTGCCGCCGCCTCCTCAGTTGATTAACGACAATGACCACACTTTATTAACGATTGTTTGGAATTAACGTGTCTAGGACAACCGATGAGCAGCTCATAGGCTACAAAAACAAGAGATCAAAAAGATCGGCCCCGATCTGGAAGGGCCTTCGTACCGTGTGTCTCTTTGGTGAGTACAACGTAGAATGACAGCCGACAACGAGCAACGATAAAAATGAAACGTCATCATTGCGTAGCCCAAAAAGGGATATCCTGTGCTGTTACGCTTCGTACAAAAGGCTATCGATTTATTTTGATTGATCAGCGAAGGCTGACAGACCGTAAAAGGTGGTGATGTCCTCTGGTGAGTAAACGAGGTAAATTAACGTGCCTGATCGTGCGTCTTATCGGCGCGTGATTAAGCTTTTACTGTACTGTACTGAAAAAATTTGGCCTTTGGCCATTGTCAAAGGTGAAAAACAGGGCTTTCTCAAAAAGTGTTGCTGTTTCGACCTACGCTCGGATTCTATATAACGGTCATACTAAGGGTTCTGAGCTTTTGAACGGAAATGACTTGCTACGTGGACCTGTACAAAAACAGTCTGTAGAAGACTGGAATAACAATCCAAAACTGATTCGTCTGATAGCTTCATAGAATCGTTGGCTTAGTGCAACTGTTCCTATAAACGCCACTCATACCTTGTGAAGCACAGTTTAAGCCTTTAACCACGTATGAAATAGTCTAAACATAAAAACAGTCATTACTGCACTGCTGAGTCGAGTGATATCGGAAGTCTAAATAAGCATTTTAACCATTGGATTTGTCTTCAATTTAAAATCCCTTGCAGAAACCTCAAACATATAGATGACTTTTAACTTATTTATCCTAAGATAGGATATATACGTGGGTACGTATGTTCATCGAAATCAGTACATCACGCCACAGAATCAGCAGCCACTTAGCGATTGTCAACACAGCAGAAAGGATATTGCGAAGAGTAGAGGCTAAAGCTGATTTTTAATTACAGATACCAGTAGGTGTGCGCGCATTCGTGTTGACATATTATTCTAATAAAACTAACATCTGTAAATCTGAGCAGGCGGATGCAAAAGCATAGGTGAAACTCGTAAACGTGTTGCTACCCTTTGGTACTAATAACCTCAAAAAGTTTCCTGCTTTTACTTACAGGGTTATGTTGCTACCGACAATGTTCCTACTTTTCGTCCAGGCTTCCTTTATGCTTTTGTGAAAAATTTACCTTTCTTTGCTATTGGTCAGCATGCAATAACCACGACCAATTCTTTGTTCGTCATGGGTCGTAGGTCATCTACCAAGAATGCGTCACGTGATTTATGTCTCAGCAATCTTATATTGGGTGAATCTGGTTTCCACTGCTTCACGAGTATACATTTCACAGCGACACATTGTTTAGTTATTAAATGATCTAAGACATTTTTACCATTTTACGAACTACTAACGCCTAACTCGGAGAGTAAGCTTCGTGTTTGCTTTAAGCTTCGACAAGCTCAAACACCGGTCTACCTGATACGAGCCATTTGCCCCTGCCATATATATCAAGCAGAGTGCGCCCTTTATTTGGAAGATGTTTTGTGCCACGTGCGTTGTTACCCACGTTTGCGCTCATCGATAACAGAATAAAAAACCACCAATGAAGTTTTATTAAAAGTTTGGCAAGAATGTCCCCAGCTGGAAATTGCTTATTACGCCAAAACTTAATGAATAGGTTCAATATGTTAATTGTGGTGATAGACTCATAAATACAAAGCTAGCAGACCCACAGGCCGCAGGCCGTTATCGTTTGAAAGAAATGCGCGAATGTTAATAATAAACACAGACATGTCATTCAGTGTATTCTCGAAGCAACAGCCCGACAGTTGTATGGCCGGATGCATAGGTGTTAAAAGTATTCTCACTGTAGTCTAAATTCTGCCAACAATACCAGTTGAGGTTCAACCACACAACGCTTCTTTCAGCGGTCGCACGAAGGTGCGCTGACCGAGACGACGTTGCGATGGAGAAATATGAAAAGATTTCTAAGATTGGCGAAGGGTCGTATGGGGTCGTTTTTAAATGTCGGAACAGAGACACAGGCCAGACGGTGGCGATAAAGAAGTATGTTGAAACCGAGGATGACATACTTATTAAGAAGATTGCCCTCAGAGAAATTCGCATGCTCAAGGCAAGTAATGTAAGAACAGATGTTCCATAATATAATTTATAACTAATTGAACCTTTTTCACAGGACAAAAAACGTAATTGTAGAACTGAGTACGTTCGATCTTGGGGTACCCTTATAAGCAAGGCACAGTACACGACAGGTGTGGTTCAGTAAAGAAAACATAAACAGTGTTGGTTACTAGCTGTATGAAGGTAACGTAACAAATTGCGCTGTCGAGTATGAAAGGTCCACAAAGTGAAGAAGACACCTACATTTGAATCCGTAATCGAGGTATTGCTTATCCTAAAATACTACCCCCATTATTAAAGTGGCCACTGTCATATTGAGGCCTTCGCTTGATATCGAAGAACTTTTTTATTCACATCTATATTTGGATAAAGCAGCATTTCAAACACTTTCACTAAAATAATTTAAAAAAAGAAAACGTATACTATATTGGTTTGACTATTTAAAAAACCCATGTGGAGTGCTTGCTGTAATTTTTTTGTGAACTGACAGTGTTTCATTCTGGAGTAATTTACAAGCTGAACTGTTGGCTATCGGTTGAGTATTTTTTGCCTACTTCTTTGCCACTTTTTGATAATTTAAACTTTTTCGGGCGGCTTGTTCCGGTGCCTTTGAACATTTTTTTCAAAGATTTACATAAACATTTGTTTTCTTTTCCAAAATAAACACATAATTGAATTTTCAAAAAAAAATAATAGACTGTTATGTCTTTATGATGAAAACCCTAAAAATGTTCTTCGAAGGAGGTTTGGTACTTATAAATGCCTTGGGCATTTATAAGTACCAACCTCCTTCGATGATATGCATGTTGAGAAACGGCTTAATTGCAAAGTTAACAACGAGACAAGTGGCACAGGATACTATAGGGACATCAGGACATTTCGAGGAGAGCATGATATTATCCACTGCAACTCAATGGAGTCATAGCAGTTTAATAGGTTCGGACTAGAGAAATTCGCAGGGGTAGATCAGCACCGCTTGCACGACTGCAAGCACGCATACAAAATACCAATGCTTACTTGAGTTCATATTGGCAATTTCGAAGTAACAGTCAGTTATGTCTATACGTTGCATGATACATGCAAGATGCTAACTTAGCAATTGCAATGGAAGATCGAAAGGCAAGAGCAAAGTAACTAGACGAGGTAACCGCATACGCGATGGGGACCACTGAGGCGAAGTAATAGATCGACTCAATCCAGATGACAGAACTGCGCAGGAATGTTAGATTGAATGTGACACCAATCGAGAAACGGACGAAATAATTACATAGCAGCAACATTGTTGTTTGTTTAATCTAAACTAACTGCAAATCCATAACGGATAAGGTTAGATAAGGCAAGTACGCGCGACAAGGGATAATCAGCTACAGTGGCATGAAGTCCACTGACCTGTCTAGGATTTATATATTACATAGATGCAGAAAAAAGACCGGCTGCTTGATCATGGATTATCATTGTTTGCATCGGTTTATAGGTACGTTTTACAAGAGAAACAATTATTATACTACAGTATAAGCAATTTGAGGATATAGGCAGTAATCACTTTACTAGACGCATAATCATTAAGAATCGTGTCAGTACTTTACATAATTACGAAATAAGGAATGAATGGCAACAGTAACACTTTGTGCATTTTCGAAATTCGGCGTAATGTGACAAACACGCACCCGCACACGATGTAGAACATAATACGAGACGGTATACTTGTTTTCTAGGAAGTAACTACATTAATTATAACAACTCTGTTAATTGATTTGGATTAGCTTCGCATGTATTTGCTTGTCATTTTTCAGTAAACCACAATACTATCGCTGCTGGGGATTTCGAGTTGGCTTTTATTTGAGTTTTAATAGATATCGCTAATATTTTTATAGAAAGGATAGGTCTTTTTGTTTTTTACATCTTGAATATACCACTGTGCCTTGTATGTGTGTACGAGGCGACTCTGTTACATCAGCTAGAAATGGTAATGTTTTCGTATTTGTTGGAGGTAATCTTTTTTGTTCTTTACAGATGTGTCCCAGGGCTCTACTAACTTCTAAACAGTCACACACCATCATTCGCATTCTCATGTATAATTTCCCTAAAAATGGTCTCTCGAAGTAAATTGAGAATGGAAAATGCTTGCCCCACAGCTGTTCTTTTTGAAGTATATAGAAAGCCCCGTGATAACACGGACTTAGATCGGGAGAACAAACGAGATGAGGCTCACGTTGGATATTCTTTTGTTTAACCCAGGAAACAGTTAAGGCATAACGATAAAGTTTACCATTGTCATAAAGTGACTAGATTGCGTGCTTTTGATTGCTGTGCCAACGGCCTATGAAATTTTTGAGTAACTCGGGATAGCGGACTGCATTTATTGCTTCATCTGCGGCGGGCAGCTTGTAGCAGCAGATGTCCGTGATGTCCATTATAGGTGCCACTGCCACCTCTTGTTCGAACCTACTCAACACTACCATCGAATTCAATCGGCGCCATTCTTTAGCTTGGCCCTCCTCTGGCGAAATTGCTTCATGCAACATACATATGCTTCAGGCTGATTTTTTGTGTGATCAGGTTCCGCAGGTTGCTCGTGGGATACACCACACCCATTGTCGATTGGCCTGAGTCAATTCGCGAACGACCCATTTTGCTCAGGTCCTGCCTTTTCAGTATCTGTATTATAATGCTGTAACACGTTACGTGCAAGATGCCGGTTTTGGCCAACCGAGCTTTCAAAGCCTAATATTTGCTCTCGTGGAAAGCCTCCTCGATTGTAACGGTGCGTTTCTGAGCTTCGGTTCTCGATATTTGGACATTTTGGTCTCAATTCCTGAAACGTTTTACTGTTCACGAATTGTTTACTTAAGGTCTATAGGCTTAAAGCCTTCTCACCCTGTTTTATTCAATCTCTAGTTAATTTTGGCAGGGCTGTGGCTTTTGAAAAACGAAAACTCTGTTAAAGAAAAAAAGAAAAGACTGTTAAACTGAAAGACTAAAAGATGTTCTTCCTTCTGAATGAATTTTTTCTGGAATAAACGCAAGCGGCCTTAACATACAAATTTCTAGAGAATTTAGGCTAGCGGCTCGTTATTCAAGAGTTCTTTTATTTTAAACCTCACCAAATTCGCTTGTAACAGCTTAATATTAGCCGACCCTATGCTCAAGTCAGTTCTTTTCATCCATTATTATTATTATTGTTTAAGTGTGACATTTTATTTATATTTCTCTGTAAAGAAACCCTTGAAAGCACCTCTGTTGAGATATAGCACCAAAAACTTGTCCCGTTAAGGGTCTAACCAGGGTGTTTCTTGCTAAACTTATTTAGGCTTTTTTCAACATCCTTATGAAATGGCGTGCAGACCACATAAGCCGCTATGCATTTTAATAATATTTTTTTTATTTCTCCTTAATTCCTTATTTTCAGATTACTAGTTTCTGGTACTAATTCTTGCCAACGCTGAGGTTTAGGACCGGCAAGGCTGCATGCTTGTTAGTATACGGCAACGTATATATACATAATATAGTAAAATGGACACGTGCTAGAGCAGATACACTAGCCATCCGACCGTACCACCAATTTTGTATATCCGTGCGTCCAAATCTAATTGTCAAACAGATAAAAATTAATATTATATTTGAACATGTTAAAAATGTTGGTCCAACATGATTCAATGGCAGCAACGATAGACGATCGGCACATAGATTTATACTCTTTACATAAAGGAAATCCCATTTCAACTGCTGCTCCAACGTGTGTATACTTATATCGAACTTCCCTTTCTTATATTGATTACTGTTAACCATCGATAAGAGCCCTTTTACGATATATCAGGTCTCACCGCGATTAACCAGCAATTTATCCTTCGTAAGCTGGGGATTGTGTAACTACTACCATTTTGGAGATCATTTAAAACGGTTCAAAATCAGCTCGAAGTTCGAAAGAACACATTCAGCACCGCTACGTATTAGAAAGAGCTTTGCCGAGGTTAGGACTCGCGAGAAATATAACGTTCTTGCAATTATACCCACGTTGAACGTCCGATCAGAGGTCAAACTTGGAACAGCCAATATACCAGTTATGTGGCTTCGATGCCCATAGACGTTGAAAGGCGAACAGCAAACAAGGTGGAGGGGTTCATCGGCACACCGATTCGGTAACCGTCCTTTCTCTATCCAGTGTTCGGAGATGTACGGAGAGCGGACCTGATCATGGCATAAACCTATCAGAATTCATTTACCGGAACGTCACGTTGAAATCCACTAACGCAATGGTAGTACCGTTTACGCTGACGCGAATTCATGACTTATTCGTTGCTGTTTTTAAGTTATATATACCTGCTATAGATAGAAAGGGTGCTTTCTCTGAGTAATATGATTGAGCTAAATTGTCAGTATTCAACTAGGATGCATAGCTTCGCCGAACCGAGGGCGGAAATAGCCAGCCTCAGCAATCACATATGCAAATACAGTTTTATTATTAGCAAGTAGCACTTACCTGTTAATAAAACAACAGTTTCCTATTTAAGGTTCACTTTAAGCTACTAATTTGTCTATGTTTAAGAAAGAAATAGTAGGTATTCTAAAGATTAAAATTCACAGAAATTGAGACAGACAAAGTTGAACAACTCAAAGACGGGGAGATGAAGCTGTTATGAGAAAAGACAGCATCTGCATGTGCGTGTCTATAAACTTGGCACTAATAAGAATAATGTGTTGCAGTTTATGGGTATTTATGAGAAATGTGTAGCCTGTCTAGCTTAGATTAGAATGAGAGATGAGGAACTAATTGCGGGTTTGCACAGGGTAGGTTCTGGTAAACGTTGAGTTATCGATACACTGTGGAAAATTATCTTATTTCTCTATTGCAAAAACCTTATAGGGGATATTTCGTCATTATAAGACCAAAGAACTTCCAGTGAGCAACGCAAAATTAGAATTCATAGTAAGAACTCGGAATACACAGAGAACACGTCAGCGCGACTTTGAAGGCGAAACCCCTGGGCCGAAACCTCCTAGACTGCGTTTGTAATCCTGACAGCGCCTAACGAGCATAGCCAAACGGTCTCCATTTATGGACTTGCCCTTCAACCTCTACATTGACGGCCTAAAACTTAGTCAAGGCCGATAGAATTGTCATAGTCATTGCACTTGTGCAGATACGGTTAGACGTTATCTTAATACTAATAAACCTTAATCTCGCTATTTTCTCGGCGATGATATGTACTATTCTGTTCACTGATATATATATATATATATATATATATATATATATATATATATATATATATTACTATGCAGGTTTAAATGCGAAAAAGCGACTCTTTTTTTTGTTACTTTGCGTGGACTATGTCAACGATTAGTGATAGACGATAGGTTTTTTTATGCTAAGGTTCGGTTTTGAGGTTTCTGAAAGGTTTCAGCCATAGCAAGCAAAAATAGCTTAATTATCTATGGCTACTAATATCTCTTAGTTTCATATCACACCTGCATTTTGCAGTATGCTATTTCTTTGCATACTTGCAATTTGGAACTAGTGTAGTATCGTAAAGGTAAACATAGATTTATCACAAACTGAATTTCTTCGTTTGTGCCTTTTCTTGCAATTCATACTAAATCTTGTATTAATTAGTGTTGAGATTTTTTCATTTTTGGTGAGAAGATATATTAACTTTAGCAGTATTTTGTGGTCTAGCTTCTAAAGCATCCCAACCTCGTCAATCTACTAGAAGTATTTCGACGGAAACGGAAACTACATCTCGTGTTCGAGTTCTGCGATGCTACTGTTCTAGACATCCTTGAAAAACACCCCAAAGGGTGAGGACTTTACTGTACAGTACGGAAACATACTGCTTTCTGAGCGTCTATAATATTTTCCCAGATATTTACTTACATATATTTACTCCACATTTAACCTATTATTTGGTACTTAATTTTTAAGCTGTTTTAATAGGGCATGTCTGCATACTCTCTGAATTAACAGAGATTTTTTCAATGGTAAAGACGAACAAAGACGATTAACTTCTACTCCTACATTCATATATATTTCACGATATATATGTGTATATATAAATAAACCGCAATTGTTATTAGACAACGGCGGCTGAATTGTTACCAGGCAATCTGCTGCCAGGCTTACCGCTTTCGTATACAAGATATGGACGGAATACCATTGACATTTAGCTTAATCCTGTCAACGCTGCAACCAGCTTTCAAAATCGTCGCAAAATATTGAAATTCTATATAACGTTTTATCATATAAATCATATTTTTTTAAATAATAACGTCTAATAGTATACGAGCATTAACGTACTTAACTTTTAGTCGCGCATGGTTGATCTTCTTCGTAAATCAAAAATCACATTCATTTTAAGACAAACTTTTTATGTTTTAGCGTCCCAGAGCAACTAACGAAACGGATAACGTGGCAAATGATTCAGGCTGTCAATTTCTGCCATTCACACAATGTAAGTTATTCAATAATAAGTTTTACATATTATAATAAATATTGCTTGAAGATAAAAAAAAACTTCTATCTGTAATTTGTGCTTCTCCACTTTTATTTCTACTCAAGATGGCTGTGAGTGAATCTTGGGGTGGAAAATTAATTTCTGTCTGCTACCCCGCTTCGATAGATTGCTCTAAGCCCTCGCACTCCAAGATTATTTTGTATGCCCCCTATAAGTCGCATCAATTATTTATGTACCTACTCACAAAGAATTTTGGTTTCTTTCACTTTCGGTTCGCAGCATTATTTGAAGACATCAATCGCCAGACTAATCTATGCTACCGAACTGGATAAGGTTTATATGCATTGAATAACTGTTTGTAAATTTTTCCTCAAACTATTCAAGTAAAACACTTTCAATCGATATGAAGAAGAGATCTTATTGCTATTAGTATTATTATTATTATTACATTTCTAATGCACTGATCCGTTCTTTTTTTGCTATGTGCCAGTAAAATAACCCAATATACAAGAGCACATTTGAGTTCTCGTTTAAAATCAAACATTGAACAATTAAAGATGGGAACAATCAATTTATTATAGTAAAACTGGGGCAATAGCTTACACAGCTTACACAGAGGCGAAGTTGCGCACACTGCAATTAATGACAGAAATGACAATGCTCAGTAGTACATATATATATAGAGTATGCCAAAATAATATATACGTAATTTGAACGACTATGGCATTCAATTTTATTACGTATGACCCATATATAAATTATGTATAAAAAAAAATAACCCACATAAAATGTATAGCTGTTTCTCTTACCACAGATATTTAAAACAATTACCGTTTTGATCAATACGCTGCTGATAATGGTGGGCTATTGATATTGATATTTATCAACCATTCTTACGGTGTCCGATTTTAATTCAATTACGGCTTAATCTCCCAGAGTCATCGGTGTTTTGCTTAATACTTTAAATATCTCCACTTATCTGCTTTGAAGATTCTCATGGGAAGATTTTCTTAAATTAAGCTCTTATACCACGATGAGAGTGCGAAGGTTCGTCGACCTTCTAGAAATAAAGTTCTCCAAACAAACAAAGCAACAGGTAAAATAGATTATTGTTTCAAGCGATTAGCACCACTCACTGTCCTGTCAAAAAAGGAATGGTCCAATCAATCTTCCGCTTGAAACACCGCATCACACTGCAAGTCGTAAATATTCATGATACTCCCGGTAAGATGTGGATTTACAGCGGCCCAGTGAGTACAATTATGTTGCTTACGTATGGTATGTAAATAAGCTTGATCGCTCCGAAAATTGTGCATCCTCTCCACATTTCTCCTCTAAATGGTCCGGGCTATCTTTAATGGCAGCATGTATTATTGTTAGAAAGTAGCTATGCCATTGAAAGCAACTTAAAAGGCGGCGAACACTAATGCCAAGCTTTTAACTCTATTGCCTTGAATATTGTATAACTTTCCAGTACCCTTTATTAGCTGTTGATGCTCGTTAATGCTCATGCTCTTGCTCTATTGGAATGGTGCCTACGAACATCCTAAACAAGCCTATCCGTTTCAAACGTATCCTTTTATTTGATTAATTTTAAGTGGATCTGTCTGAAGCTCCCTGCGATATTGTGCTTGTACATCTCAGAATGCATTTTAAGATATATTTTTTGTTTCGAAAGTTTGGTTGACTCAATTCTTCTAACCGTCTGCACACTGAAAAGAAAGTACAATCAGATATGTTAAACTGTGTATATGTGTGTACGAAAACAAGTGAATATACATACATATACATAAAGGTAGGCTGAAGAAATTGTTTTTTGACTGAAAGTCGAAGTTGTTCTAAAAAAAAACAAATCATGTAAATAAACGTATCTTTGCAATATGTCGATGAAAGAAATGTGTATAGTGTTTGTAGAAAAATTATGGTTTCATATCGTGCTTTGGATCTACAATGAAAAACTGCTAATATCGCTTGTGCCGACGTTTACCACATTTCCTCTTCACACAGCTGTCTTCTTACAAACGGCTTTCTTCTGTTTATGTGTCTGCAATGTTCGATGTGCCTGGTTGGGCTGGATCACTTAAAAAGTATTTGCGAGCCTATCGTTAACTTATATTATGCAATACTTAAACAAACAGGCAATCCATCGGGATGTAAAGCCAGAAAATATTCTCTTGACGAAAGAAGGTGTAGTTAAGCTTTGCGACTTCGGCTTTGCACGTACGCTTAGTCCAGGGGAGAACTACACCGATTACGTAGCCACTCGGTGGTACCGGGCCCCGGAATTGCTTGTTGGAGACACGCAGTACGGTCCAAGCGTCGACGTTTGGGCTATTGGTTGCGTTGCCGCTGAGCTCATGCGCGGTATGTGATTCGATCCTCGATTTGGAAATTATTACTTATTTGCCACGAACCGAACACAAAGCATTTAAAATAACGCCAAGATTTACATGGAAACTTGCTCTAGCTAACACACATCTTGGTCAATTGTATTTCAATATTAGATACAAAGATCTATTCATTTATAATTATTCATAGAAATCGTTTAGTCAAATCTTCAGATTCATCATAAAATGTTTTTCCCCAAAGCTTGTTGCTGAGAACATTTCTGAAAAACACTCAGTATATCTCTTTCATATATATTTCCATAACCGACCAGATTTCAGGGCGAAAAATGTAACAGTATCCCATTAATTATTGTTCAACAATTCTTTTTTTGTTCTGAAATTCGCTCAGCAGATAAGGACGATTTCCTTCTTTAGGACATTTAGGTTAAATAGGGTTAAGCATTACTTCTAACAGAAACGCTCAAGGATGATCAAGATTTATTCTTACGAAATCAATAATTTCGTGAGGGTCACCAGACTAATAAAGAATGTTTTTACAGGAGAGGCTTTATGGCCCGGGAAATCTGATGTAGATCAACTGTACCTGATCAGGAAAACGGTCGGAGAGCTAATCCCGCGACATTTGCAGATATTCAAAAGCAATGACTTCTTTGCTGGGGTTACCATACCAGAACCTGATCACATGGTACTTTCAGTGTAGAATAGGCATCATGAAATCAGTTTAGCAGCAATTTTACGCAATACATTACACCTCAAAACGATCTCAATCGGCTGACGCCAAATGTGCTGACAAATACTCCACTTAGCACGCACACTTTCTATGGGTATATTACAGGAACCTTTAGAAGACATGATTCCGAAGAACAACGATAAATATGCCATTGATTTCCTCAAGGTTTGTATATGGAAAGAAGCCTATAGCGTAATTAGACAATAGTACAAGCCTCTCAAAATTACGTGCGCATACGCTTCAGCTTTTACTCTTTTAAAGTATAAGCTTGTTTAGAATTTATAAAAAAAAATTAACACAGTCCTTCCAGAGCTAAACAGGGAAAAACAAATTTTCAATATTCTGATCTCCATAAGCGCATATAAACAAAAAGCAACTCAAACAACTGATTATTTTCGGGTGCTTAGAAATGTCTGGATAAAGATCCATCTCGTAGATCAAGCTGCGAGCAGCTGCTGCGTCATTTCTACTTCAATGGAAGTCACGATGAGGATCGAAAAGATAGCTCAAGTAGAGCAAGCTCAAAATCGACACATCAACATCAATACACATATAGTTCATCGGGAGGGACAGGAAATACGAACTCAACGACGACTGTGTTCCCTAATCTTGGTATGAGCTTTTTTTTTAACGGTTCTCTTATTTCTCTTGAATGTCTTGCTGCGTGTAAATGCATATCACACGCATGTTGTACCAAATGTATTTAAAGAAGTTCTAGCTAAACGTTTAAATATTGCGTTTTCATCATGACTATTCAAATCGAGGAAAACCTTAGTTGCTAAAAGATGATCTGAACTAGTTTCGACTAGTGAGAGCGTGAGCATACGGATACTAATCAACCCCCATAAAGTGCAACCAAAAGCTATGTCAAGCAGCTATTATACTGCATGGTTAAACAAAAACTACGCATTCACGAATGAGGTTTGGGGACCCCATATAATGTTTTTGTAGAACTTTACATATCTATGCGCTAAGACTGAGAGTTTGCGTCGTCATTCGTAAATGATGATAGGAACCCCGCTGAGTGGCGGTGGCCAATCGACCGGGGGCAGCGGAGGAGGCGGTTTATTGATGCCGGAGGCAAAGGCGTCGCAATTGTATTCAAGAACCAGAATGCAATCCGATCACCTGCCACATATCTGACGGTCAGTATAGAGTAGTGGACGACAAACAATGTTTGTCAATAAACTAGAAAATTTCTAAATTTAACAAGTCCAGGACACTAAGTCGGAATATTCACTAACGCGTTCTAACTAGCATATTATACACAAAAATAATCAAAATAGGTTAGTTATCTTCCAGAAAACTTCCTTTTCTTCTAACTTACGGCCGCAATGAGCACATTTGAATAATCATTACACAACTGCTTACATTATACACGATTTTCTGCAGTTAGTCCAAACTAACCATAAGGAGATTTTTTTAATATTCCTTTATATCTTTATTATTTTTAGGTACGATCCAGATGCGTCAGCATCTTCCTTCACTTCGAACAAAGCTTCCCTTCAAGCCCAGCAGTCGAATAGCTCTGCTTGGTTTTGGAAGTAAACGCTGTAACAGTTACTAGTTATCAGTTTCGGCTCTGCAGTTGGTTAGGTGTGGTATGCCATCACTGTTCCAGCTTCTGCAAAAATCCCTAGGGGCCCCCAGAAACAAACAACAATGAGTCATTTAGGCTAAACCGGAACGGGTGCAAAATGGTTATGTGAACTTTCATGTGAGAGTGGTACATTGCGTAGTTTCGTATGTTATAATAAAAAGCTATGCGCAGACCTTGTGGGTATGCAGAAAATAAATAGGTAATAATATAGAACAGGAATGTTAAGCGTGGCATTGGAAATCACCGCAAAATAATAAAACTCAAAAGTAGAAAAACAAGAGGCTACAAACCTCGATAGATCGCTGTACAATGCTTGTATCAAGAAGGAGGCCACGAATGAGGGAAATCATATCATATAGAACCTGTTATACATGACAACACCACGAAGCGAGGTTTCTATGGGCAAACTCGCTATGAGTAAAATATCAATTGAGAGCCAGCCAGCTAGAGTGCTATATTCTCTTCACTTCTCAAATCTTATATTTTCCCAACCCTTAATAAACGACCGTAACAAAATACGATTCTCTGCAACAACCTGTGACAGTATCTGCTAACTGTTCTTCCATTATCTTCCATGATGCTATTTCTAATAAAGATAAATTTGTTTTGATCATATCGTACGTTGAACCGTTCTATTTTTGTGAACAAACATGCGTTTTTTTAAAGGTGGTTACCGTATCGCGTTCCTGACATGCAATGCTTGCTGTTAGCTTTAGCTACGCAAGACTACACATTGACTGCACAAAAAATGTAAAATGTCTGTCTTTTAGTAAATGGCTTCAACGGTTTCATAACTGTTTTGAAACTGATAAATTCTGTCAAATTATTTATATCCTTTAGTTTGGCAAATCAAACGTAGTGTTCTGTTTCTATCACGGATGCTCAACAACAATATTTAAATAACGCCTATTGTTTTAAACAGACAAAAATCATTACCTTGCAATAAACTTGTGTTTTAATAGAACCTCATTTTAAAGTTTTTTTTTTAAGCATTTTAAAGCTTCTGATTTCTATGTTCTATATTAAGGGCTTTTTATCTGTACCTCCATGGTGGAACCTACAAATAAGAGTCAAACGCGTTTACGTACGTAACGTCGTGAATACAGAACGGCATCCTGGTTACAAGCCCACAGAGTGTACCGATCGAGCGTGATTTTCATATAGAAAAAATAACCTCGAGTAGGTTTACAGAGTTATAATAGAGTAAAATAGAACATCGTTATATGCAAGATAGACAATCCGACATCATTTTATTTGTGTGGATGCATACACAATGTTTATAATGCAATAAGGTACTGTATACGAATTAACTTCATATATATATATATATATATAATTGAATTATGGCAGTAGCCCTATACAAACAAAAGCTTTCTCACATCCAGATGAATCTGTTGTTCACTTCGCGGTTGAATTATTATCATTCAGTAATAATAATTACAATTCTGAGAACGGTAATGCTAGAAGGATCTACCTTAGAAGTTTCTTGCTAAAGGGCTTCTGCTTTAAATTACTTGCTTTGTTCTTAAAATTGGCTGTGTGGTTCTTCTTGCGCGCCTTCCGACGGTGACATTTACTACTGTTAGGTTTGATTTCAGACTCCAAATTACTGACCTTTCTTTTACGAGACTTTTGAGCCTCGTGAAAGTCCATGTCATGTATCTCCTTTTCAATTTCGCTAATATGCTCGTCATCAGAGTCTAACAAATGATCGCCTGCGCTGACACGAACCTTCTTCGACTTTTTCCTAGCTATAAGAAAATCATAACGGAAATAAATACTTGAACTATCATCATCTTTATCTTCAATTGACTACACGCAAACTAGTGTTTAAACAATGATATGAATATGTCGATAGCAACAGGTTATATATATATATTGTTATCTTTTCATTAGAATTTTGGGAACATTCAGTACACACGGTTAGTTCAATTGACAGTCTAATACCTTTTCCATTAGCCGGCTTACGGTTCTCCGGTACAGAATTATCATCGACAAAAGCCTTCTCAAATTCTTGAAGGTCTTCTTCTCCACCTTCCATTTCAAAATCTTCGTCATCTTTATCATTGAGCTGGTCGCGTTCAGGGATCCTGTTAAAACAACGGGTAAATATTTTATGCCATTAGGGAGGGGTTTCACATAATTCTGTAAGTTTCACTTATAGTCCATGTTTTCATAAAGCTCTTACTCCCACGATATAGAAAGAAACAATGCCCCAGAATATAGAAAGAAACAAATAGTGTATTTAACTGTACTGAAAAAACGCGCCGATACACTACCAATTCTAATTCTATACTGTCCCGATCTCTCATTGAGTTAAAAAAAAAAACGCTAGTTATAAGAATCGTCGGTTCATCACCATTAGATAGTTAGTAATTTACCATTAGATAAGAAGTGAAATAGAAAAAATGTCGAACCTGTGTCAACGATAGTAACACAAACTCTTACAATTTTTATAAGGAGTAAGAATAGTATAAACGAAGTGATAAAATTAATATCAAACTGAGTGAGCCTATATTTACGCAAGGTAAGTACTTACAAGCAGTTCTCAGCTTCCTCAGCGCACTGTTTTTGAAGAAGACAGAGGCGCTTTTCTGCCATTTTCAGTTCTTCTTCCGTTAGTTCAATATCCGATCCACTATCTTCGCTCTGCACAGCGAAAGGGTTTACACCATTTTCTAGATCGATGATCTATAAAGATGAAACAAGAAGTTGCAACACAAAAGTTTCATTCATGAAGTCACAATAGCACAGCAACCATAGATAAATTACATATGTATATTAAAAATATGTACCGTAAAGTGTACACATATGTATTGTTCTTTTCTTAGCACCAATCTCTGCGGGCTGTCTTTTGTTATATTACTTGTACCGCTCAGAGCTTAAATATAAAGATTGTAAAAGATGCACTGTTACCAGCGTAAAATTGTATCGGATAAATTTGATGTGAAACTCACTTTTTTGACGATGCTTTCAATGGCTTTACGGTTGATCGCCCTAATCCCTTCTACTCGTGAAAACTCGAGAAGTGAAGCCTTCACAGCTGACATATCAAAGTCAACAGGCAAAAGGTTCAGTTCTATTTCGTCGCTCTCAGCCGTGTCATCCCCATCTGCAATGGAGACCTCATCTTCGTTTGATTCTGTGACGAACACATTTTAGTAAAACCTCTTGAACTCAGGATATAACTAAATCAAATCTTCGTGAAAGAAAATAAGAATGTGTTGATTCGAGGATAATAAGCTTTTAGGTATTTGAAAGATTTTGTCGACAACTAACCTGCTTGACTACTGCAACCAAAATTTCGCGACTTCCCTTTAGCCTCAATTTCCTTTATCTGCTGTTCTGCTATATCACCGTTCTCATTTTCCACTACATCAGAAACATAAAAAAAAAACATTTGACTAAGATGTTCGATGAGTGTTTCTTTCCTTTTAAGAGCACTGGCTAACTTGCGCGATATTTCTTTCTTCACATGTTTAAAACATCCACATTACGCGGACGAGACGTTCGAGAACAAAGCATTACTACTTTCGATAAACGTATTTTGTGCTTCCATATATTTAATACAACACTCATTCAAGAACCACATATTTTTTAACATATCTGGAAAATGTAAAGGTGCGCAGTAGATAAAGCTTTACATAGTGCTCCACATCTCTTTTACACATCTTTGTACAGAAGCCTGGATACCTATACTGGGCGGGTGCCCATCGTTCATGATGCAATACCATAATTCTTCGATTCGTTAAGGAGTTTATGATAATTAGACAAGCTTCAACAGATGCAAGATACTGTTTTCACCGAGGTTGCTTTTCGAATCAAATTCACATGTGTATACACCTTAATACAAAAATAAATTCAGCGAATGTTAAAGAGATTGCATTTAGGGATTGACCATTGCTATAATTAATTCTATAGACGATGTCTAATCATCATGTAGTCTATGCAAAGGTTTGTTGCAGGAATATAGGAATATGTTTTACTAGGGTACTGCTTGCAAAGATTACCTAGGTTTTAAGCTGTATCGCTCCTTTATACATTCTGGACAATTCATACATAAATAGGCTTTTTCTTATTAAAAAAAAATAGAATGCCCTTATAAGAGAACTAGCGCAACGCAAGCTGTCCAATATCCCACTTGCAACGAAAAGAAATATAAACTTACACTCGTCTTCTTCATCCACAAATCCATTGTATTCTTCAGCTTCATCGTCGATGAAGTTGCGGCCATTGATTTCTAGTGCGCACAAAAAACCATTCTCTTTTTAAAGTCTACTTAGCATTAGTTACAATATAACAAAGTCACATTAGTGTTTTGGTAATCTTTGCCCATATAAATTTTATACTAATGCCAAACTCATATTAAAACTATAAATTCCTCTAAATCACAAGCTATTCTTACTACTATAAAGAATCTCACGAAAAAAGACTTTTATTGCTACAGTTTCCCAATCGCCAGAGTACTAACCCTTTCCCTCAAGGCTATTACTATTAACCCAAAAACATATTGCAACTCCCGATGCGCGCCGACGTTTGCGCGAATCTTAACACGAGTACTAAACAATTTGGGTGAATAAAGTTACTTTTGAATATTCAAAGCGCAGGTGGCCTATTTAGATATGAATTTGAAATTGATAAAACATATTTTTACTTGCTCTATTTGTTAGGGCATGGATTGACCTCGTTGACAAAATCTTCCTGGTGGTAATTATGCTTCTTCTATTACTTTCCAGCGCTCTTCCAGGGATGAAATCAGGCTAAATCAGGCATTATCGAAAAAATCCCAATGCTAATTTTCAAATGAAATAATTATATACTTAAACTAGTTGGCAAATTCAACTAGCCAGAATCTATCGAACACGGTCTTATTTACAACATTTAAGCAAGTATTGCAGTTTTAGAAGACACGGTATCGTTACAACCGTTCTAGGATATTAACGATCATATAATGCGTAAACTAAACTATCCGCTCTTACCAATAAGGATCATATCCACACATTCGCCGACTTATTAATAGCCTACCTGTCGTTCAAAAATACAACCGAATAAGCGAAAACAGTAGCTTCCTTTAAATTTACTATTGTAGACATACCTTCATCCTCATCAGGTTCCTCCTGCAGCGCCCCCGCATGTAATTTTACCAACTCTAAAAACACCTTATCGCGCACCCCCTCAACTAGCGTTGGACTTTTACAGTAAGTCAATACCTGTAATCATCATGAAATAAGTAGGCTCAAAGCTCGACATTTCATGATCTTAAAGATGAGCAGGTTTACTAAAGTAATAATTTTAGGTTAACCGGAGTTGTTAGTTTGGTACGCTTTGATAAGTGTGTATATATTCAAGCAATTAGTGAGGCGTTAGCGATATATGAGAGGACATTACTTCGTAAAAAGGCTCAAGAAAATTGTGCGCGCGTTTTCGGGGTAGTTGTCCATTGCCGGCTCGCGCTAGTTCCTCGAGAAAGATATCAAGGAAATGAAGCCTGAATCCTAAAGCCGCCTCGCGTGAATCCTGTATAGAACACGAAGAAAAGTATGGAGCTATTTGACTTAACTACTGCAAACGAAATAATTTTCAGTTCGAGCTTGCCTGTTTTCCTATATGTTTAAAGTTTGCTTATTTATCAACTATTAACCCGGTAGGATCAATTATAACTATGCGTATGCCCATATCAATTAAAATAAATTCGACACAAGTGACCTAGTCATCGATGAAAGCGCAATCGTACCTGTTTCGGAGAAAGTACGCTTTCGCGTAGTGTAGAAAGATATTTCTGGACGTGCTTGCACTCCCAATCACGAGCTTTCAAAAATTGCAAAGAGGCTCTGAAAAATATGCAGATCAACGCAACGCAACGCAAACATACGTTTCGAAGAATAACAGGAACTTAAGCATAATGATTGTACTTACATTAAATTTCAATCACTGTGGGAAGATGATGCATAACAGTTTACACTCTAACCGCTATCTGTGAAAACATAAATCTCAATTTGCTGTTTCAAGCCAACGACTCTTCTAATTACAGTGTTTTATGACAAAAAAGACATTAGACATAAAAAAAAATTATTATATCACAGTCTGCCTACGACTGCTAGAATCATTTACAAAAAAAAAATGCAATGACTTCTAAATGTTTACTGAGTTTTCGAACATATTCAAATAGCTATAACCACAGACCGAAACTAATTGCATGGAAAATACATCTTGAGCCTCAAATACTCGACACGTTGTAACGAAGACCTAAGCATTAGCCAACCCTAGCAATAGCCAATATTTTTACCTAAAGAAGCGTCTGGTGAGCATGAGAAACTTGTCAATACGGAATTTGTCGATATGATCATGATTTCGCCGCATCGTTTTGAAGAACGTCCCAATAAAGTGGTAACTCTGCGACGGTTTGGCAAAGGCATGTATCAGACTTCCAATGTTATCTGCAAGTTCCTGTTGTACAAGCGGCTTATCTGCCATCCACATGCAGTAAAACAAACCTACAAGAACAAATTAGACGGGTAAGTTTATTTAACCTTCTGTTTTATTTAATCTAGCGGTGCAAGTTATTTCAAGGGACAAAATTAGCGTTTAGATTACCCGTATTATGTTTCACCGAATTTCCCTCTCAGCGAAACTTATATCTTTTAATTGGCATTTTATTGGTCTATAGAAGTCATATTAACTGTAAAGGAGGATATGCTGTTAAAGGTACTTCATACTCGGTCAAGCGCTAAGTATGATCATCTTAATCACATTATGTATATCTGTTAAGGGTTTGTTAACCCACTCACCCTTCCATAGTTTCATCATTCCGTCAAATGAAAATTCAGCCTCTTCTTTTTGAGAACGCAACAACATCCATTTCCGCAGCCTGTTTAGGGCCTTAGTGCGCACTCGGAGATCATTAGATGCCAGGTGCTGCGCAAAATAAATTTCCTCGGATGACATGTTAAACTTCCGATAACGTGATCTGATTAAACAAAATAATCATTAATTGATAATTAAAATGAGCAGTGCTCAGTTCTATGTCAACTTCTGATCCTATTAAAACTATGCCCTAAATATATAAAATCTGGATTAATTATGTATGTTTATGGAATCTAGCAAAAAGCATGATGTTATAGATAAAAAAATCTGTAGAATACACGTAACCTGCAATCGATTGCGACGACTTCTTCCTTATGAGAATTGATATGAGAGGTTGACGTTTCTTCTAATTCGAATATATGAATAGTTAAGAAATTTTAAAGGGGATGGCTCATAGCCCCTAAGAACAATAATTGAGATTAGTGAAGATATTAAGCATGTGATATGTCATATGTAGGATATGTAAATTAATTAATTATTTGCATGTTTATCAGAAGAGTAAGGTTTATAATACCTCAGCAGAATTTTAACTATACAGCAGTTCCATAGCTGATTCTTTTCTCGCAGCGTACATTATATATACAAGATATAGGGAGGTCAATACCGTTACTTTCAAAGACTTTAGATCGCTGCAGACTGTTGAGATAACTTAAACCGACCGTGACCTAATTCAATATAAGGTAGCATATTCGCTCCCTTCGAATCGACACTAAACAAACAAAACGTTTTCTCTATCTTATGCTTAACAAATTTTAACAAAATTATCGCATCCAATGGGAGTGTAATTGTTTACCATCTGTGTTACCTCATTTGATACTTCCTTTGCATTTAACAATGAATGTCAAAAAATAACTAACAGCCTACTTAATATCAGCTTCTTGGCGTGTCATAAAAACGGTCATAATTGTTATAGATTCAATATTTTAAGTATTTTTCCATGAGTATGAAGCCACGTGGTATTTAATTTTCCAAATACCACACATTTATGTTTCATTATTTTAGTTACGCACCTTTTAACCTAATAATTGAGTGAGCACTTTGTAATCCAGACTCGAAAACGAAAGCACATTAGAGCATGGGCTCGTCAAAGACCTGACACTTTAGCACAAATCAATTTTCTTTTATCTGGTATGTCTTTTTACCGAGAATAACCACCATTTAAGAATTGTATTCTAGTACAAGTGTTTCTCGTATTTTACATCTGGTACTTTCGTTGCTAACGTCTGGTACTTCAGGCGGTTAGCTTTCACAACGAAACAAAGTATCTCTAGACCCCAATTCTAGCACGTGCGCCTAAGATTGTGGTCCACTTGTCTATGTGTGCAGGCAATGTTTACCTAAGCACGAGCGGCGCGCTCGGTCCTGATGACGACTTCTGGTTGTGATCTTTGTCTACTTCTTTGCTTTATTTCCCAGCGATGAATCAATGGGCGATGTAATAATGGCTAAGTGTGGTCAGGGCATAATCTGATATGTTGGTTGCATGGTGATCATAACTTGTATAAACGAATTTTAATTTTTTCGGTTAATAGAAGTACATTTAATATTTCTCTTTATAGTTAATCATATCGTTTTGCCATATCAGTTTTCCTGTATGGCACGACTTGTACGCAAGTTCTTGCTCAATTACTTTCAAAATATCCCTGATCAACTTAAAATCCATTAAATAGGGACGCATCCAACCATAATATTGCCTTTAGACGATCAAATATTTTTTAGAGCACCTGTAACCTTAATATAATAATAATCATGTTACCTAATAAGCATAGATAACTAGAACATTTAGATATTAAAAGAATGGAGCTTGTTGGTAGAGAAGAAGTTTGTTTAATAGAAGGATGTATAGTACAGTCAAGAGGGTATCACGAACTGCCGTTAAAACCTCTTTAATAATAAAAAACATTATTTACAAATTAAAAAACAAAATGGTGTGGCACTTATGCATGCGGGCTTATTCGACTTACATATCTTGGGTCTCCACAACTGGGGTTTTTGGAGTGAATTTACACGAGAATTTAGAGGAAATTTGGTTTTTTGGTCTATTAAACCCACACGTGATAAAAGCCCAGTGGGTAATTTTTTGACTAAAAGAAGAACTGTCCAACTAACCCAATGTTGATAATTTTTTGACATTCAAATTCGACTTTGTTGTATTACTTAATGGATAGCACGTTTCTATCATATTTGCTACTGAATATACGTTATGAATATTAGCAGCAGTTGCCAGTCTTTAGTGCCCCCTAAAGCCAATTTGGTTCCTCTTCTAAGAATCCGGTGTTTACCTTTGAAAATACTTTGTCCCTGAACGTTATCTTTTTTTTGTGTTAAAGAATCAAAATAGTGGTAGTTGCAAGTAAAAAAAACGTAATTTTATTAGCCGTTTGCCCATGATAAAATGTCATGACAGGAAAAAAGTCCGTTGAGTTGATGAAAGCTAGCGCCTCTTGAACTTTTTCTTGCTCTTGAATCCCTTGCCAGGACCATTTTTCTTAGCCTGGCCTTCACGAACTTGCTCCTTAAACGGAAGTCGTCTCATCTCTCGAGCTTTGTCTGTTGCTGTCAGCGTCTTTGTCATATCTCTTTCCCGATTATTTTTAATGGACTTCTTCTTTGCCTTTTTATCTCGGGGCTCATCATCAGTGTCAGAGTCGACGACAGCGCGGATGCGAGATGGTTTACGAGACCTCTTCGCGCAACGAACCTAAAAGTTGATATGTCAATCAAAAACGCATTATATCACTATTTATTAAAAAAGTTTTTGGAACAAAAAGGATTTCCCCAATAAGTGTTTGGCACTTACTTTTCGTATCAATGGGGAATATGCTTCTATATTCACATATACATATAGATTTGACTGTATCCAGTACAAAGTGAGTTCTGCTTTACGTAACGGCTTAGAAAATACCGTGAGCTGCTTGGTTGGATATGCTTTTATCTGCAATTATGAGCTCAACAATGTTAATTGAAGTACGGTAGGCAACTGGGTAAACATTTAGAATATAACTTACTTGATATGCGGCTGCTTTTTGCAGTTCCCACTCAACACGATCTTCGGCTGTTGCGCGAGCGCTAGGGATTTTAACTTTTCTTTTTCCATCTAGCTTGGTATGTTCACCTAAACGTAATTTCTTCTTCTCTTCTTTTTTCTCCTTTGGTGTTTGAAACCAGTTTCGTTGAGGCTTCTCGTTCTGCTTTTTATTTAATGCTGGTTGTGTTACTCTGTTAAGTTTTTCCTGTGCCTTGTCGAGATTTCTTTCCACATCCTGCATGTCTTTTTCCACTTTCTCCTCTCGAAGAATTTTTTCAATATCTGGCTCTACCGAATCGATTTTTTCCTTAAATTTGTTAACTACCTGAAATCGGGATAGTAAATGTTAGATTCTTTTAGACAGACCCTATTGCTGTTCTACGTCGTCATTGATCCACCGAACCTATCTCTAATTCTTTATAGGATATAACCCCTTTGTCTTAAAAGAAATGAGCCTTTAGACAAATTACAAAATATTACATCGCATTGATATTATTTTTCGAAGCACATCGTGGTTAGTATTATACGACTCACATAAATTGATTCCCATTCAAGTTCTTACGGCGATGGCTACACTAGCTACTCTAGGTAATGCTTGTGATCTCTGTTAAACTATAAACTTACGCGCGACACAATGAATATGTACCTGCGGCTCAATAACGCGTTGCTTGACTGGTGTACGAGCTTTTTTCACGATTTCCTTAAGAATTTTTCGTTCCTGGTCACCAACCATGGATACGGAGCGGCCCACCTTACCGGCTCGAGCGGTCCGACCGACGCGATGAACATACTGTTGAAGTGTGGGTGGAAGGGTATAGTTGATAACCGTTCGAACATCCTTGATGTCAAGACCTCTTGCAGACAGATCAGTAGTGACGAGTACATCAACTTCCTGTTGACTGAATCTCTTGAGTGACTGGATTCGCTGCGTTTGATTAAGCCCACTGTGCAACTCTTCAACTCGTATACCAAGAAGTTCAAGTAGAATACGGATACGATGGGCTAACTTCTTCGTCTGTACGAAAACAATTGTATGCTCATTAAAGTAGCGCGTCACAAGGGCACACAACAGCGGTTCGCGGTCTCCTTCGCGCTTTGATCGGATTCGTATAAATTCCTGACGCAAGTGCAAGGCTACGTCTGTGTTATTATTCAAAAACAGACGAACAGGATTGGTTAATGATAAGTCAGCGAGATCGCGAACACGATCGTTCATAGTAGCCGAAAACAGCATGGTCTGTCGCGTTGGCGAACATTGCTTGATGATTTCTTTGAGTTGCTCAGCGAACTGATCCTCCAGAAGTTTATCTGCCTCGTCGAGAATTATCACCTCGATCGCATGTAATGAAAATGATGGTGTGTTTTGCAGGTGATCAATAAGTCTTCCCGGAGTGGCAATGATGATATCGGGCTTTCGGCGAAGGTGACTCTCTTGTATTTTCAGGTCGAGACCGCCACTAGCAAGAGCAATATTTATATTTGTAAACTGTGCGAGTTGAATGGATACCTGGTATACTTGCAGAGATAACTCTCGCGTGGGAACAATTATCAGAATCCTGGTGACCACGTCAACTAAAGGACGATACAATAATCTCTCAAGAACAGGTAGCATGAACGCGGCCGTTTTGCCTGTTCCTGTGGCTGCACACGCGTAGATATCTCTGCCGCCGAGAGCAACAGGTAATGCGCGTTTCTGAATTGGTGAGGGATTAACGAAGTTCATTGCAGACAGGGCCTTAAGTAGCGGCCGGGAAAGGTCCATGTTCTGAAATGTTACGCCTGCCGTGCCATGGAAGTCGTCGTTCTGATCAGGAATCTCATCATCCTGCTGGGCTAACGCATCTTGCGCCCTCTTACGCTTCCGAAATTTCTGGCGTTCCTTAAGGGTATCGCGAATCTCATTCAGTTCCTCGTCTAACTGAGCCCGCTCCTCTTTGGTCACTTGAGTCGCGGCTAAGCTTGTTCCGTCGGAAAGTTTATCACCGACCTAAAATTTCAAAGTCGACAAGGCTATACTTGTAAATATTCCTATTCGTGAAACAGTTCATGACTGCAGTAAAGCAGCTGCTCAATGGTCGTGTTACATTTAAAGACCTTTCATTTTTTAAAGAATGTTGTATCTTCTACTTGAATATTCAAAAAATAAATAATTTTAGATTTCCTTAGGGAGGTGATCATATTTGTGTCTAAACTTCACAATGACTAGGTAATTTGTACATGTTTGGCTTTGAGCATAAAATGTACGGTATTCCTTGTAGGTATTAATCGGCTCAAACGCTTACTGTCGAAGCTCAGATAATTGTTGCGAGCTGGCTGTTGTACTCTTTTATATTCGTTATAGTTGGGTCTTCTATTTATTGAGCTAATAACCTCAGCTCAACACTTTTACAAATGTGCAAAATCTTTTGAGGTACTTTTTTTACTCACAACTTCAAAACTTACCACTCGTTTAATGGTCGCGGTCAGGTTAACTTTTTTCTTTTCTTTCACCAACTGCATGAGATTTTTCCACGTATCAAAATTATAATCTGCTGCATTATCCACGAACGAAAATCCCTTGTCAAACTTTTCGTCTTCAGAGTCACTTGCTTCTTGAGGAGCGCGGGTCTGTTCCACCTTAGTAACCACCCTCGACTTTCGTCCTACCTTTTTTAAAATCATGTTGACAGACAACTCGCATTCACTAGCTACGCTATAAATACAGATTACTTTTTAGATTAAATAAAAATGTAGAAAGATAACATCCGATAAGGTGGCAAAATGATAGTTTGTTCAGGTAAACAGCATACACATGAATCTCTGTTCCATTTCGTGCGCACCCACGTGTGCGTCACCATATTTGTTTTGTTGCGCTCAGAGAGGGAGGCTGTTCCTTCTTCAATATTGCATCCGATTCGAATCTTGTGGCGGGTTTTGCAGGTCATATTCTATTACGTGGGTACGCACCGATAGTCGTAATAAAAATTACAATGTGTTTTATTTGTGCTTTTAGCCGATCTGGTCAAACGTGTTTAACTAGAAAATATTTAATACTTTACAGAAAAGTTGTCAGCTATTTTTATTTCTTACCTACTGTAAACTAAAATCAGCTGATTTGAGCCCTTGCCATCAATATGGGAAGGAAAACTCAGTATTACATCGATATTTGTCAAGTTATCTTAAAAAGTCAAATGTACCATTAGTTTCGGTAGCGCTTTTTCTGGCGTTACACCATCCAGAACTCGCTATCACGTGTTCCAACGGTTATTTTGGTTTGTATAGCCTCATTCACTAGTGTTTAATCATAATTGGTAGTGGATTCAGTGGAAGTGAATAGTGATGTGCATGTTTACGCGGGCCCTTTAGCGATGAAAGCTTCACATCATTGTCGCAAAACCCCGATGTCGTGAGTTTCTTTGGTACATTAACCATGTGTGCTGAAAACCGTGAGCAGAAGAGACTATCCAGAATCTTGGCAGCTTTGAAGTATTAGTAATATTAGTGAATGGGTTCCAGATTAAGCCCAAGGATAGGGGAAGATTTTAGTGAATTAGAGTCTCGCACTACCGGAGGAATACCTTAACCGCGAGATAGAACCTACATATTGTATTAGCCTGTAACCACTTCATGAAGAAAAGGGATCTTCCAAGGACGATTTAGCCTTGCACTTTTTCAGCCGTTGACTACTGTTGTGTGATACAGGAAGAGCATTAAGTCAGTCGTAAGAAAATACCGAAAGGTATAGGAAACACCGAAGCCGAGTGCTCATTTAGGGTTTAGTGAGCCTAATTCGAAATCACACTATATAGGCGACTGCTACCAAGTCATCTGATTCGCGTATACACCTTTAAGCGAACGATTCTAGTGCTCTTTGTTCTTGTTGTTTACGGATGCTTTATCTGACTGCAATTTGGCTAGCGATATTACCAGAGCTACCTGTTGCGGATAGAGGGATAAGGGAAAAGGATCTCTGACGATACGATTGTTTTTCATTATTAAGAGGCTGTTATCAGATATAGTATAAATAGAAGAGTTTTACAGTTCTCCTGTATGCACTCCTCGAACCGCTCGATCGAGTATTATATTTTAAACTATTTGAAGCAATTCTACTAGTTGATACCATGTTTTATAATGCCTTCTATTCGTAATGTGCGTATGTATTACATAACGTTCATACAGTAAATTCTTATAGGGAACTTGCATCGAGTCTTCAGTTTGTGCTGCAACATGCTATTAGAATGTTTTAGGAATGGTACTTACAATATGTGGGTAACTGGTGGCCATTACCGCAGACGATTGCTTTCCTAAGACGCAAATTGTCAGAAGATGCAAATCATCTGGTGGAACGCAATGTAATATCAGTCTTTTTATGAATAGTTTTTTGAACAAAGTGAGCTCGACATCGTCGGCTCTTTAGCTGCCTGATATCACTGAGGGTATACAAGGATGTTTGATCTAGGTATTACGGTCTTCTAGCGAATTTTCAAGGGTGTGCCAATATTACTTGTGTATTTCTTTCATGCCGATCAAGTTCTATCGATCAATATAGGTCGCATGCATAATATACCTTTGGTGACAACGAATAAACGGACGATCCTCAGCAATAAGCAAATGTGTTGATAGCAGCTCAGTGCACAATTCGAGCATTTGGATCCGGACTTTGAATTTAACGTCCGAAATAAGTGAGGCTTATAGTGGTGTCGATGACCAGATATTAGCTAAGGTCCAAGTGAACTGATGCAAGCTATCTAATCTAAGTAAAAAAAAAACACTCAATCTAAACAAAGAACAAACTGCTCATTTGGTTTAATTATGAAGATTTTGGCTTTATTTAAATATAGCTCTATATAACGTTATGTCTGCTGAGAGGCAGGTTAATTAACGCGTTCTCATGGGTCTGTCGATGCGCTCGGTAAAATCAAACGCAATTTTCCTCGCTTAAACAGCTTCCGCTAGTCCCGCTTTCCTCCTTATCATTTTTTGTTTTAGTTGCTCTCTTTGCCTGCTTCTGTCAGCTTTAATGTTATGTGATTTGATCTGGGACCTTATACCATAGCTCTCTATTGATGGGCACCACTATCGGAAAACGATCTGCGCTACTGCAGATCCAGCAGTTTTTGTGGCACTGTGACCGAATTCTCCTCTTTCGACTTTACCGTAAGGCTAGTTCTCTTTCTGCGACAGGGAAAACATTAATTTCGCTCATAGCGTCAGCGGCAGTAGCAGCGTCAAACACAGCGGCAGCAGAGTCGGCGATCCGACTCATCCAAACGTCATCGCAACTGATGTTCCCCATTCTCGTTTGTTTCCCTCTCTGTTTCATTTTACCGCCGGCAAAGTTAACGCCGGTTACACTAGCCAAAATCGTCGTGGCAGCGATGATTTTGATACAGGCGAGGCAGATCGAATAGTCAACTTAGTTCCTTTTAAAAAAAAAACGTTCGGTCGCTCGTACTTTGTTGACGAAGCGATAAATTTAACGATGGTGTTCGTGTCTCGTTTCATCCACGGGTCAACCTCATCATAAGAGGAAACTCTTCCAAAGCACACTGATTAAATACCTTGAAATAAGCACACAAGGATATTAACGACGTGAGAACTGTTGTTAAATATTTCGTTTGATCGTATCGGTGAATCGCGCGTACAATATTAGCTGTTAACGGGTGTCCTCGTCGCTTTGAAAGAGGAAACCCTGCTTTCCCGCCTGCTAAGCACCTCGCTACAAAACGTCTTCAGTCAAACTCAAGAGTAGCGTTATCGTATTATTCTCTACAGGATATCGTCAAGTAAGGTACGCCTTTTTGACCAGTGATCAACATATCCGAAGAGAGCTAGGGACGATAGTACTGTGTGTCCTGTCAATAAGGTGAAGTGAACTTATTTCATTTTTATTTTATTTATTTATATTTTAGGCGCTACCCTCTGTGTGTGTTTGTATGTGTCTGTGAAAAAGGCCAGTGTTTCATATTCTGCATATGTTGCTTTTAAAGTAGTAACTACAATGCTGAGATGTTACTATCTATAGTGCTGCTTGGGCAAAATTTTCGGGGCTTTTCTGTCGTTTTTAACTGACAATTGCTAGCATATCAAATTTTGCAACAAATAGGCGAGTTCGGAAGATTTTATAAGAGTGCTAGACCAATTTTCATCGCAACGTATTGTCGAAAACGGCTGTTTTGAAGCACGGCTATTTAACACCTCCCTATTATATTTTCTGCATATATTACCGATAATGCTATGTAATTATTAGAGTATATATCAAAAACTTGCGGTGTGTAGAAGCCCGATCTGCTATAAGGGCCTATCTATAAGCACATAAAGCAAGAGCGCTTTGTATTGACGCGAACTGAGCGCACATCTTGAACAGCCCGTCCCGTAATGTAGAATGGATTATCGTGCCCCCAATTTATGTTGTTTTCTTAACACCCTGCATTTATAGCATGGCTTAGGTAGGATTTTATGTTGCGCTTCTTGAGAATATCTTGATATGTCAGGCCCTTCTTGTTGATTGTAGCTGACTAACAGATTTTTTCTTGCATTGCATTGCGTTAGGCGGCTTATGACGGACAATTACAGAGGATATGTGTAACTTAGTATGCATATTATCTCCGTGAAATTTTCGATAAACGCAATTACGTAACCCTATTCTCCACAACTGAGTATCCATTTGAATTACTGCTAGCGAAAATTTGAATATCGTGTGAGACCACCTATGGGCGTTTAGGTGGGGTACCATTTTTGGGAATCCCAGTCTTTACACAGCAGAGGTTTTCACCGTGTATTACATGTATTAAAGTCAACGCGTTTCAGGCACGCGTTTCGGTTCGAGTTTACAAGACCGAGACTGCAAAATCCCAGTTCAGCCATTCATTAGCAATGACGAAGTGGAATGTGTTGCAGAAAACCGGTTTTGTTTACCTGGGAGTGCGTTAAATTATCAGTTCTTCACGTTGATACGATCAAAGTACCTACTGCATTTTGCTAGAGACTTAACTTTTTCTTCCGTAATGGCGGATGATTCTGACAGTTTTACAGGACCACTTCGTTCAACTATGATTTAAGAACTTACAATGATCAGGTAAATTCTTTGGTTTTTACTAATATCTCACGCTCGATGCGAATTGTGGTTGCAGTTAAGCTTGGCACAAGATCATTTTTTGTAAATGATGGCGAACCTACACATAGCGACGTGCCAGGCCCCAGTGAACATTGCCGTTGTGAAGTACTGGGGGAAAAGGGACGAAAAGCTAATGCTGCCCGTTAATGATTCTATTAGCGTGACCCTTAGTACCGATGATCTGTGCACGACAACGTCTATTGCTGCGTCACAGTTATTCAAAGAGGACAAACTTGTGCTCAACGGGAAGGTTTGTTTACCTCGCGTGATATTTCCAATCCAGTGCTGCCAATTGCTTCGTTTTGTGTGTACAGTATAGCTAAAGCCTCTAGTATACTAGTATGAAGTCAAATTTAAGTTCGAAGATATACTAGTTTTTACATTTGTGAGCTATTTTCTCTAAGATAAACAGAATGTACTTACAATAGATTAACTCTCAGTGTAAGAAACGAATAGAATGTATAGATGTCATGCATAAATGGACCAATATCTGCTATTGAACAACAGAGACATAGAAAACAAATATTAGAATAGATTTACGGATTTTCTAACTTGCCTAAGCGAAACTAAAGTGTAAATTGTGATTGTATTGCAGGTAGAACCCACCAATAGTCCCCGCATCCAAAATTGCTTAAAGTCTATTCAGGAAGCTGCAAGGAACTCCGGAAAATCTCCCGTTGACCCCTCTTGGAGGCTGCAAATCTGCTCGAAGAATAACTTTCCAACCTCAGCAGGTTTAGCCAGCTCGGCTGCAGGTTATGCTTGCCTGGTAGCAACATTACAGGCACTTTATAAGCTCGAAGGTAACTTCTCATCAGTTGCTCGAAAAGGATCTGGCTCTGCCTGTAGAAGCATGTTTGGAGGATTTGTACGATGGAGGAAAGGTACATGTTCTAAAAGTTGTCAAGTAAAGCTGGTAATAAATGTATTCCAATGTAGAATACTGAATATCGGTATGTATTCAAAGAACCGTAGATGAGCAGGTCTTTATAGTACTTCAGGTTATACTATTCGATGGTAAATAATATTGCCTTAGCACCGATCGTTTACGTACAGACGCAGGAGCATACTTAGACACAATACAGTCAACATTTTCAGGAGATAAATCTGACGGAAGTGATTCCGTAGCTATTCAGATAGCTCCAGCTTCCCATTGGCCTGAAATTCGTGTTATCATCTGCGTGGCAAATGACGCCAGAAAAGATACGGGATCTACTAGTGGAATGCAAAGGTTAATTTTTTTTTATAAGTTTCCTATCTTTCAGTGGTGATTTATAAGGTTGATAGCTTCTACCTTTGTTTCAACGGCGTTTTGACAAAACCATGTAACGTGAGACTACTCATAACCTAGAATAATAGGCAAGTAACAAACATGGGCTAAATTTCGTGTAATTATAGGTCTGTCGAGACATCCGACCTGCTCAGATACAGAGCTGAGGCAATTGTTCCGAGACGTTGTGATGCTATGGAAATGGCAATCTTGACTCGAGACTTCGAGTCATTTGCCCGCCTCACGATGATGGACTCGAATCAATTGCACGCAGTTTGTCAAGACACTTATCCACCAATTCGTTACATGAACCAGATATCGTGGGATATAGTCTCACTGGTACACCGATACAACGAATTGGTTGGTGCTAATAAACTGGCATACACGTTCGACGCTGGACCGAACGCATTTTTATTTTGTCTTGACGATGACATCCCTGAAGTATTACAAGTAAGCCCATCCGAATGTCTCTTATTTAACCCTACATTCTAATACATATAAATATCTAATATCATCATGCGAAAAGCGTATTAACGAATAATTTTCTTACAGATATTAAAACAAGCATTCCCATCCAACGAATCGGATTATATCAAGGGGATTTACACAACCGCGACGGCCAAAACAACACCGAGATCCGATGAGCTAGCAAAACGGGTAGAGCCAGCGCCAGCTGAATCGTTGAAATATATGATCACTACGAAGATTGGTAACGGACCTCATGAAATCCAGCAGCACCTTTGTGATAGCAAAGGAAACACGATTCCGTAACGATGTCCTACTTTCCGTCACTTGTTTAGTCTGGTTTTTCTGAATATATTCCATTTTGGACAAAACTAACAATAAACATAATCAGCGGATGCTTTTGACATGGACATAAGTAAAAATGGAGGTCCGTAAACACCTTGGCACAAATTTTCGTGTTTTTGAGACGTTAGCGAAATATTAGCTTGCCTGATATTTAGATATGACTAACCTTTGGCCATCAGTATAATGGGTTCGTTTTGTAATTTAACATGATTTTAACAGTCTTCCATCTGCTGTCAGTTATATTGGAACCAGTCGTATTCGTACTAATTGGTATATTGGGGTCACATATTTCAAGTAACGAGTCATGTTGGTATCAGTGGGAAGCGGAATGATATGAGAGAAATTTCAGCGAAGATAATTTTACGCCACTTGAGAAAACTAATATTAAAAGCTCACACCAAAGAATTTACTTGTATTTCCACTTGCGGAACGTAACGAAATAGAGCGCTTGATCATGGCTGATAACATGTAGGACATACAATGCCCAAATGAAAATAGGTGCTCTACAGTCTGCGGTAAAGCCCGTACGTATCAAAGAACATGACGCTCTGTGCGGTGGTACTGGAAAGGGAGCGGGCGTTGCTAGGAGTTGCTGCTGCCTGGCAAAACAGCTACCCAGCAAAAATTGAGGGAACTTGGAATAGACAATTTTAGTGCAACGATTATACAGCGCGGACATCGCACCATCAGACTAGTATGTTTCGGTCCCTGCAGAGCACCCTTAATGATGTTTCAATAGAGAAATGCAGGAACTACTCTATAGAGGGCTTATGGGTATTAGGGGAAATAGTAGATCATAGTTAGCGTAGCAATATACGTTTTGGCCACAAACGGCCAATGCTTTTTAGACAATTAAATAATCTATGATCGATTTCCAATAGAGACTGCCTTCTAATATTTGCTCCGCATATTAATATTGTCATTGACTGTAGAAACCTAATCGGTCTCATTCATTTTTGCTACGATAGATGAGGGACGTGAAGACGTCATGTAAATACTGTACTTTGTCTTGTAGATTTTCGATACTGCTAGAGGCTTTGATTGCTGGTTCCGGTATCGCCATGATATACAGATACCATGGAATTGATGTGAAGTGCCGATCGTATTTACGTGTTTTCGTATTGAAGTTCAATCTGTCCTTCTGGTTGTTGAGATTCTCGGTATTATCGATGAGTCAGGTTGCTCGCTTTACTTGATCTGTGGCATTTCATGCCGATATCTAAGTAGCACCCTCTCCTCACTCCACGTTTTTCCATTTTCGTGGTACGTCTTGGCAAATTACTAAAATGCTTGTAATTTATGCAATAGTATTGTTTGTTCTAAACCTCTTTCTGCGAATTAAGAGAATTGTTCTATCTGTTTTTTTGGAGTATTTTATGTCATCATATAAACACACATTGGAAGCCTTATTAATGGGTCGATAGACTACGTTTTAACTTCTTTTGCATATCATGTACACTTCTAGAAATGGACGTTTGGTCGCGATTAGTTAGAAGAGATTATATGTATCTTTATATATATATATATATATATTTATGCTTATATAAAAAGATGTCTACCATACGAAGGACTATTGCTGAGAACCATAACCGATGACTATTAAAAAAAAGTCAACAACAAATGTTATTTAGTTGTGTGAAAGGATAACGTTGTGTCCGCTCTGAGGGGGCTCAGTGCTACCCTTTCGTGCGGACGCCATTTCGCGATCGTTGCTTTATGAGAGTGCCAGGTGAAGGCTTATTGGTTTTCGCAACAGACCTTAACCCACTGATAACTTCCCAGTGTACTGCTTGTGTTGTGTGCTGACTATGAGTAAGAACGACGACGGGGCACTAGTTTTTCTTTCAATTTTTTTCTGATCTGGAAAGAATCATAAGGATCTGTAACTTATTGTATACAGTATTGCTCAGTTCTATGTAACCACACTTCTAGATTAAAGGTAATTTAATTGAATATCGAACCTTGCCTCATGCACGTAATGTAAAAACACGCTAGGTATTTATCCATGCTCCCCGTGATTGTCTCATGTATTGTTCGGACCGGCGTTTGGATAGACTAGGCGCAATTTTGTGCCCTTGTGTACACGTTTGTATCAGGCATAATTGCGACTTAAGCCGAGCTCAGATCTACATCGGTATATGACCCTCAAATAATTACAGAAATAGAGTGAGGCTCTCCGTTTGCCTAGACACAAACCCGCCGTTAGCGTATATATTCAGCATTTTGCTCTGTGTAAATATGTAGTAGGTCATTTCAACTGGAATAGCATCCGTTTGCTTGGATATTTTTAACTAGTGAACTTTGGTAAGAACATAGTCCTAGGACCCCACGCCGCCTAGGGCAATAAGAAAAAGCACAACAAAACCGTAGATCTCACATTTGGAGGACATTCGAGAAGAGCCCAATACGTTTGAAGCGGCTAATTCGTGAGAAAAAAAAATTTTAAGTGTGATAAGTGTCTTTGCAGCGCGAATATACCTGGAAGATTGTTCTATTTAGTAATTTACACTTTGATACCCAAAACGATGACTACAGCGCGAGCCCTAGCTCTTGCTGTAATGGGTATTGCTTAACTATGCGATAAATTATGTGAGTTAACAAAAATGAATCCTGAGGGCCAAGTTAAACATGCGGGTAACAAGTTAAAGCGGATAACTAGTCAGGTAAGAAATATAAACTATTTGTAGAATTTTTACATACATTAGGGTGACCACAAAACATAAATGGGCGTTCTTAAATAAAAAAAAAAAAAAAAAAGACTGCCTTTAGCAATTCGATGTACTAATTTCAGACTTGGTGTTTATTTCCAATAGAAGTATACTCTATTAGGATTTATGACATTCTATCGTTAAAGTAGTAGCCGAATCAATAAGGTCTCGGGAAATTTCGATACCATGTTGACATTTGAATAATTTTACGGTTAAGAGGTTGCTGTGAGTTTTGAAAGAAGCGGTGATCTGTGGAGGAAATGCCTAAAGAATATGGAGAATGAAAAAGAGCCTCCAGCTGTAACTCTAGCTTGAAAATGATTATAGTAGTATGAAGTTGGACGTTCTGCTCAATAGTCTTGGCTACTTCATGCAGTGTCGTCATCTCCTCCAATTGTTGACGATATACTTCGGCCATAATAGGACTCAAGGCGCTTCAGTGAAATAAGATCTTATTAAGACTATGAAACAATCCATAAGCATAAAATGACGTCCGCCGATCTGGTCGCGTACACTCCTCGATGTTTATGGTCATCGTAAAATCCCATTTTTCATTATAAGCCTTCGATACACGATTATGGCGATAAAGGAGAATTTTGCGTCAATACGAAGTAGTCAAAAAAACTGCCTGAAGTTTGGCTCGAATCTCCGTCGAAAAAAAAAATTGATGAATAATTCTTCTACATGACAATGCTAGACTGCACGCGGCAAGGATCGTTAAAGGCTCTCTACAAGAACAAGTATGCGACGTTTGCACCCATCGATCTCGCTACGTGCAAAGAGAAGCGAATCTCCACGGCTTTTTTAACTCCTTAGTCAAGTTGTGCGCCACCTATTTGTCCGACCTTTTACCTTATCAATTTGACAAGAATAAACAGATGTGGTACGAGACCTAAGTGCTAAGAGGTGTGTATTTCTAGATAGCCCAATTGGCGGGGCTGCACTCTATAAGATTCAATTTCGAAGTTAACATTTTCTTTATGAAATTTTTCTGAATCATGGGCTGACGGCGTCTCGAGTAGTAAACCAACCACCGAATACAAAGTCTATACGACGAGCGGTTTCCGCTGCCGTGATTCCAGGCTATTCATATTCATAAATCACTCGAATTTTCTAATACTCCATGACCTTCTATAAGTTGCCTGCTGAGAAACCTATCCAACCAAAGGGTTTGATATTGCAAAGACTATAAGTACATCTCAAAAACGAAACAAATGTCACGAAGCGTTGCATCGTTATGAGACAGCGTTATCCGGATATATGTTTATCACGCTTCATACTGAACCGCTTTATACTAAGCTACGTCTGTGATGAACTAGATAAATTACTAAGTCATATCAGCTTGTTTCTACTGCTGAAAGTACAAAATTGTATTACCATCTGAAAGTGTTTTTCCAACACCTTCAGCTATTTCTATCGTTTGTAAAAGTTCTTGGAATCATCTTCTGAGTGTACCATGAAGGACTTGCCGGCACCAGGAAGTCTTACCAGGTCAAGCTTGTTGAATTTACTTAAAGCCTCTCAGAGAGACCTATGTAACGGCATGGTAATCATATATATATATCATATGTGGCAACCATTTGTCGACGCTAAAATCTGAATCAGCGCTGACCACATCTTTATGATGTGACATGGCAACGTACACAAAAGAAAAAACGCGCCTTAACCACTTCGACCGCGTCGCTTCGTGAACTAAAAACGTTACCGTACGTTATTTATGGATTTTCATATACCATATAGTCAAGAATCGGTTCACTTATCTAAATCAGTTGTATCTAAATAATTGAAAAACGTGCGTATATAAATTTAATGGTAGCTTTATGGTTTACGAAACAGTAAACCCATGCACTGTCGATTTCTTTTGACGTAAGGCGGATAATAGCACCATAAAAATGGCATTCTGCTCGTGGCAAGCCAGTAACGGGATATAGATTGCCCACTATCAATTGTCGCCTATGTCAAAAAAAATCGAATGGTATCTATATGACCTTTTGCTACTATTGTACTATGGAGGGCAAGGCGTTGTGAGCTTTGTAGGGCATGCGTTTTTTTTTCTTAAGCATCTAATTTCGAAATTTATCCTAAAAATCCTGGCCTAAAATTGGAGTTTCTAGTGCAGAAAAGACGCCGTGTCCGTTTGTGTTCGAAAGCAGCAAAATGAGATTTACCAGGATTGCTTCGAGCTTTTTTCCAATTAATTATGATTTCGCGGGCGGTGGTATATGCAATCTTATAACCGATTGGTTTACTATTATATGATAGTTAACTAACTGCTGCTATCGTTGACGGCTGTTTTGATTGCAGTATATTGTCTTTATGTTGTGCTTGATCGTTTGTTTGTGTTCCAACGCTGATAGCTAATCATTTATTAATATTAGATAG